GGCAATCCAATGAGATCCGAGACAATCCAAGCAGATACAGATTATATCTGAGGAGACATTCTATCCCAATGAGATGAAGTCCGCAGCAAACCGAGGATGTCCGAGAGCTAGAAGCAATGCAAGGAAATCCGAGACAAATCAAGCAGATCCGGAGATATTTGAGAATAATTTCTATCTCAATGAGACGAAATCCGAGGCAAACCGAGGATGTCCGAGTCAGCGGCAATGCAAGGAAATCCGAGGCAAATCAAAGAGGTTTAAAATCCAAAGCCATTTCAAAGAGATCCGAGACGGTTCAAGGAAATCCGAGGCAATCCACGGAGATCCGAGACAATTCAAGCAGATCCAGAGATATCTGAGGATACTTTCTATCTCAATGCGGTGAAATTCGAGGCAAACCGATGATGTCCGAAGGCCAAACGCAATGCAAGGAGATCCGAGGCAAATCAAAGAGGTTTAAAATCCAAAGCCATTTCAAAAAGATCCGAGACACTTCAAGGAAGTCCGAAGCAATCCTAGGAGATTTTAAGTCCAGAACCTATTCAAGGAGATCCGAGGCAATTCAAGCAGATCCAGAGATATCTGAGGAGACTTTCTATCTCAATGAGACGAAATCCGAGACAAACCAAGAATATCCGAGGGCCAAAGGCAATGCAAGGAGATCCGAGGCAAATCAAAGAGGTTTAAAATCCAAAAACATTTCAAAGAGATCCGAGACGGTTCAAGGAAATCCGAGGCAATCCACGGAGATCCGAGACAATTCAAGCAGATCCAGAGATATCTGAGGATACTTTCTATCTCAATGAGACGAAATCCGAGGCAAACCGAGAATGCCCGAGGGTCTGAGGCCATGCAAGGAGATCCAAGGTAAATTAAGGAGATTTGAAGTCCAAAGTCATTTCAAAAAGATTCGATGCAGTTCAAGAAAATCCGAAGCAATTCCAAGAGATTTTAAGCCCAGGGCCAATTCAAGGAGATCCAAGGCAATCCAAGGAGATCCGAGACAATTCAAGCAGTTCCAGAGATATTTGAGGATACTTTCTATCTGAGTGAGACGAAATCCGAGGCAAACCGAGGATGCCCGAGGGTCAGATGCATTGCAAGTAGATCCAAGGCAAATCAAGGAGATTTGAAATCCAAAGTCATTTCTAAAAGATTCGAGGCAGTTCAAGAAAATACGAGGCAATTCCAAGAGACTTTAAGCCCAGGGCCAATTCAAGGAGATCAGAGGCAATTCAAGGAGATCCGAGACAATTCAAGCAGTTCCAGAGATATCTGAGGATACTTTCTAGCTCAATGAGACGAAATCCGAGGCTAGCCGAGAATGCCCGAGGGTCAGAGGCCATGCAAGGAGATCCAAGGCAAATCAAGGAGATTTGAAGTCCAAAGCCATTTCAAGGATATCCAGGACAATTCAAGGAAATCTCAAGATATTTGAAGTCCAGAGCCAATTCAAGGAGATCCGAGGCAATTCAAGCAGATCCAGAGATATCTGAGGATACTTTCTATCTCAGTGAGACGAAATATGAGGCAAATCAAGAATATTTGAAGTCCAAAGCCATTTCAATGAGTTCCGAGATAATTTAAGGGAAATCGAAGCAATCCAAGGATATCCCGGGCATTTCAAGCAGATCCAGCGGTACCCGAGAAGATTTTTCCAATTATCAGGGGCAATGCAAAGAAATTCCTGGGGGATCAAACAGATTTAACGTCCAAAACCAATTCAAGGATATCGGAGACAAAATTCCCAGTTCCGTGAGATCCAAAGCCAACTCAAGGAGATCCGAGGCAATTCAAGCAGACCCAAAGCCATTCATTCAGATACAGAGGTATCTGAGGTGATTTTCTGTCTCAAAGAGGAGATCTGAGACAATCCGTAGAGGTCCGAGAGTCAGCGACAATCCAAGGTGATCCGAGGCAAATCAGGGAGATTTGAAGTCCAAATGCATTTCAAGGAGATCCAACACAATTCAAAGAGATTCGAGGCAATCGAAGAAGATCCGAGGCAACTCAAGGAGACTTGAAATCCAAAGCCAGAATGTTTAAAATCCATCGTCAATTTAAGAAGATCCGAGGCAACGAAAGAGATCCGAGGCAATTCAAGCAGATCCAGTGGCATTTCAGATTTCCTATCTCATTAAGAGAAGATCCAAAGCAATCTGAGGTCAGAGGCAAATCAAGGAGATTTGAAATCAAAATCCATCTCAAACAGGTCCGAGACAATCCTAGGAGATCCGAGATAATTTAAGGAGATCCGAGACAATTCAAGGAGCAGAGCTATCTGAGATTTTCAATCCCAGTGGAGGGGCTTCAAGTAAATCCAATAGTCGAGGATCTGAGCCGATTCAAGGAAAATTAGAAGTTTTATATGTGCTCTGTCTCAGTGGGAGGAGACCTGAGCGAGCCCAAGGGGATTTTTTATCCTACCATTAGGAGAGAATCCAAGAAGGTTTGAGGTAAGTCATAAGGATACGGGGAAATCACAAGGTCCGACGCAACTGGATTCAAGGAAATGCGAGGCAATCAAAGGAAATCACATGCATTCTCTGTAACTGGGTATGTGCGCAGGTCTCTGTCGCTATTATAGCTCATGGTTGCTAATTTTACTGATTTTTAGTAAAGTTTACGATTTTAACCAATACCTAGGCTCGGGCCCAATGCTAGAGTTCCACTATATGTACATGATCCAGGGTCACTACTTTAAGACCAGCTAAGAGCCTTTGATCTTTGGAGATGTCACCACCATCGATCAAAAAAACAGTTAGGTTATAAAAATACGAAGAGTGCGGTGAATATCGACTTTATTTGACAACTACGCCAATGAATCTTATATCTACACAGTTAGGAACACTCACTCATTATTTATACATAAAACCATAACTTGAACTTTAACGTACTTGAAACAGTTGTAACGGAGGAACGACAACAATGTCGGAAGGAGAGCGGTGTATTTAAATGCACCCGATTGGCAGCGCCGATCTTATTATAAACAAATTAATTTGAACGGTTAACCTACCATCCCTTACGCGCGGCACTGGTTTAGGGGTAGTTTTGCAGTTTGATCGAGGGTGCTGAGGCTTCCAAGGGGCAGGTGAGTCTTTTTTATAATCGGTAAAAGATTTCTGTGTAGTAAGGAAATGCTTCTGATTACATTTAAGTTATTCTTCGCCTATCTTATAAACAAATGAGTTTGAAAGGAGACCTACCCTCATCCCTACCCGCCAATGATTTTGGGGTAGTTCCTAAAGTTTAAACGGGGGCGCCCGAACGTTGAGACTCTTCGCCAATGTTGTAAAAAATGGACTTCAACAGTTGGCGTATCCCTGCGCGCGGCATCGATTTACGAGTTGTTGTGATAGATATAGGGAAGTTGGTATAGTTTGAGGTTTTGATGCAAAGCAGAATTCTACCGCCTACCCAGTAACCGTTAAGCAGTTTATTAAAGTAATCGGGCAAGCTTCAACGGGTGGTTCCATGGGTCATTCGAAGACGGAAATTACATATAAACATGAGTTCCGCATGGCTTTGTTTTAGATAGACTTTCCAAAAATTCATTATTGAATTTAGCAGATCCAGGTGTATGAGCATTACTGAAAATCTAAATAGTCATTTAAGTAAAACGGCTTATTAAAACCACTAATTTTGATACCAACCCATATCGCTGGATTTAAATACGTTAAGTTTTCCCTTTGGGGGAGTGTGGGTTTTATTGACTCGTTTTTCTTATTCGGTTTTATCTTTGGGCGATATACCTACAACAAATATCTACTCGTCGCATTTCGACTAGGATCATGCTCTACCCAAAAAAACAGTTTTAGTTAACAGACGTTATCAAAATAAATATACTGTTGATGGACTTGACGCTACTTATTTTTTTAACATCAGTGCTTTATGGCAGACATTCTGTAAAAGCTTCTCCAATTTCCCATACTCAGGTACTTGACCGTTTTTAAAACTAGGCGAAAACATTTTTGAGGACTAAAGACTATCAAGGTTTGCTTTCTCGTTTTTTAAGCATAGCTAAGCATGTTTGTCTGGTCGAATCAAATCATAAATATGTTTAAAATTCCTCTATATTGTACGTCGTTTCGGTCCCAACGTGACCTTTTCAAGTACAATTGACACTTTTGACAATATATATTGTTTATCTGTATTCCAAGTGACACTTTTTTTTCTTCCATGTTCACAATGCAATTTTAAGATAGCACCGTGTTAAACCAGCAAAGCCCAGATCCGCCGGGGGTACGTATTCTCGTTCCCAAAAGAACGTCCAGCCCTCGAAAGCGACAAGCGAGCATGAGGTTATGTGTCTTTTTTTGAATATGCTAGACAGGTTACCCTTGCCCACCGCCCCGAAAACGCCAAAATCCTTCGAAAACGCGAAGACCGACCCAGAACTGTTATCGTATCACACTGGTTAATTATGGATCTGAAATGAGAGAAATAGTACTTCGACATCCAAAGGGTACAATGTTGTTTGTGAGGACTCAACAGTTGAGATGGTCAAGAATCTGCGTATTTAAGATCCAATAAGAAATCACAAGAAAAGACCTGGAAGTAAAAAACGCTTGATCCATCAGTTGGCTTGGAAAATACCGTTTAGATTTTTCCTTCAAGGATACTCAACCAAATTGCGTCACAGTCTAGAAGAACTAGAAAGACAATAATTGTCTTTAGGATTAAGCTATCATTATTATTGCGTAATCCTAATCTGCTAATTTCCGTTATTTTTGAAATCCAATATTATTTTGGATATATATTCTGGAAAGATTTTTTTGAATGCAGCTAAATAACCTTCGCACTAACTACCTTTTTTAGTGACCTTTAGTAACGCCACGATTTTCTGGCTGAATGAAACCTTACACGTGGTAGCCACAAGGTTAGTAAAAAGTAATTCATACATATTTACGTGGTTTCATTTGACCAGTAGATCTTGGAATTCCACCAGCATGACAATCACAAGATAAGTTCTGGTTGTGACATTAATTTTGTCTTTTCAGCTATCATGACTCGCTCAAGCACCCTCCGGAAAATAATTCAAAAGCGTTTGCCGATTTTAAAATGGAGCAGAGAGTACACGACAAAGCACCTGATTAGCGACGTCATAGCTGGTTTCACAGTTGGACTGACTGTGATGCCGCAAGCTTTAGCTTATGCTACATTAGGCGGTCTAGAGCCACAGGTATGGATACGACAATTTTGTGTTTATTCCAGCTGTTTTTTCATGGTTTCACTGGGGGTAATATACGTGAAATAGTTTTAAAAGATCAAAGGTCACATAGTTTTGTAGGGCCATCGTCTCAAGAGCTTGATTTACAGGGTGCCCTGCAAATAATGCAATATGTACAGTCTACGAAAACCATAAGCTCGCTAGTTTTGGTCTGAAAACAAGGTTGAAATCACTTTTAAATAAACTAATCCCAAATTACTCTTCAAGGTCTTATAGAACAAGGTTTTGTCTTTAATATTTATACTTAAAGACCTCAAATATAATTTTTAACCGAGTTTTTAAGCACGGTAACACAGATCAAATTTGTTTAAATAATTGACCATTGTTTGTCCGGTTTTTTTTAAATTATTATGAACAAAAGGAAGAATTCCATTAATCTTTCTCTGAAGCTGGGCGTTTTCGGGATATACATAAGCGATTTAATGTCTCAAAAGCCCTAAAAATGGGTATATTCACTGCTGAAAAATTGGTTAAAAATTATAACTGTTGCGCTCGCTAAGCACCTTAAATTAATGTTTAAGCCTTGATTTTCGAAACCCCAAACAGTATTTTGAGATTAATTCATTTTTAAGCGATTTTTAACTTTGTCTGTTACGACATAATTGGCGAACTTTTGATTTTCGCAGACTATCCGCATAAAAAATGTCCCAAAGATTTGCTTCTAGAAATCAGATCTTCTTAAGTACTTTTTGAACAGCAATCTAAGTTCAACAACAATTTGAAGGTATTGTAACTCAACTTATTTAAATCGCCAGGGGCGGATTACTGATTTTTTTTATTTCAATTAAAATTTTCAATTCTTTATTTACTGCTAAATACAGTGCGTGTTTGCAGACGTCAAAAAAATACAATGATGACATTTATTAGCAAGAAAATAAAAAAGCAACAATCAACATGAAAAATTATACTCAAGATCAATAAACACTACTACAATCACAAAAATTTCAAATGGCACGGAAACGAATTAAAAAGAACTACTGGAATTCCGAAAAGTCACCGATGAAAAACTCATCACAGTTGTAGTTTGCTTTGTTGACCAAATTTAAATTTTCATGTTAAAGGCTCGTCGCTAAGGAGCTTTACTTTATCTGGAATTGCATTATACTGGGTGCGCCATCTATTACTTTCTTTTTACCTATAAGTTTAAGTGTTACCATGTGAGTCAAAAGTCATGTGGTATGCATAAATGAACTGTCAAAAGTATGCCGTTTATAGTCATGGGTTCGTTTACAACACAACAACGCATTTTGGTTATCCAAACTTATTACGAAAATGGCCGAAATATAAAAAATACTTTTCGCAAACTTCGCACTACTTTTGGCCGACATGGACGCCCTACAGAGCCTGGAATTCGTTGGATTGTTAATCGTTTTGAGGAAACTGGTTCAGCTGAAGGTCGTAGACCATACCAACATGCTCGTCCAGCTCGTACTCGTGAAAACATAGCCGCAGTGAGTGAAAGTGTGCTAGAAGATCCAACCACCTCGACTAGGCACCGTGCGCAACAATTGGGAATTAGTGAGACCACTTTACGCCGGATTTTACATGTTGATTTACACCTCCATCCATACAAAATCCAACTAACACAAGAATTGAAGCGTGTTTTTGTTAATTGGATGCTGGAAAGAGAAGACGAATTTTCGGCCAAAGTGTTCTTTTCTGATGAGGCTTATTTTCACCTCAATGGGTACATAACTAAGCAAAATTACAGATTCTGGGGGGTTGAAAATCCACACCAATATCATGTACAACCTCTCCATCCTGAAAAAGTGACTGTTTGATGCGGATTATGGGCTGGTGGCGTCGCTGGACCATTCTTCTTTGAAGAAAAGGCCTTTACCGTCAACGGGGAACGTTATCGCGACATGTTAACAGACTTTTTGTGGCCACAATTGGATCGTATTAGTGCCGACGATCTTTGGTTTCATCAAGACGGAGCAGCGGCTCACACATCTCGCCAAACAATCGCCTTATTGCACACGAAATTTCAAAACCGCATAATTTCACGAAATTCAGATGTCAGTTGGCCCCCCAGATCGTGCGATTTAATACCTCTTGACTATTTTCTTTGGGGATTGTTCAAAGGAAAAGTGTATGCGAATGGTCCCCGGACAATTCAAGACCTAAAGCAAAATTGCGGCCATAGACCCGATTATTGTGGGAAAAGTCATTGACAATTTTAATGTTCGCCTGTAAACGAAGCCGCGGTGGTCACATGACTGATGTTATTTTTCATACATAAATGGCATAAACCAACCTTCATTTATCAATAAAAAAATCGATTTCACCTCGTAAAAAGCGTATTGATTTTTCAAATTGAAAAAAAGTAATAGACGACGCATCCTGTAGTAGTGAATGAAGTGGTAACCATTTCTAATAGTTTGTAGATGTTCTTGTGATAAATTTAACTTGTGGGCATTTCACGTGTTGTGCGTTGTATACAAATGACGATCTCTATGGTTGAACGATAAGCAAGTTAGGATAACAACGTCGGGAGGGTTAATATTTTCAGGTGAATAAAAGCATATATCAACATGGATCCCTAAATCATAAACCAAAGATTCATTCCGTATAGTAGTGTCGAGGTTTTCAGAAAATCAGTCTTAGTTGGATACTGTTTCTATGGATTTACACTATAGCCGATTCTGAAAAAAAATAAAATTTGCATAAGTGATCTGAAAATTTAGATCTTAGTATTTACAAAAACGTAGCTTAGGAAATCTCCCTTAGGTATTACGGAACTTCAGTAAATAGACCAAACTCCATAGAATCGCTTCCGTATTTAAATCTGTAAATAAAATATAAACATAATTCTTCTTATCTTCTTCTTCTTTATCAATAACGGTTGATGCCCGTTGCTACTTTTTTATCAATGAACTAAAAATACATATTTAAGGAAATAAGATATTGGCACTTGACCCAATTTTCAAAGTTTAATTTTATTTTCAGTATGGCTTATACTCGTCCTTCGTGGGCTGTTTCGTATACGCAATTTTTGGTAGCATAAAGGATATAACAATCGGCCCTACAGCCCTCATGGCCCTTATGACATATCAACAAGTAGTTGATAGAAATTTCGACTACGCCTTTTTGCTGTGCTTTTTGTCTGGAGTTGTTCAGATAATTATGGCAGTACTACACCTAGGTAAGGCTTCACAATCCTTCAGGAAATCACGAACCGTCGAAAAATGAATCGGTCTTCACGGTCGTATCAAGCTATACAGGTCCCCATGGTCCTGCGGCTAAAGGGGTCCCAGGACAGAACGAAATGCACGGTCCTATTTTGTCTTTTGGGAATCTTCGATTTTTGGATATTTGGGACCACTCATCAATATACCTATGTCAACAAGTGTTGAATTGGATATTGTTTTGCACATTTTGACGTTATGACTGCGAATGCACAATTTTAGATCGGACATAGATATAAACGAGTCTCTAGAGACATTTACAGTAGCGGGCACAAGTTTGGAAACATTCTTAGTAATTTTTAAAAAGTGCGCGAATTTTTCATACTTTATTATTAAGGACTATTTTTTTCTCATATAGTGTGTTTGCTGTGACACTGCAGACTAGATTTAAAATAATTTCATATTATTTTATGACCAAAAATGAGACGACAACAGTATGGAAACGTATTTTTTATTACAAAATTAAATACAATAACAGGCTTTAAAAAACTGTTTAGCTAATATTTGGTAGCATAGCTTTTAGCATTCAACACTGCACATAAAAGACACCAATTTTTTACATACTGTTGTAATATTTTGCCAAATATTTTTTACATAATCAAATAGATCGTTCCTATTTTTTTAAGTTTTTCTTGTCAGTTGTCTTTTAACATGCTCCCAGAGATGTTCTATACGGTTTAAGTCCGGGGTTTGCGAAGGCCATGTAAGAACATTAACATTTTTTAGTCATAACCAGTCCTTTACGAATTTTGAGGCATATTATTTTGCTAGAATGTCCATCGTAAAGGCATTTCTTCTTCAGCAAAAGGGAGCATGTGTTCACTAAGAATATCATTATGAAGTTTTTGATCCATTTTGCCAACAATTTTAACAATTGGACCAGTTCCAGAACTAGGAAAATACCCCCACGCCATGATGTTGCCTCCACTGTGCTTAACTGTTGGCAACTGATACTTTTTGTCGAATCTTTTGCGTATTGGACGTCTCACATACGAGTATGCCGTACCGTCAGATCCAAACAAGTTAAATTTGCTTTCATCGCTCCATAAAACTGTATTTCATTGTTGTTATGTCCAAGTTAGATGAGTTTTAGCAAATTCAAGCCAAGCAATACCATTTTTATAAATGAGAGGCTTTTGCACTGGACGCCTACCAAAAAGCCCAAAATCCACCAAGCGTCCCTGCACTGTTCTGACAGAAAGATTCTCGGCACCCTCTTCTATGGTTTTTTTGAAAATCTGTGTGGTTGGCATTCTAGGATCTTCATGGGACAAAAGTTTAATGTAAGGATCCAAAACATAACCTTCCGCACCTGGGACGCGTTGCTGTTGATTCGTATTCTTAATATTTACTAATAAATCGTCCCATTGTTCATTTTTATTCTTTGAGAAATGTCAACATTTCTGACACCACTTGTATATAATTCAATTACTTTGTATCTTTAATATTTTGAAAATTCTTTCATTTTTGTCATTCTCGCTGATGTTAATATTTACCACACGCAATATCAGAGTATCGCAGAACGAATAGATACGGCAAACCTGACATGTTTCCATACTTTTGTCGATACAAAACTGTGGTGGTTACAAAAACGCGTGTTTCTATTTTCAAAGAATTTGAATATTGTTAAAATAAACCATGTATTAGTACGGGAGACAAAGGTAGACTTTAATATTTATATTACTTATCTGTTCTTTCACAATTTTGATTTAGGTATATGAAATAGTTCATAATAATGCTAATATTTGTTTCCAAACTTTTGTCCGCTACTGTATGTGCATATTTCATAAAAAATAAGAATAAATATAATCAAGTTGAGAAAAATTGAATGGATAGTTTATAGCAACCAAGTATTACGAGGTCAAACACATACAGGGGAGCCCAAACGTGGTTGGTCCAATGTCAGATAAAAAGATGAAAGAACAAAAATTGTGAATTAGAACTACTCGCCGATTTGAATTTTGGAATATGACTTATTGAATTATATCTCACAAACATAGCCTTTGTTTCTACTTGGTACAACATTTTTTTGCGATTTTTGCTAACTGGGCGTTTTTGAAATCAGGATAGGTCGATGTGGTCTAAGGGGTATCTATAGTATTTTCAAAAAACAACTAATTTCGTAGATAGATCATTTTAAAATCGATCTATCCTTATTGGAAAAACCTCTATTATGTTTCATAACGATCATGTACTAAATTTTCAGGAGTATTAGTGGACTTTATATCCATACCGGTCACGGTAGGTTTCACATCTGCTACATCTGTGATAATAGGAGCATCTCAACTGAAAAGTCTGTTGGGACTGAAGATTAAAGCCAACGGATTTTTAGACACAATGAGCAAGGTTTTGCAAAATATTCACCAGACCAGGACAAACGACTGCGTACTTGGGATCACTTGTATCGTCTTTCTTATGGCATTAAGGGTAAGAAAATATGTCGTTTCTTCAATTCTGGACTAAATTATCGTAGCACATCTAAAGTGTATTTATCCAATAAAGACATTAAACCAAAACAATAACCAGCGCGTGATATATTTCAAGAAACGGGGACCAAAACTGTTATTGACAGATCGGTCGAGCCAATATCGGGTGTTTCAAATTCAATCCTCACCACTGCGATCTCGGTAACAGTAAGATAATTCCACATCAAAATTGCCACTTTTCTTGTCTACAAGATGGCATAATTAGAATTTCAATGTAACGTTTCGTGTCTTGTCCTCCAGCATTAACTTTATTCTTTCTAATTGACGCCATATTGGATTTTCGCACAGATAAATATAATTTTTAATTCCGATTGCAAAAATATATATACAATACATGAACATTGCCAAGCCTTGGTTATTAAAGGAAAATGGAATTTCCTAGGTATGCCTTGAAGTTATCAGATAGCCATTCGTTTCGTATACCGGATGTATTGCCAAATAATATAACAAGAATGAATAGTACTGTTGGCGCCATCTGTTGGGGACCGCGCCAGACTCTCCTACTCGCCAGAGCCTCATGGCCGATCTCTGTTTTTACGAGGATCGCGACCGCATATGCCGCTTGGCGACATCTGTTGAGGACCGTGCCATGTATTATTTAAATGTATGAAATCCCAATATAGCGTTCATATGAAAAAACAAAGTTGGCGATGGAAGTCGAAAGAAGAAACCTTGAATTGAAAATTTGACTACGCCATCTTGTAAAGGAGAAAAAGTGGCAATGACAATAATATGCAATTCATTTTGAAATCCCATCTCAAATAAAGTCAAGAAAGAATTAAAATGAATCTGGTATAGGAAACAAATGACTATCTGATCAGTTCAGAACCTACATAGTAAATTCTGCTTTTTTAGGTTTGGCAACGTATGACACGTTATACATTTTTGGAATCAGCATTAAATCTCTACTCGTATTCATCTGTGCAAAAATCCAATATGGCGTCCATAAGATAAAATAAAGTTGATTCTGGAGGTCAATAGACGAAACGTGCATATTGAAATTCTGATTATGCCATCTTCAGGCAGCAGCGGTTCTCGTAGGCGGAGCCAGAATGAGTGCATGTTGCATGCACACGTGTGCCCTCGCCAGAGTCCGTGTGGCGTCCCATGTATCATGTATCCCCCTATAGCCCCACGGTACCCAAAGGGTGCTTAGGCCTTAGGCCTTCGTGGTAGTTGGACTATAAAAAAAATCTTGTAAAGGAAAAAAAGTGACAATGTTAACGTTCAGTGTAAGGAGAAAATTAAAACTTTCTGAGCAGCATTCTGTTAGTTACTTAAATACGCAAATTTGCCCCCATTTAAGCGATTTCGTATCTCTTACCGTTTCCGAGATCCCAATGGCGACAGTCAAATTTGAAACACCCTGTATACATGACCAATGCTAAACCAGGAAGATGGAGTGGGAGACGATGCGGCGGTGCATGCAACCTCGCCGGCCCTGTAACGCACTCGGCATTCTGAGTCCGATCACGTGAAGTCTGCGTGAATATGTTTGAGTTTAATTTCTTCGATGAATGGACTATAGTAACTTTCATATGCGATATCATAGGTAATATCGCTAATTTTACTATAATTTTTTCAGAGAATGAAAGACTTCACAGTGAACAAAAAGAACACGAAACCAAGCAAGAACCAAAGGGTAATCAACTACGGCATTTGGCTAGTGTCAACATCAAGAAATGCCATCATCGTCATAACTTGCAGTGCTATAGCATACTACTACACGTCCATAGGAGAAGAATCACCATTTTTGTTGACTGGATCCGTAAAGTCCGGTCTACCGGAGTTCAAATTGCCACCGACACAAACTGTATTGAATAACAGAACGGTCACTTTTGGTGAAATGGTGTCTGATTTAGGAAGTTCGATAGTCTTGGTGCCTATTATCGCTGTGCTAGGAAACGTAGCTATAGCAAAAGCATTTGGTAAGTTCAGAAATAGTTTCACTTCCTATTTTGAAAAAAATCTGGAAAATAAAATAATTATTTTGATCTCTTATTTGTCATTGTCTCTCACAACAGTCTATGGAATTTTTGATCTTAGGTTTAAGTCTGGTAAATCACTAGATCTGTGAAGAGTATTATTGTCTAGATAGAAAATAAAGTCAGAGCGGAAGAAGGAAAAGAAAGGAAGGTGGAGAGCAGTGATAGGGGGAAGTGTGTCAGTTAGAGGGGTATCTTGGAACTGCCATCCGGGTTTTTTAAACTGATTCTATAAAGCAATTTTCTGGTTTGTTGGAAAATACAAATTTTCTTTTGAATGTAAAATTGCAGCTTTCATTTTGTGTGTTGTGCTAGCTTGTTTGCGTACTTGTTCAATAGGGAATATGCATATGATTCAAACATTGGTTGATTATTATTTGCAGTCTATATTAGTATAAACACCTATGAAATTAGGAGTAATAATTAATAAAAAACGGAAATTATACGCGGAAAATGTAAAATGTCGAAACGCAACGCTATTCGCGTGAAGTCACCATTTTCGACTGGTGTCCAGCCAACCCTTTGTTGATTGGTCAATCTGATTTGAAATAGCAGCCCTTCGTTCTCACTGAAATTGACTGTCGTCCTGATAGATTGATGGTGGACTGATGTTTCATCATTTCGATTTCGAAAGAGCACAATTATACGTCGGATTGTTTTCACAACTTTCTTCTGCACTTCTGACCACGGACAGACTTGGTTCATGGCACATATGCTTCCTGAGTGCAATCATCAATGACGGAAAGTGGTTCACGATGTCACAGAATATTCTTCTTTAAATGGCAAATGGAAAAAAATATAATCTTTGTAATCTAAGATAGATAAAAACTAATCATATTTAGGCAAAATAGTAGTTCTATGTTCTGTACTTACGTTAAAATAATCTTTACGGCGATATGAATTCCTTTCTCGATATTATCCCCTTTTATAACGTTACACTACTTTTTTCTTATCTTAATAGTAAACTACAGTACTTTCCGCCCTTCTTCCTGCGTACATAGCGAATATAAAACCTTTGGAAAAATAGAATCAAATGACAAATCGTGGATTAGGACGTCACTGTCATTGGCATTGCATTTTTAAATGTTCAATTAAAAAAATATACAGATATTTCCATAAATTAAATATGAGTTTACAGTATTATATTGACGTAAATAATAGATAGAAAACACAAAAAAACATGCATATTCCCTATTCTTCCACTGAAGTTCTTGTCTGTTTTAGCCAGTGGATCAACGATAGATGCAACTCAAGAACTATTCACCCTTTCAATGTGCAACATCATTGGTTCTTTCTTTTCGTCTATGCCAATAACGGGATCTTTCTCAAGATCGGCAGTCAATCATGCCAGTGGCGTGCAGACCCCTGCAGGAGGAATTGTAACAGGTGAGCCTGAATTTAGATTAGAACAATTTCATTAAGAACCCCACAAACATAATTATGAAGAAAAGTCTGAAATGTTCTCTCGCAACTGCGAGGCTTTTACTTGACTTTGACATTTTTTTTTCAGGCATCATGGTACTTCTAGCACTCAGCTTCCTCACCCCATCGTTCGCGTACATACCCAAAGCATCCCTTGGGGCTGTTATAATCAGCGCTGTGATCTTCATGATCGAGTACGAGGTTGTGAAACCGATGTGGAAGTCGAGCAAGAAAGATCTGCTGTGCACTTGTGCTACGTTCATCGCTTGCCTGTTGATTGGGGTTGAATATGGGATTCTGTTGGGGGTTGGGATCAATATCGTGTTTTTGCTTTATCCTTCTGCCAGGCCTACTATTTACGTTGAAAAAATGAAGGTTAGTACACTTTACTTTTGATCCGATCAAAATGCACATTCAAGGTTGCAATCATTTCCATAAGGTTGTAAATTGGTACAAATTATAAGTGAAATGGGTAAAGCCCTCATCGATCCTGCGTGTGCAAAAAATATATTTGTATAAGGTCAAAGTTCCCAACATGCATACCAATTTTCAGCTTTATACGAATTACTGAAAGGTTACCCCTATTTTTTGGTCTATCTTGACCGGATTATTTCTAAGCCTATGAGAGGTAAACGTAGACCTCAGACGATATGAAGGGTTCACAGCATCGCATATTGGGGCACATGTAATAGCACTTGTCTTGCCTGTTATAGGGTCCGTTCCTTTAGCAGTTACATAATAGGTGGGCAGACTACTTAAAACATGTAATCTGTGGTGGACAACACAGCATCAGCTACGCGAAACCATTGCATTTAAAAGCTTCTCGCAATACGTCTTTTAAGTTTTGCATATAGAAACATAGTAGGCCGCGCGGATCGAATGTAATTACTGAATCTAAACCTCACTCTTTAGTAAACTTAAATTCAAAGTTTCACAACAATACGTTCAGTGCACTCACTACAGTGAATTTTTAAGTGTCACCAAGTCATTAGAAAAATGGAACTCAACCGAGAACATTTTCGCGCCATAATTGATTACAACTTTCAGAGACAATTATCGCAACAAGAATGCCTTGCTGAGTTACTGTCTGTTTTCGGCAACGAAGCGCCACATCAGTCGACAATTTCCCGTTGGTATGGAGAATTCAAACGTTAACGGGTGAGTCTTAGCGATGATTCCAGGGTGGGTGCACCAAAAACGTCAATCGCCCAGGAAAACGTCGATGCTGTGCGCAAACTCATCATTGAAGATAGACATGTGACATATCGCGAGATTGAGGCGTCCTTGGAGATCTCAAAGACCTCAATTCTAAAAAATTTACATGAAGAATTAGGAGTAAGAAAATTAGTTTCTCGTTGGATACCCCACCTGTTGACTGAAGAGCAGAAAGCAGCCAGGGTTAATTGGTGTCAAAAAACGCTTGACCGTTTCAATTCCGGAAACTCAAAAAATGTGTACAGCATTGTTAGTGGTGATGAATCGTGGATTTACTGTTATGAACCAGAAAATCAACGACAGTCGGCTGTTTGGGTGTTCCAAGGTGAAGAAAAGCCAACAAAAGTCATCCGTTCTCGAAGTGTTTCGAAAAAGATGGTCGCGACATTTGTGTCAAAAGCGGGTCATATTGCAACAATTCCTCTTAACGAGCAAAGAACTGTTACTGCGGATTGGTATACCACCATTTGTTTGCCAAAAGTCATCACCGAGCTTCGAAAAATCAACCCCGAAAGAAGAATCATCCTCCACCAAGACAATGCAAGCTCGCCCACAGCCTTAAAAAACAAGACAGTATTTAACGGAAGAAAACGTGGAACTATTGGACCATCCTCCATATAGTCCCGATCTAAGTCCTAACGATTTCTTTGCTTTCCCGAAAATTACACTGCGTGGTCAAAGGTTCCAGTCACCAGAAGAAGCAGTTGACGCATTAAAAAATGCCGTTTTGGATCTGCCAGCAAACGAGTGGAATAAGGGCTTCGAAAATTGGTTCGTGCGCATCAGATGTGTATTAATCTTCATGGAGAATACTTCGAAAAACAATAGAGTCATTTAAAACTACCTACCTTGTTGTTTTATTTCCATATGCAAAACTTAAAAGACATCCCTCGTAGCTGTCTAGGTCTGACACTCGCCCAAAAATACAGTGTATAATGTTTAGCAAGTTGCGTTACCGCGAATTATTGTATATACTGTAACGTCATGAACCTGGCGTTTCTTGCCCTATAAATTATTGGCATACAGACGTCAATAAATAAAAAAAGTTACTGATTGAGATCATTGAATCACTTGGATCGTTAAGCTACAGCGGCATAACTAATTTTAATAAATAATAAAAAAGAGTCATGCTTTAATTACAGTAGAATCTAGACTTCTTTGGATAAACGATTCGCTAGTCGGACATTGCATTATCGTGATTGATATCAATCAACAATGAACGAAGTCACTGATGGTATTTGAACCTTTCATTACTACTGAAAACGTATAAAAAATATACGTATGTTCCACAAATAGTCATCAATACCGAAGTATACAACTCGCGAATCGTAGAATTCGAACCACTGTTGATTTACAGCTATAACAAAACAAAATAGGTATGTCGAACGATAATTTTCGAAAATACGCCCCTGGTTTACAATCACAGTTGTTAAAGCAACCAAATTGCAGAAGTATCCGATTATTTTAGATATGTTCACAAAGCAGAAAATTATATAAAATCAGTTCTCTACTACTTTGAATTATTTGTATGTGGAATAAAAGGGATAAAACAGATGACTGAAACTCACCATAATATACACAATTTTGTTCTTCGGATTTCACGTATTATCCACAGTTTTCACTAATAGTTCGAATAATAAATTGTTCGGAACTAGATAATCACTTAACAAATCATTAATTGGTAGGTTACCGGTCGATTTCTTGGATTATAAACAAGTGTTACCATTAACCTATAAAACATGAGAAATGAAAATTGCTTGAATAACACCGCCCAAAGGCCTACTTGATTTTTTGGAAGAAATGAGTGTCTGGCTAGATGCATAGCCTACTTTTGATTTGTCCGCAAATTTATAGACAAAGGCAGGTATTCGCTACGAGGGTAGCAAAAATTTTTTGATAAACTACATCAATTAATGAGTTGATTAGTCATTTAATCTTTGCGCAAGTTTTAATTGTTTAGCACAGGTGGAGGGGGAACATGCTAGATAGCCGGTATCAACTTGAGAATTTCGTTAGAAGAAGTCATAAATGCTTGGCGCTCTTATAAAACCTTCCAGTTACATTTGAAGACACAGCAACGGGATAAGAAGTAGATTGTAGAAAAATAAATGCTTCCTTTTTGCTTGGTTCTTTAATCACAAAAGCCACAAGAATGTACATTTTTCAATTCAACACATTTTTTTACAAATTTTTTTTTGAGATAATCGAATTATGTCACTCTTTATTAAGCCTGTCACTTTCCAAATTTCTTGCTTTTATCTCGAAAAAAATGCGTATGTTTTAGATCGAAAAGTGATAAAACGGCCTACTTTCTATTAGTTATTGGTCTCCTGGTAGAAGAGCGGAAGACAACGTTCAAGGAATAAAAATATCAGAATGATCGTTTATGTTTTTTTCAGACACCAAACGGTATTGAGTATGTGACGATAACCCCAGGAAATAGCTTATATTTTCCCGCTGTGGATTTCATAAAAACAAGTGTGGCTAAAGCTGGGGTATCTTCAAAACATTTAGCCGTAGTGATCGATTGCAGATTCATATTAGGTAAGTAAAATTCTAGAAACATTCGACAATAGCATTTTTTGAGTGTTTGAATTATTTTAAAATGTGCGATATTTTCATAGCTTACCAGGTCACTGATTAATCATTGATAGGTTAGCGATTACCGAATCGGTATAATCTTAAGAAATTTTAGTAAATAACACTCTTTAATATTGTAAACGTGTATTATTTCAGGTGCGGATTTCACAGCTGCAAAGGGTATATCAGCATTAATAAACGAGTTCTGTCTACGACAGCAACCACTATATTTTTCGAATACAAGATCTGAAGTAGTTTCTGTCTTTGAAGGAGTCATGCAGCAAGATTTCAAATACTTTAGTACAAAAGAGGAACTAGAAAAATATATAGAAGGTAGGCATAAAACATAAAATATATACAATGTCTTATAGTACAATAATTATATTATTATTATTAGGGAAATTCTAACAGTCAATTTTTGACTGCTACCGGAAACCATGCAACAATTTTACTTCCTACGCCATTATCAGTGTCTGTCTCTGCCTGTCCGTTAATGCTTGACTCCACTATAACTTGGAAAGTACCGATCGGACTTTGATATTTTCACACAAAGTTACTACTCTGCCAATGACGCTTAAATTTTTTTAAATCGATCCAGTGGCGGCAGAACTAAGGGCAAACAAAGTAAAAAAACTATAACTCAAATTTCGTTTTTTGACGTGCCAATGGATTCTAGATATATACTAAGTGATATATAAATCCGAACACCCAGTTTAAATGGTTTTATTTTAATAAAAGTTGGTGAATGTATTTATCTTACTGTAAATAAAAAGTGAAAAATTTTCAGCCTTATCAGTTGGACATTCCGGTTTTTATACTGCTTTTTTTTAATTCACTAACGCTCTAAAAATGAATATTTCAGCCGCAGTAAAGAATCAACGTTGGCGGATTTTGGTTCTTGACATCCTTTACGATGGGTTACGATGCCTAGAGTACGGAGACCTGTACGATTTCGTCAACTTAGTGAGTTTGATAGGGGCCGTATAGTGGGACTTCGGGAAGCTGGATTTTCTTTTTCGGGCAATTGCAGTTAGAGTGCAAAGAAGTGTAGACACTGTGGTTAGGTGTAGTCAGGCATGGCTTCGAGAAGGCCGTACGCAAAGAGCAAGGGGCACTGGACGCCGCCGTAGAACAACAGACCGTGAAGATCGCCGCCTAAGATTATTGGCCTTAAGGGACCGTTTCTCCACTACCAGGTCCATTACAAATGAATGGTTTGCAGAACACGGAAGACCTATTGGCATGCGAAGTGTTTACCGACGAATGAGAAGTTTTGGCTTGTTTTCGTACCGGCCACACTGGGTCCTCCCTTTAACTCGAGAACACCGACGTAATCGCCTTGAGTGGTGCAGACAACGTTCACTCAGGGATCAGGAATGGAACAGTATTGTCTTTAGTGACGAGTCTCGATTTTGTTTAGGCTTGCACGATGGTCGTGTCAGGGTTAGAACGCGACGTGGTGAAAGGATGAATCCACAGTTTTTTGTTGAAAGACATCTTCATCACACTGTTGGAGTTATGGTTTGGGGTGCTATAGCTTATGGTTCCAGGTCATCTTTAATCTTCATCAGATGTAACATGAACGCGCAGCGTTATATCCACGAAGTTCTAGAACCACATCTTTTACCCTATCTTGACACCCTGGCAGATCCAACTTTCCAACTAGATAATGCCCGACCACATGTTGCAAGAGTCACAATAGACTTCTTTCAACATAATGATGTCACATTGTTACCATGGCCACCAAGATCTCCCGACTTATCCCCAATTGAGCACGTATGGGATATGATAGGTAGGAGATTGCTCAATTTGCAACGTCCTCCTCAGACTCTAGAAGCACTTCGAGAGGAGTTGGTGGTTGCCTGGAATGAGATACCACAGGAGGACGTTGACCACCTGATCAGAAGCATGTCTAGGCGCGTTGGAGAATGCGTAGGACATCAGGGGGCATCCACCCATTATTAAAGGTCAAAGGGCTTTAAAGCAGTGCAATCATTTTGAAATTTTTATCATTTACTTATTATGCTTCATTAAGTACTTATACAAAATTTTATTAAAATAAAACCATTTAAACTGGGTGTTCGGATTTATATGTCACTTAGTATATTTAAATTTTGACGTTGGTATATTTCTACTCCTCCGGTAATTCTACGTACCTTTTAGACATATTCCACTCATCATAGATTACCTTGTACATATATTCTTAAAACTTAGATCATACGCCTCACGGTCTTGACAATACATGTGTGTAGCAGTCGGCCTCCGCTGCTCGACAAGATGCCAAATTTACACATAGTTTCCATCATGTGGGGAGAAGTATCCGACGGCAACAGATAACTGTGTGAACTGTGTGTGAAAGCGTACCTGCTTCTAAAACTTTGAAGAGCGAAGGGTGGCATATTTTCTTGTAATGTGCGGAAAATCATGCTAAATATGCAAATTTTAATTGTATGAACCTATTTGACTAACTTCAGTCTAAAAAGTATTAAAGAAATAATTCTGAAATGAATTTTGACACTGCTTCTCTAACTTCAAGAGGATAGTCGCTTATCTAGGACGTAATCTTCAATTTTTCATTTTCTAGATAATCCTTTGGAGATAGATGAAACCGAGAATCTCCTAAGTTACACTGAAGGATACTTGGACACTCCAAGCAATTGCCATAGGAGAAATGTTGAACTCAAAGAAGTGAATTGTGAGAGTGAATGTGTGAACAATAGAATTATTTAATGTATTTTTAAGTGTACTGTTTGTATTTTGTGCTCAGTATTCAATACATGACATGTTTTATAATTTATAAATACTGGTTCATTGAAATGCTCATCGCATTGAATTAGAGGAAGAACTTCCTAAAACGGAATTTTTTGAAATTCTTTTCCAGTAGTATGCTATCAAAGTTTAAGGTTCCTTAAAAAAATGGCCATTTTTGTTTTTTGTTGTTACAAGAGAACGAAACTGGGCTTTCTGGGTAATTTCGGACGGTGCTTTCGGATATGGTAATCAAAAAATGCCAAGGAGTTGCGAAACTCTATTTGAAGGTAAATTGAACTAGCAAAATGAAACATTTGGAGCCTCTCATCGATCTTAGAAAAGAACGTACCGGATTTATACAAGGAAGGGATTGCGGTCGAGACTGTAAATACGCGAGATTCTTTAAAATTGACTTGCATTCTTTTGAGCTCGACACAAAATTTCCATTTTCGTCTCCTATTATTTCAAGTCAACAAAACGCGGTGGTCTGGGGTAATCTGGGTCGCTGATGGTTTCAATTATAGGCCTCAAAAAGTGCTAATGTATCTCGGAGTCCTAATTATTGTGCTAAAATTGGACTTTTGGGGCATTCCATCAGTCCCAGCGGAATACTGACTTAAGATGCGGTCTTGCCGGGACTCGTAATATTTAAACATGAAGACTAGATATAGGAAGTTAAACTGCATACGGGAAAAGACGTATTCGTATGAAACCACTACTGGCGGTGAGGAGGACGAAAAGCCATTACTCATGTGCGGGGTTTCTCAATTAGAACGATAGTATTTGAAATTGAAATAAAACAACTAAAATATGATCAATTTTCATACTCATTGGCTTTGATAGTAGATTTTATGCCATTTATGATTTAAATGATACATGGTTGAAATGGCCTCCGCAACGGCTCTGTTTGCCTGGTTGATCCGGACACACCAACTTTCGATGACTCTGTGCAGCATTTCGGCTGGTATGGCCGTTATAGTTAATTGAATGTTGCGTCCAAGGTCTCAAATTGTTGCTGGGTTATTGGCATATACTTTAGATTTAACATACCCCCACAAAAATAGTCTAAAGGTATCAAATCGCACGATCTGGGCGGTCAATTGTCAGGTCCGTTTCTTGGAATAACTGACTCGCCGAACTTATCACGCAGTAAATTCATTGTTTCGGTTGCCGTATGGCATATTGCACCATCCTGTTCAAAATAGATGTCATCTGTACAATTTCTTCAACTTCAGGAAAAACAAATTCGTTCAACATGTCACGATAACGCTTGCCATTGGCAGTAACCGTACGGCCTTCGTCGTTTTTAAAAAAGTTCGGGTCAATGATGTCACCGAACCATAATCCGCACCAAATCGTCAATTTTTCTGGATGTAATATTGTCTCATGAACCACTCTCGGATTTGAGTCACTCCAATAACGACAATTTTGTTTGTTGACATATCCATTCAACCAAAAATGAGTCTCATCTGAGAAGATGATTTTGCGATGAAAATCTGGATCGGTTTCCATCATTTCCAGGACACAGTCAGCAAACTCACGACGCAACCGATGGTCTGTTGGCTTGAGTTCTTGTGTCAATACCATCTTACATGGATGTAGCCCGAGATCAAAACGTAAAATACGCCACGTTGACAGACATTCTGGACAGCCTCAATTCTTGTGAAAGGCGTGGAACAGACACATTTTTATTTTCGGCGACACTGGCTGAGACGGCCGCTATGTTCACTTCACTACGGCCAGATCGCATTATGGTTGGTGGTCTACTATCGTGCAAAGCATGTATTCACTTTCCAGTTTTTGAATTATGCGACGTATAGCGAGCTGAGACGGTGCACCATGACCAAAAACTGGACCTCTTCCAAACGTTGAGATAACGTTAACTTGTTCATTGGTAAATAGCAAGCTTTACTGAACACAAAATAACTCGGCTGTTAGAAAATTGACAACTAAGATGGCGGCAGTGAGTTGTCAAAATAATATCATCCCTATTAGGAAACCCTGTATATATATGCACGTGAAAGAGATGCAGACATGAGAGAGATGCCACATGCGCAGAACGTAAAACACACTTCTGACGCAATGGGTATAGTTAGCCTTCATTCTTGACACTTTTAGCCTCACCCCCACTCTATGAGTTTACCCTCCTATGTTTAGTCTCCTTGTACTCAAACCATGCTTTAGATGACGTCTCGTGCCTGAGCGCCATTCAAACCTCATTTACTCCGAATCAAAACAAAATACGAAGACTCAAATGCTGCTTCTATTCGCTTGTCGTTGCCTAAACGGGCATTTATGGCGCATTGGCGTGCGCATTTGTAATTGCTCGCTGATGTTTGTTTTGACTCTTTGTGCTTAGAAGTGGAATAATATACCAAATCGGAAATAAAGTGCGATTTATTGAAAAAATATCTTATAGCTTAAACGTAAAAAAAGGATTAATAAAACACCATATCCACAATGACAATTTACTTAAATACAACAGTGTCCAGCATAGACCCTAAGCACTGCACAATATTGTTTGTCATCAACACGTCAACCTTTTCTTCCAAATGCCTTTTGGGGTCCTGTTTTCCTACATTCTTGATTGCCAACTGCTCGGGTGTCATTTTCTCTTCCTCTTCCAATGCCTTGTTGTAGTTCTTCGCCAGTTCGAGCATATCTGATACAGTCTGTAGATTATACAATTATTCAGTATCAGTTTCAGTGCTCACGTCAAGCCAAAAAACAGGCAGATACTCACTCATCCATACTTCAGGTCGTTAAATGACAAATTATGCATAACGATGACAGATAAGAACATATTTAATTAATGTATCTGTGGTGCTGATGGATCTTGACATTCAGGGTTGCCAATAATTTTTACAGGGTGTCCCAGAAATAACAAGCCAGAGTGACACCGGAGGTAGATTGGCTTCAGATCAATCAGATAAAATCAACATGGCCTTGATAAAAGTTTTCTAGTTTTCGAGATATTTCAACAAATCTCTACTTTTTGCTCATTTTTTGCCTGTTATGGCTATAAATAACTTCTAACTTATTATTAATTTTTCCTGGGCTACCATTAATAGTTGGTTGTGACAACATAGTGTTCATTTCATTGAAAACTAACACAGCATAGGCTAAAAAAAACTAAATTATTACATTTGGTTTCAATGCGAAAACCTTTACTAAAGTCTGACTAATTACCATGAAAAACAATGTAGCAGACTGTAAATCAGCAAATGACCTTTTAAACTAGCTATTTAATGTTCTTTAACAAATAGTATAACATTTTTGTAGATTCTTTTTACTAAAAACTGAATAATTACAAAAAAAAAATTATATTTTTAAGAGAGCATTAAATAGGCTACTTTTCAAGATTATTTACCGATTCAGTCTGGTACATGTTTTTCACAGCAAATAGTCAAACTTTAGTAAAGGTCTGACTTCACATTGTCATATCGTGCTAGCTTTCAATGAAATGAATACTCTGTTGTCTCAACAAACTATTAATGATAGCCCAGGAAAACATAATTATTTAGAAGTTCTTTATAGGAGCAAAAAGTAGGGAAGTTCTTTATAGGAGAAAAAAGTAGCAATATATCGAAAACTGTAAAACTTTTATTGAGGTCATGTTGATTGTGTTATTTCTCGGACACCCTGTATATAGCTTATAATGTTTATCATGCCTTTAATGCCTTATTTTGGTGAGCAAACTTTTCAATAATGCCTCCCATTATTTCTGTGAAACAGCAATCAATTCTGTCATTCAGGTCAACGTAATATGGGATATAATAAATTAAGCATGCTGAACACTCAGTGTTTTGGGCAAACAGTGAGTATCACATAAAAATCATGTTCAATATAATATACTGAAATTTGAAAATGCTTTCAACCAAAGAATGCCATAGCCTTCCATATTAAAAAAACAAGGAAAGCCCCACACCAGCTAAGCAACCTTCGTCGAAGCAAATTACACCGGATACCTCATTTTTGCCAGAATATGGAAAAATATGTAAAAAGTATGATGATTCAAATGTACCAATTTATTTCTGCGGTTTTTCTGAAAATGGTAGCTAAAAATATCCAAAAGTTTTGTTCTTACATTTCAAACTCATTCCTCACAGGTCTACTACAATCCGCAATTAACAAAAAAGTTATTATAGTAGAATATGGTTCATTCTTAAATTGTTTCTATCCACGTTAAAAAGAAATGGATTTCAATAAAACTTAAGTCCTTGGAAAGTAAATCAAAACAATGTTGTCAGGGTTAAAATATTAGTATGTTAGAAAAAAGTATTTTTGTTAATTGTATTTTACTCATACTGTAGAATACTTACAGAAATCACAAATTATTTCTAAAGAGCTGTGTTCTGGCATGCAATTAATATGCGCATTACAAAATTGACATAGAGGTAACAAAATTGTAAATGTAACAAATAGTTTGACATAGTTATTTTCTTCAATTCTCACTTTTTTGTTGTTCCAAGCCCGTCTGATGGCGATGATTCAAAATACTTGTATAAATTCTTACATCTTTACTATAGCTTAGAACCATGCAGAAAAAATAATACCTTTTCATTCACGCCACAGTTTTCTTTGTAGTCCGCTAGTGTAAGGCCGTCCATCCACGACTTCTTGTGCAGGTTGAGCAGCATCTTTTGTTCAAGTTCGTTCTTACGATAATTGATACTGATTGAGTAATAGTGACGGTTCAGGCCGTGAATCAAGGCCTGAACTGACGGTTTTTGTAAATGACCTAAATTCGAAGTGGTCTGACGTGGCTCTTGGCCTAATACCATCATGTTTGGATTGATCAGTCTGGAACAAATGAGAATATCGTCAGAATTACGTACAACAGATATGATTTTGAAAAATAGCATAACGCAGATTAGCTGTACACATCCTTTTTACCAAAAATTAGTTTAACCAACCTCAGCTAAGCGAGATTTGTCCTAACTTCACCATTTAGGTCAAGTTTATTTTGTTCACATGCAAAATATCCCAAATTCAAATTGTGAGATTTTCAACTTTTCTTAGAATTACATGATCAACTCAGCTGTTCTTTTTAGACTCTGAAGTGAGTCAAACATTCACTGTTTTGACAGCCTCATTGCTGTTTGGACTGTCTCACTTCACTAACAAAATGAATGAAACTTATGATTTCTAATGAGAAATATCTTATTATTTATAACACCAAGGAAAAAAATTGTCAAAAGTTTTTGTTTCTCTATCACAACATGCTTTTCTAGAAAGAAAAAAATAAAGTGATATTTCTTATTTTATCCAAGTACTATTTTTTTTCTATTCATATTCGCATGAATTTCGCGAATGCGGATATATTATGCGGATATGCGAAGAAACATGCGAATATTTGCGAATGCGAATATTTGTTACATCACTAACTAGTTCAACCATATATTTGAATGTTCATACACAACTTTTATCATCATAACCATGTTGCCAATTAGGCTCGCTGTAATTGATTTAGAAGTGAAAAGACTACATTTTCTTTAACTTACTTATGTTTAAACACGGCATCAAGCTTTTGTATTCACAGAGTTTCTCAAATAACCCGAAGGTAAAATCCTATAACCTGCAGCAATAGTCTGAAAATTGGCAACGCTGCCACCTAAAGCTGGTAATCGACGTGCATATAGTTGTAATAATAAGTTGTTGGCGACGCGATAATTTGTCACCTCTCACTGGTCACATTGATATTGCTATTGGCTGCATATGGTCTCTAGTATTGACAAAGAATAGTTATATCAAGAGAAGACACTTCGTGAAATGTCTTCGTAAACCGCCGGTCGGCCTCATCGACCTTGGTTTTTTTCTGCAACTTGACGAGTTTGCTGTTCAGCATCGGAATACGTAAGAATTGACTCATTATTAACATATCATATCAGCAGGCGATGTAACCAAAACTTTGCTGTTGGCTCTATCACTGGTTTACAAGAAAAAGTTTCTGGTTTGGCGATTCGCTCATAGACGGCTCGACATTCTGGCAAGGATCCGCGTGTTTCGTTTACAGGTGGCTCTGCATTTACCGAGGCGGTGTTGCCACGCTGACACAAAATGTTTATAAAACGCTACAATTATATTGAACTGACTAGAGTTCAGTTCGTTTCGCGGTTTATGGTAGTTACAAGAAAAAGTTATTCCATATCTTTTTAAAGCCAGGCTGTCTAGATAACTGACAACCATGTCAAATATATCGGCGATTGGTCAAATAAGCAATTTGATGTTAGAAAAAGTTCTAATTTCGGACTAACATCCATCTTTGGTTCTTAAACTAAATCGTGTAATATTCAGCGTAGGGCCCTAAAAGTTAAATACTCGTATGTACTATATATGTGATGACTTACAAATTTTTGAAAATAACAATTATATTACGCGGAGAGCACTCTCGAAAATTGCGAATTATAACTTTATTGAATGAAAAATATATTTTAAAGGTTGCAAACAGATGATACGTGAATAACTGTCCAGACAAAAGTAAATTTGAACAAAAAATGCTTTCACTAGAAGTGATGGTCAATGAATTAATCCAAAAAAGATTATCTATCTGGCAACTCAGCATTTATCACTGTTCAAATAAAAACAACTCATGTTAAGATACCATCAGCTGTTTTGTGCACGCTATGTTTCATTTCTCTCTAATTTATTCACCTTGTCTTTTTTCTTATGGTATAACTACTCTTTGGTATTGCACCGCCACAATCAATTTTAAAAACTTAAATTGCGTGCAAAATGAATACCAAAACCCACCTAAAGGCGTCAATAACGACTTTCCCCTTGACCGACTGTATGGGGTCAACCACAACAGCGACCGCCCTCTCTGACAGCGCCTCAAAGCTCTGTTGCGTGTTAATGTCAACCCCTGACAGCCAGCACCCGAACCCTGGATGCGAATGGTACCATCCTACGACCATTTCTGGCCTGCCTGTTTGTCGTAGCATGTCCAACATTTTCGCCTGGAACACGGGATCGACTGCTTCTACGCTGACGCCTGTACCTGTCTGGGGCATGGCGAATACGTCGATCACGCGGACTGTGTAGTCGTCCACGAACTCGCCTGGAATTAAAAACTGTGAATCAGATCATTGAAATACGTAACGTGATGAAAAAGTCACGTGGAGTAAGGAAATAGCGCACACCCGTGATGGCAGGGAAAACATCGAAAAAATACCTCGCGATACCGCGAGTATTTATTTTATACTCAAACTACCACGAAGGCCTAAGGCCTAAACACAAATTGGGTACCGTGGAGCCATAGGGGGATGCAGGGGAAAGTGGGGACGCCACACGGACTCTGGCTAGGGAACACGTGTGCATGCAACATGCACACATTCTGACTCCGCCTACGAGATCTGCCGGGTGGTACCTCCGCGTTCGATAGTCAGAGACCGTCTACCATCTACGGACAATCACAACATCCATAGAGAAGAGAAAAATTTCTCCTGGGACGAGATTCGAACCCGCACAGCGCACGGCGACTGATGAGGACACCGAAGAGTCTACTACTGCGGCCACCGCTGCTGCCTAAATGTCTTCTATATTCGTACGATATACCATGCCATGCGCCAGCTAACCAGAGTATCTATATTCTGTTCGATTCTGGCGTACAAAGCAATACGCTAGAGGATTTTGGCTGTCGGCGTATACACTCAGCTGAATCCAATAACATGCTCGTGGATACCACATAGAAGATTTTTTTCCGAAAAGCATCCTAGCATATTTCTAAAAGCGACGGCATCTGCTGGCATGTTGTGTGAATCACAATAAACTAGTTAAACATGGTATAGGGAGAGTCATACATTTTCAACTTAAATCAAAAAAAAAAAATATCTAACAAAAATCAGTAACATAGTAAATAATAAGATTTAACGGTATATATCACAATATTCTTAGCTATTTTCAATTAACCCATTAACGCCCGCTGTACTCAAGCGAGTACACTCGTGTTTGTTCCTATCAGAGCCATCTCCGAGTTAACCACAGAAGTACTGCCTTTTATAAACATTTGTAGGCGGTACATGCGACAGGGCGCAAGAGTCATTTTTCATAAATTCTATGAGTGTGTCGTTGTTTACAGTAATAGAAGTTATTGCTTATTTGATCTAAGGTAAGTTCGGATTTTACATATTTTTTTCTTATTGAGGTGACCTTCTAATAAACAATCTTTTTATATTATGTATATGTAAAGGTTGTTTGTTTGATTTGCCGGGCATAAATTATTTTAACTGATTTGATGTAATTAGAATGTATGTGCAAGTTTGACTGTACTCAAATGAGTACACTGGGCAAATTCGTTATCAGTCGACTGATGCTATTTTTTTGTTTTAGATATGAATATAGCGTTTTTTGACGATCCTGTTAAAACATACGAGTATTACAATTTTCTGCCTGATGCTCGAGATGATTTAAAAGATAACGATGATGTTGTGGTCTTGCCCCCAGACGCGCTTTATTTGACTGACGAGGAGGAATTGGACGAAAAGCAACTGATGGCAAATGGAATGCCGCAAGATGTTTCTGGTCGTTTATAGCTGTTTCGCCAAAGCTCAGCTAATGACGAGTTCTGAAGCAGCGACGAAGAGCATTTGAGTGAAGTGCGAAAACGTATACAAATACCTAAATAAATCTAAACATGATGACTTGGAGTGGGAGAAATGCAATCCTGAATATTCCATTTGGTCTGAGCCGCCACCGTTATGCGAAATGAATGCCAATAGGGATAAACTAGTGGAAGAGATAAGAGATTTAACTCCAGTACAACTATTTGAACTTTTTGATGATACGGTTTTGTGGCATGTTATATGCATCTCAAAATACTCGACACCAAAGAAGAAATGAAATCCTTCATAAATTCGGACATTTTCGTGCAAAGCTAGAGAAGCAATTACGATGTACAGTATGCCATTCAAGGGTTCGCCAACACTACGTATTGAACGTGCCTGCTTCAAGTTACATCATACAAAATAAACGGTTTCGCCAATTGTACTCAAATGAGTACAGATGTTTTTTTGGTAAAAATAATAAAATATATATGGTTTTATGATCTTCAGTTTTTATTTAAGTCCTAATAACCTACCTTATATGCATAATATCCGTTTTCCATGTTCACGTTTAATTTGGGCGTTAATGGGTTAAATAGTCCTTTGAGAGATTCTTAAATGACTTTACATTGTGGCAATTCTTTATTTCCAAATGCAGTAGGTTAAACATTTTTAGGCCATTATTATTTGGGGACTTACATATAATTTAAGTCTTATAGGGTGGTATATACAGGATGCGCCATCTTTTATGTCGGTATGTAAACATGAAATAACTTTGAAAACGAAAAACTGATTTCTATATATCCGGTATTTTTATTAAATATGGTCCATTACAATTTATTGGGACTAGTTTTAGAACACAGCATCTATCAAGTGGCCAACTTTATTGGCCAAAACAAAATGTGCCCGTTTTGCTGCGTTTTCCATTACTTTTTCGAGCAACTCTGGAGGTATAGCGGCGATTGCGATACAAATGTTTGCCTTGAGTTCTTCAGTGGTCTGGGGCTTGCTGGCGTACACTTGACTTTTCAAATATCCCCACAAGAAGTCCGGTGGGGTCAAATCTGGAGACCTGGGTGGCCAGTCAGTGTCACCTCTTTTTGACATCAGACGTCCACAGAATTTTCGTTGCAGAAACGGGATTGTTTCATTTGCAGTGTGGCATGGCGCACCGTCTTGTTGAAACCAGTAACCATCAAGACCTTTTACACGCATTTGTGGGCAGACATAATGAGCCAACATCCACCGATTTCGATTTCCATCGACTGTTTCGTTTTCGTTGAAGAAAAATGGCCCAATGATGGTTTTGGCGCAAACGCCGGCCCAAACAGTCACTTTCCGGTCACGCAACGGCATTTCGTGGATCTCATGTGGATTTTCCGTCCCCCAAATGCGGCAGTTTTGCTTATTAACGCCGCCGGAGAGCGTGAAATGGGCCTTGTCGGTCATCACAATTTGCTTCCAAAAATCAGGTTCAGCATCAACCATGCAAGCGACTGTTTGGGCGTATTCCAAGCGACGTGGACGGTCAGTTGGCAATATTTTTTGTGTTAACTGCACCTTATAAGGAAACAAATGCAAATCATCCTTCAAAATGCGCCGCAACGTGGTTCCACTGATGCCAAAATGCTGAGCCCGGTGACAATACGTCACTTTTGGGTTCTGCGCAACGCTGTCTCTGACCGCTTCAACCAATTCATTGGAACGTCTTGGTCGTTGATGTACGGTATGTTGACGATCTCCCACTGTCCCGTACTCAAGAAAATTCGAAACCAAACGACGGAGGATAGTGTTGTCAGACGGTGCCTGTTTGCCACGATATTTTCGACGATATGCACGTTGCGTTAACACAACTGAACGACGATTTTCAATGCACATTGTGACTATTTCGTAGCGTTGTTTCAAAAGCGATTCATGACTGAAATTGTAGTAAATTGACGTTTCAGAAACACGTATAACCAAATCACTCGGTTGGTAAATATCAAAGTAATTCGATGTTTCAATACCGACATAAAAGATGGCGCACCCAGTAGAAGTCTTCGCTAATCCGAATTAATTGTGTGCATTTGGCAGAGTGTTGGACATTTTTCTCTAATATTAATTATATACCGGGTGTTCGAACAATAGACGGAGATATTTTAGAGGGTGATTCCTTGTTAAAAAATATGAAAAAGTTTCTATAAACATGGGTCCGGAAATGTAGACTTTTCAAGATACAGGGTGATAAATTTAAAAAAAAATATCAGTTTGTTGTACTATTTATGTCATGGTACCCATTGGAAAAATTGCAATAACACTATTTCCTACAAACTTTTTTGATTTTTTGTTTTCCAAGGCACTTGTAATTTTTTAGCAAAAATAAATAAACGTTTTGCCCAGTGACTTGGAATAAAATGGTCATCAATTTTTTTTTCGAAAAGATACGACAAAAGTACGAGAAGTTGTATTTTTGAATGCTTAATCAAACAACAAATATAAAAGTTACAAAAACGGCAGTGGCGTACATTTTTTGCCAATAATATTCGCTAAGGTGCCCCGCGGGACCACTGGACCTAATAATTTTAGCCTATTTAGGACTAAATTAGCCTCTTAATACAACAAATAATACTGCCAAATTTCAACAGAATCGAGTAGATACTTTTTAAGATAATAATATTTTTTTTGTTTAATTTATCACCCTGTATCTTGATAACTCTGCATTTCCGGATCCATTTTTATCGAATTTTTTTTCATATTTAGTAACAAGGAAATAAATATATATATATATATATATATATATACAGGGTTATCCAAATTAAGTGTCCACCATTAGTAACTTTGTTATTAGTGAAAATACAAAGTTGTTTGAATTAGCAAACTAGTAGCATTTTTAACGCTGGTAAAAATGAGAAATAAAAAAAAACAATTGTGAGTCGTTATTTTGATTTTTTTCAGTAAAATAACATTTTTTTAAATGGAAACCCCTGTATATTATATTTTTTTCTGTTAAAGCATCAAATTTTAAACAAAAAAGTTCATAATGACTTTTCCGCTAAAGTCAAAAATAAAGTCAAAATAACGATAAATATTTTTAATTATTTGCAGTATTATAATATTAAGACGGCTATGAAAACAACATGGCGTTCGCGATTTGACAGCATTAAGATAAGCGACAAATTGTTAAACTGGACATACTCGCAACTAGAACGCTTTGGAAAACAATGATAAAATCAAATAATGTCAAACATTAGTGTAAATACTTGTTTATAAGCTTTATTGTGTCATTAATTTAAAGAAAAATGTTCTCCCATGAAGAAAAGTGTGATATGTTAGAATGCTATTTAGTGTGCAGAAAATCCTCCTTGAGAGCAGTGAATTATATCCCGCTCGCATTCAACCGTATGAACGATATTTTCTGAGACTTTATCGAAAATTTAGAGGCAACGAAAATGTTTTTGCTAAAACAAGGGCAAAAAAAGAATTCATAATAAGCGAGGCCACGGAAATTGCAGTTATTGGATATTTTGAAGCTTATCGTGAGAATTCAATAGCAGATATTCTCAAGGACTCTAATTTCAGTTATGGTACTGTTCAAAGGATTTTAAAAAAATACAAATTTATTCCGTATAAGTACCGACCAGTTCAAACGCTTTTGGCAGGGGATCCAGAGAGAAGACTTGTTTTTTGCCATTGGTATCTTAGCTTCTGTCGCCAAAATGTAAATAACTTTCGTTACCTTTTATGGACAGATGAATCAAATTTTTCAAATTCTGGAATGTTTAATAGAAAAAACACCACCATTATTGGTCAAGAGAAAATCTTTTGTTAGTACATCCAAGAGGCCCACAAGTCCGTTTCAGTTTCAACGTTTGGTGCGGTATAATTGGTTCAAAAATTGTTGGCCCGTTCTTTTATGAGGGAACCCTAACTGGTGAAAGATATGTGGAATTTATGTCAGAAATTCTGACTAATTTCTTAGACGAATTGGATCTTACAAGTAGACATCATCTGCATTTTCAGCAAGATGGAACAAATGGCCCAATACAGTGGCCTCCCAGATCACCAGGTCTAAACCCACTTGATTACTTCTTGTGGGGTTAATTAAAGAACCAAATTTACAAGCGAAGGTACGATAACCTTGACGCGTTAAAGACTGCAGTTAGGGAAAATATAACCCAGATAGATGGTAGGACCATACTTAAGACAGTTCGAGCAGTTGTAAAACGTGCCCAAAAATGTATTGAAGAACAAGGTGGTGTTTTCGAGCATCTTCTTTAAAAAAAATTGTTATTGTATTTTGTAAGATTATAAGTTGATGAAAATAAAGTTTGTCGATACAATTTAATTGTTTCAGATTGGAGGCCATAACTTCAACAATTTGTAACCTAGGAGAAAAGTTATTGTAAGCTTTTTTGTTTAAAATTTGATGCTTTAACAGAAAAAATATAATATACAGGGGTTTCCATTTAAAAAAATGTTATTTTACTGAAAAAAATCAAAATAACGACTCTCAATTGTTTTTTTTATTTCTCATTTTTACCAGCGTTAAAAATGCTACTAGTTTGCTAATTCAAACAACTTTGTATTTTCACTAATAACAAAGTTACTAATGGTGGACACTTAATTTGGATAACCCTGTATAATAAAATATCTCCGTCTATTTTTCGAACACCTTGTATATAAACAAGTTTCCAATATATAGAAAACAGTACTAACACCTGCTATACATCTGATAATTCTTTTCTGCTTCATGAACAGATCATTTGAATTAATAAAGATCCCCCAAAATGATATGCCATATCTTGTGACAGAGTCAACCTGTGCAAATTATGAATATGTGACTTTTTAAAAAAGATTTAATTTAACAGAAGACGAATAAGTACTGGTCACAATCTTTTACAAGTGCCTCCTATTTATAACCTAGGCTAGAACAAGGGAATTGAAAAGTGCAAACCTGAGCATCTGTACATATGAGATCATCAACATAGCAGTGCCGTAATTTGCATGATACAAACTAAATAATTGATATAATGGTAGAATATCTCTTAATTTTGAAAATAGATAGTATAATGAATTAAGTCTCATTATTACATAGTTACAGTGCTCCTTCCACTCCATACATGAATCCAAATACTAACCCAGGAATTTTATATATTTCACATTATTGATATTAATATTATTCAATTTGACACTTAGCTCATTACAATTTTTTTTCTTGCGTGAAGTCTAGTACAATTGTGTGTTGTCTAGATTTCACAGCTATAATTATTGAGGTATCATCTGTGAATGAAGTTATCAATGTATCAGGTACAACTTTCTACTACAAAAAGATAGATTTTATAAAAAAAGCCATTGGGTACAGAATCTCAGGCAGAACCTCGCATATCAAAAAGTTGGGCATCTCATCAGGACCAGATGATTTTTTTTTTAAGTTTATATTTTCCCTGGCAAATTTCTAATTTTTTATTCAAAAATAATAAATTTTCTTTTGGAAGCATATATGTACTATAGGTTTGTTTCTTCTAAGGGAATTAATTTGGTCCTTTTTGACATAGATGCAATACAGCATAGAGATGGGTATTTTTTAAAATAATAATCAATGGCTACAGATCAGCTGGCAGATGCAACATTACCTGCAGATGCTCAAAGTGGTGAATAGTCTCTAGCCATCTTATTTTTGACCTTGCATGCTTTCTGATCAGTATCAGTATCTTAAGGTAAAATCAAATAGCTTTTGGCCCCTCCAAACTCTGGTCTCAAAAGCTTGAGAAACAGATGAGAGTTGTGATTGTGAATGGTCTTATATTTCATTTTTGGGGTAAAATATTCTCCAATAAGTATTGTGGAGTAAAAAAGAATGCCAACAAAGAAGCATTGTTTGAATCATCTATCTATAAAGTACATGCATATGCTTAGCTCTCATTCGTTGAACTGTCCAGTCCATTAAAGACCCATTTTTTTTCTTATACTCCAGCTACCACAAACACTAAACACCCACGGGGTACCGTGGGGCTACATGAAGCTACAGTGGAAAGGGTGGGGACGCCACACGGACTCTAGCGAGCATGCACACATTCTAGCCCCGCCTACGAGATCCGTCGGGTGGTACCTCCGCGTTCGACAGTCAGATACCGTCTACCACCTACGGACAATCACAACATCCATAGCCAAGAGAAAAATGTCTCTTAGGGTGGGATTCGAACCCTTGCAGCTCACGGCGACTACCACTGCAGCCACCACTGCTGCCTAACATTGATGTGAAGCAGCATGAAGAGAACTCCTGGGATATTTGTGATTTGAACAACTAAAACATGACCCTTAGCAATGCATGTTTTCATTATATTTTGTACAAAAGAACCAAGCAGAAGAGTGTTGATCCTCTACTCTTTGCTTCCCTTTTCCTCAATGGTTGTGAACTTTGAGTGGTTATATTTAAAAGAAGAATCAGAGTTCCACAAAACAAGAATTGAAGTGAGGTACTGATTTTCCGAGTTATAATAGTACAATATTAACAGAGCCTGAGTTTGAAATCATTTATTTATATGTTTTATCAAAAAGACCCTCAATCTTAAATTCTTCATGAAATTATCCCTTCCTTGGTTGTTTGAATTGCATATTTTAGGGAGTATAATATCACAAGAAGTAGTATGTCTTGAGGAGCAGAATCATTTTAATCTTATACAAAACATCTTAAATCCTGTTGGTTAAGTGTTTCTCTTAGAAAAATATGAATGCAACAGAAAAAAATTACTTATCCTGCAGTGCATACACATGTTATAAATATCAATTCTCACCTAAAACTTCAAGTTTTCAATGCATTGTAGATAGATACTATTTTCCAGCCTATTTTAGAAAAAATTAGCATATCAAGCTACTATAACCTACCAGTACTGTAATTTCTTATTTGTAAACTACTAAATGTACAGGGTGTTAATAAAGTATGTAGACAAACTTTAACCATCGAATCCTTGGTCAATTAGAAGATGAAATTTCCATATGAACATGGGTCTGCAACAGCTTTGTTTTCAAGCTAGAGCATATTAGCACTAAAAGAAATAATATTGTTCTAAAAAATTATAATAGAATGGAACGTATTTTATTTTAATCAAGTATGCCCTGTGATGAATATCACTTGATTTACAGTTGTTTTCAGACCCTCCATGTATGTAGATATGGATAATGTTATCCAGTATTTTTTGAAAAAACAGCATGACATTGATTTGTTTTGATGGCAATACTTTTAATATTTAAGCATTGTGCTTATCTATTTTCAGGAGAGTTCATCAGTCAATGTGTAACAGACTAGACCCCTGTATTGAAGTCGAAGGTGGCCACTTTGAACATTATTTATTGTAAAAAAACTATTTGCTATTTCCAATTATTGTCGTTCTATTCGAATGTTACTGTTCAAAACTATTGACCTTCTGAATCAATTTTTTTTCCAAAAATACAGGATAATACTATTTTCATCCTCATTTATACTGAGATTCAGCAAGTTGTAAAAAATGAAAAATTTGTCATAGGTTATACTAACTGTTCAATAAATATGTTTTATTATTCATAGAAATATTTGGAACAGCCATTACAGACCCATGTTCATATGAACATTCAGTCTTCGATTTGACTAAGGATTCAATAGTTAAAGTTTGTCTACATACTTTATTAATACCCTGTATAATTAGTTCCTTTATTATTAACTTATTGTACTTAATTTAAAAAAAAACTTAGTTTAGTCAATAAGTATAAATAGACTGAAAAAGAATAGTAAAGACAGTCTGGTCTAATATGCTGCTTTTTCCATTTACATTTTTTTGTTAGTTCCTTAAACCTCACAGATTATACAAAACTGAGTCTAGTACCGATGGGCTACAACAGTAAAGGAAACATCCCATATAAAAGCTCGTTCACATCTGTTGAATGAATACATGGGCTCATTAAACTGGAAGATACATTATTACTGAATTCTTCAGATAATAAAGCAGAACAATCGATGATTTATTGGGTTTAAAACCGATAGGTGTAATACATACCCAACATCAGTCCCATAACTTCCATGGGCACTCCAGCACGTCCATGCTTCAACATCTTTAATAAGGCCAAAGAAGAGATGTACACCTGCTCGGCAGTGTCCACTACAGGGGCATCTGAGGGCGGTGGCGCTTGGCTCAGGCCCGGCATCCCACCTCCAAGTCGCAGTAGTCTATCCATACTTTTCTGAGAGATTTTTAATGAAAAACTTATTTTGTATAGCTGGAGTCGTGTCGGACTTACCTGTTGTCGTAAACTAAACTGTATAAGTAAAAATTGTTGGAATAAAGACTTCTGCTTTTGTTGTATTTCAACTTTTCATGCAAAATTTTTAATTTTACAAATCACGAATTGTGACAGAATACTATGTCATTATATGACAAATGACTACTGTTGTTGACGTAACAAATGTCATTATGCTTTATGTTCTATGCTATTTTTTCTTGTTCTACGTTTATTTTTTTTGTGTTTTTCTATTCACTGTGCTATCCTATGTTCTGTTGGTGATGTTCCATGTCAGATAAATTTTATCGTCTATCTTATCTGAGAGACATGATGCAGAAAGATAATTCTGAAAAATCTAATTACTTCTATTAAATACAACAACAAATACAAAATACCTGATTAGTGCCACGAAAGTGAAAAATAGGCTTAACAGTATCCGTACACCGTTCAGGTTTTTTCTGGGATAATTTCCTTGAATCAGGCTCCTGTTGGTCTTGGATAGTTTTATGTTTTTCATCATTTTGATCTCTTCAAGAAAATGAATATCTACAGCAGTGTCCACACTTTTCTTCTGCTTATATTCGGTTTATCGACAGCCCTTTCTTATCATCTCCAAAAACATGGGGAGCAGTGCCCAGGATTATACCCTTATACTTACACTGGGAATATCCCTAGAGGAAACCTGTCTGCAGGTAAGACAATGTATTTGTTGTATATAATAAATTTCAAATTTATATCATTTGCGAAGCAACCACAAGTTACAAAACAAATATCCAGTTCAAATTGAAAATCAGATTCTCAATACAAGTGTTTAGTTATTCTGCACCAAAGTGCTGTACAAAAGTAGTTTAGTCACAATTATCTTGCAGTAATCATCCATATAAAACGAAAGTTTTTGGGGTACAACCATGGTTAAATGCATGGTAGTGACAAAATTATCTTATTATCAGCAGTAGCAAAACATGTATATGTATCTTTGAGATAATAATATTTTTAAATTAATTTATCACCTATTTTCTTATATAGGATTGCTAATGTCATTATCAGCATTCAAATTTGAATTAGAATAAATGTTATCTAAACATAGGGTCAAACAGCTTCTGAATGTTTATTTGAAAATGTTCATATTTTTGTGCTGATCCTATATTATTCTATCACTTAGCATCTGATTCACACTAATCTAGTGTCAAAAAGCTCATATGACTCTAATTTTTTGATTAATGTTTTTTGGAACCGAATTGTTGTTGTATAAATGATGTTAGTTTCCTTATTTTTTAACAATTAAAAGACTGGCTAGCCTGGACTAGCTTTCTACTAGCATGTTAATAATTGACCTTTTTTTAATATCAAAAAAATACAATATTTGTTGGACTATAATATATAACACTATATTTTTTATAGGACATTATGAAAAAATTGACAGTATAACCCGATTAGAGGATTGTGTATTGGAATGCTGCCTCAAAGACACATGCAATGTAGCATTTATGAATAAAGATAAATGCTATCATATTGAATGCAAAAGTGATGAACTTTGTTTGCCTACTCCCAGTGATAAGCCTGAAGCTTCACCATTTTTGTCAATGGTACTTGTTAAACCAACTGGCCCCTATAGCTGGGAAGATATAATACAGCAAGGTAAAATAACTTTAATGTGTGATTCTATGTTTTTCAGGTAGTTTTTTCCTTTCTTAGGGAAAGGAATGGCAAAAGGATTATAGTTAGTCTGACAAAAGAGATAATTTTTTAAATTAAAAAAATGCAGATGCTATGTGAAATTACATTGTAGTATTTATTGCCATTTTGCATTTTTATTTGCTGTTTATCTTTCTTATATGCACTCAAAAACAAAAACCACAAAATGAACAAAATCCACCAAAAGTCAGATAGTAACATGAATAATGAGTCTCCCACATTTTTAGAAATGAAAATCTTCGCTCATAAATAAGCATAATTTTGCTTTAGTTCACTCCAAATTTGAATAGGTTTCATTAAGACATTAAGCAGTTTTAACTCATATTTCTGTTGTAACATCCTCCAAAAGGCAACCCAGAAACCTAGAGTATCTAAATTCAGTGTTTGTAATGGCCATGTCATGGCAGTAATTCTATTAGGTATTATATTTTTTCAATTTGAGCAGCATGCGACAACAATACATATCTCCAACAAAAATGTAGGTACAAGTTGTTGATCATACCTTTTGAATATATTATATATTGTAATAGGAAAAATAAAAAAAAAATATGAGAATGAAATGTTCCAAAAAATAATGCCCATCTATGATTTCAGTTTTAACTCAATATAATAGTTGCCAATTTCCACAGTAACAAACATATACCTAGCAGTTTCAAGAATCTCAAAATATCTAAAAAACAAAATTCACTTTCGAAAAGCTCTTGGAAAAGTTGATGAACCTTGCTGCTGACCTAGCAAAAATCACTCAGCTGAGTACCCAGTACCCCATAACAGTAGTACTGTAATGTATCCTTACCAAGATATCATACATTTATTGTTTATAAATCTTTAGATCCAGCATCAAATACAGAAATGGATGGTAAATGGCAGACTATTTTGAAAGACTTATTGAAAGAGTCTACATATGGTAATGACATGTATTGTGAAGTAGGTGCTGACAATATGTGTGCCCTAAATGAAATCTGTGTACCACAGCATGTAAAATCTAGATCTGGTAAGACATAGTTTCATTTAGTCTTTCGAGAAATACTGATGTAATTAATTTCCTTTAATTCCATAAATTCTTTTCAAACAGCTTTTTCACTAAAAATATAAAATCTTTTTTAGTTCCTTGATTTTTCTAACTGAATTGTTTATGCGTTCCAAACAGGCATTTGTCAATGTGTAGAAGGCTATATGAGACGCCATACTGGAGAGTGTGCCCCAGTGTTATTAGGACAACCAGTCTTACATGATGAACCATCTGTGGCTGATTTGATCACAGAAAGAATTTTGGAAAAGACACCTGTAAACAGAAGTGCACCTGTCACTAAAAAACAGCTCACTGTTGTAGCAGAATCTAAGGTAAAAATATATCACATGTATGACTGTTTTACCTTCATAGTGCTAAATGTAAGCTATAATATCTATATACTGATATATGTTGAAGTGATTCTTCACAGTTTTCTTAGTGTCTTTAGTACCACCTTTGCCATTTCTCTTATGTACCAAAAAAAATATTCGATACAGACTAACAAATTCTCACTTTCGCATAGGATTTCTTACAATATTTTGGAACAATCTTGATTTTATTACTGAAACTATTTCGAAAACAAGTTTAAACAATTTTATTGTATCTTTTTCTCTACGTAGGAGGTGAGGCTACCTGTGAACAATGCAACTTTATATGCTAGAGTAAGCCCTGATGATCCAGAAGCTCATTATCAATATGAGTGGATCTCATTGCATCAACCAAAGGACAGCACAGCTGTGAAACATCAAAATGGTGGTCAGTTGCAACTAGATAAGCTTACAGAAGGTGTCTATTCATTCAAGGTAATATTATCCTAATCAAAAAATGGTTTCACTCCAATTTTGAAGCTATCACGGTAATATCAGACTTGTCAATTGAATTATTGCATATAATTTATTTTTAATCTGTTCATCCATCTGTTTTTTGTTTATTTATTATTCACATCTTTTTAATCTGTTTGTTAATGTTGTTATTTTGTGTACATTATGTTTGTATTATTTATTAGCTTTAGTGTTGACTGAATCACAACTTTTTAAGTATTTTTTTTTAATTCATGTTCCTTGACAATTTGGTGATACTTTTTTAAGTCAAATGGCAATAAAGATATTATTATTATTAAAATGTTGATAAATAATTGATATGTTACAAATTCTTTTTCAAATCTATAGGTAACTGCAGCAAATCCTTCTGCTTATGGTGAGACATTTGTAAATGTAACAGTATTGCCTGCCAAAAGAATCAACCAACCACCCAGCATTATTATAACTCCTGCTAACCAAACTATAAAACTACCAAATTCCGTGGCCGTATTAGATGCTTCTTCTTCCAAAGATGATGATGCTATCATAGCTTGGCATTGGGAACTACAGCAAGCACCTTTAGGTATGTAAAGTATTATAATCATATCATCAATATTGTGTTTTCAAGTGTTTATGTCCATCTGGAGCCTTTTGTGTGAAAGTTTTTGGCCTGATATTGACCAGATGCGCGCACATGTATCTACAGCTTGTTTAAATTGAATCGCATCTGGCTGAGCACACATGCCGCAACATGTTGCCCGGCACATTAATTTTGAAATCTGTAAATTGAAATGAACATGGTGCATGTTGTGCACATGTTGCATGCCACATTTTTTGTGTCCAGTGCTTCTTCTGCAACATATTGCAAAATAATTTAACATCTTAAATGTATGGTTCTCTTGATGATTAAAATCTTCATGTTTCTCTAACCACCACTGGAACACCCTGTATACTAACTTCAAAAAACAAGTGAACTGTCACCTGAAAGACAGATAAATAAACTAAAAAAAAAGCTATCGAGGTGGCCGAAACGTTAGTAAATCTTTAAATTCTGCAGCTGTGACTTTATCTGGCGGAAATTCATATCGCAAGATATACAAATTCCTGGCACATTGTTGAGGAAAGGATGAGGGTCTATAAGCCCTGAAAGTAACTCAAATTTCAAATTAATCACATCTATGAAATGTTTGCAATTAAATATTTTAGAAAATATTTGAACTTTCATCTACATTTTTCTTTTTAGTTTAGTACTTGAAAATTCACCCATTTTCCAATTATTTAGGTTAATATTTTGATATGAGCCCATGGTAGGGATTCTTTCTACATCAATTCTATAATAGCACACTAAGATACAAACCATATATGTGCTCATATTAAAAGCAAAAGTTGAAACAAACCAGTACACAATGAGACTTCAACTTTTGCTTTTAATGTGAGTGCAGTTGAACACTTATTTTTATATATGTTTTATGTCTTAGTGTGCTTTATTATAGACTTGAAGTAGAAAGTGTTACATACATGTGCTTATATGAAAATGCTTAAGATAAATATTCATAAATTTATATTATATATCTTTGGCTATTTATAAAACAATCAAGTACTGAAATAAACCATAATTTATTCACGATTGGTTTAAGTGCACTAAAGAGTGCTAATACTGCCTCAGACAATAAAGGTTACCTTCATACTATCTTAATATGTTTTAGGGTATGAGCCGCAACTAAAAGACAGTCCTACTTTGCAACTAAACGATTTGAATAAGCCTGGTAACTACAGCTTTAAATTGACAGCAACAGATAGTGATCATGTTACAAGCAGTGCTACTGCTAACATAACAGTTTTGGCTGTCACTGACTATCCACCTGAAGCCAATGCAGGTAAATTATTATCATGTTTGATGAAAATTTCAATCCCTCGAACATTAAGTAAATTTAGAATATTTTTAGTCACACACACAATATCAGCATGAATAAAAATACATGTATAAAGGCTAAAATCAACAGAAAAATATAATTCAAATGATACAATCACTCTGCCTTCCTTTAAAAAACTATTAGTAGATGCTTGTGTGATATTGTACCATACAATATTGACTCGTATTTAGCCCTGCTGAAATCATATTGCTCTTAATTTATTTTTATCAATGTTCTTTTTTAATGTTTTACCAAACGGTACCGGACTTGTTGCTTTTGATTATTGCATACTCCAAAGAACCAATATATTTTCTGTTTTAGGAGAAGATAAAATAATTTATCTGCCACACAACTCAATAACCTTGAATGGTAGTCTGAGTACTGATGATCATGCAATCACAACTTGGGAATGGACAAAAGCTGGAAACGATGCCCAAAAGGCTGTTGATATGCAAGACACAAGAACGCCATACTTACAACTGTCGAATCTTGAAGAGGGCATTTACACTTTTGCCTTGAAGGTTACAGATAGTGCAAACCAATCAAGCACAGCGCAGGTAGGAACAATATTAACAACATTTGTGATAATCCCAAAAGTGGTCCTACTTATTCAGATATCAAGTAACTTTACTGTTTTTATGGAGATTCACGTTGACGCGGTTTCTTCAGGTACATGTGTTCGTGAAACCACCAACTAACAAACCTCCAGTAGCCTCAGCAGGTCAGAACCAGACAATCAGCCTGCCCCAGACATGGGTGGTTCTGGATGCTAATGGCAGTACCGATGACAACAAAATCATGGCATTCAAATGGGAGCAAATCGAAGGACCTTCGCATGTGACGTTTGAAAATGTCAACGCCAGCAAAACGAACGTGACAGGTCTAACGAAGGGCGTGTATCAGTTTAAGGTCAGCGTTACAGATGATAACAAGAATGTGGCTAGTGATAAGGTGTATGTCACTGTCAATCAGAGTAAGTGTTTATTTACTCTGTTTCTTTTTATACATATAGGGTATTTCCAGACATTGTGTAAAAATTCAAGGAGTTATTTAAGTCTGTTTTGTCTGTGGTAATTTTTGATAGACAAGTTTGTTTTTGAGATAAGCCACTGGAAATAGAAACTCTGTTGCAGTAGACTCCTCCCCTCCTCCGACAATGTTCAATTGTCACAAGAGCATTCGCTCTTAGAAGCATTGATGCAGCAGACGTCGTCAACATCCCCCCCTCCTCGCTCTTCAGTCAAATTCAAAATTCATTTTAATTAACAAAAAATGATTACAAATGAATAATTTGGCATCATTACACAAAAGCCTGTAACCAGACACTATACTATCAGGGTGATTCACAAGTCGTGTCCAAAAATGAAACATCATGCACAGGATCGCATTTTAAGAGGGGTCTTCTATGTAACATTTTTTTCTCGAGGGCTTCATTAAAAAGATATGGGGTGTTGAAGTTTAAAAATAAAAAACACTTTTTATCTTCAAAACCGTCAACTAGAATGAACTAAAATTTCGTGTGTAAATTTACCTAAGTATTGCCGACATTCAAAAGTCTTTACTTAAAATTAACGTGCACCAGTGGCGGGGGTACAGGGGATTAGTGCCATTACTTTTCCAAATAAAAATAGTACGCCACTGTTTTTTTTCCGAAACGTGCTATTTTTCAAATTCTTCCTTCAGTTTGCTACAAATAACTACTTTTATGTTTTTTCCTAGAGTGCATTGTTTTCGTGAAAATAAAAAAAACATATTAGCTAATCCAAGCTTTCAACGTGTCACGATGAACATGCGGTGGGGCACTGTCGTGCTGATACCACATTCGTACTCTCGTTGCTAACACATTTTCTATGTAATTCTCTAGAAAAGCTAAGTATGAGTTTGCATTTAAACGTTGTGGCAATACTTGCATAAACAGTTGGCTATTGGAAATGCCACACCAGACATTTCTAGAAAATCTGTGTTGAAACGACTGGATTTTCTAACGACTAAATATGTTTATTATGAGAATTAAAGGTTCCACTCCTCGTAAAAAGCGATTCATCTCACCCCCAACTTTTGACTTATGTCAAAAAATAATCGGCAACTTCGAAAACATTAAATATATTAAGTTTGATGACGTTCTCAAATCTTCCCTGTTTTACTTTTTCCTGCACCACCATTGGTAAAAACGTATAGGTGTTCTGTCAAAGCAGTTGTTATCCCACCAAAACAAGGTTAGTCGGTAGTTATGAGACCTCAAGGTGAGGTTCTTTGTACCTTGGTTTTTGGATGCAAAGCGGTTGCGGTTTGGGTGCCACCTAGTTCCAAAAACTAGGAAATAAGAAGTAACAACTGGTGGGTCTCTGGAGCTAAGGAGGCAGAAACTCACAAGGCACACAGACATTTACTGAACAAAAAAAACCTGGAGGACAGGCTAAAGAGAATTAATTTGTGTATTCCCCCCTTAGCTAAATGGTTTCCGGTAAATATTAAAATAAAAAAATGAATACCACCTATGCAGGTGCTTGGCTTTTACCAGTAGGCAACCGAGAGCAGAAATTCCCAGATGTAGCCTGAAGGTAGAACCCAAAAGTAGATCCCGAAGGTAGAACCCTCGAACAATGAGGGTTCACAAAAATGGGAAACTACACCCCACTCAAATTTGCCTCGGACTATCCCTGCAGACGGTTCCGCTCAGCTCGATGGTTGAGTGTAGTTATCCCCACGGCTAGATTCCCAAGAGGGTGAGAAAAAGGCTCCGACAAAGAGGGGCCAACGTTTTTTCTTAGGTTTCTCCCGGTTTTTTTTCGGTAGGTATGTCTCGGATTTCTAATTAAAAAAAAGCCGCAACTCAGCGTGTGAAACAATTTCACATAATCGGGCAGTAGGCCGCAGAATTCCTACATCAGAGCATCGGAAATAGCACCAAGTTACCTACAGCTCACGTATTTGCGGTCGACAGAAATTATAAAATATGATCTCCAACGAGATGGAGAGTAGAGTATGATTTTCTACCACAAAATTATTAGACCAGGAGAAGTGTTTTATCCCCCAAAAAAATCAGGTATTTTTAAGGGCGGCTATAAAATTATTATTCTAAATAAGAAAAACGTAATAATTTACTTTATCAAGACATAGTTTATTTTTATCCGTCCATAAAAAGAAACTGTAACATAGTATCTTTGTGTTGAAATTTTGCTAAAATCCGAGCGGTAACTTCCGACGTATAGGTATAGCAACTTTTTCGCTGAAGTTGTTCTAAAGAACCTTGTTCAAACTCAGAACAGACGCCACAAACGTTTGATCCATGATGTAATAAAGCTTTTGGACGATGAACAATGCACAGTTCAACGCAGCTAACATCACTGAGAACACAGCTGAATCTGTACCGCAGTGTCATGGGGACGGATTCAGAAAATGGGGGAGGGTCCATCTGATGAATTTGATTTTTTTGAGCGGATTTATATCCCGGAAGGAAGATTCCTGTTTCGGGTTAGGGGGGTGCAGATTAACTATTGAAGGGCGGAGGGGTCGCCTGCAAACTAAAAAGACTTTCCAATTTTTTTAACTTGAACATTTCGGAAGGGGGGTGTCTCTGGTCAATATTGTGACTTATATTTAATGTTTCAAATTTAGATTTACTTAAAAAAATAAGATTTGCTGTTTATAAGATGAACAATAATGCGACAGTCACTATTTTAAGATTTACAAATAATAAAGGCCTGCATGTAGCTCTAGGATTGCTTCAGGTTATATATCTAGTAGTTTTTATAGGATATGCACCTTTTTTAAACAATTTTGGGAACAGACATTCCAAAAGGGAATGCTATATCTCAATCTACTTTCAAATACGGCGAAGTAACTTCTCAAGGCTGTGCTTTTCAATGTGTTGTAACTAATTTTTGATATACTAAAGAAAATCCTTGCTAGTTGAGTAAGCAATTGGTCTACATGATTAGTAAAATTTAATTTATGGTCGTTGGTCAGTCCTTAAAATTTGATGGTGTCTGTTTTGTGTATCCAATCATTATTTAATTTTATGGAATCAAGAGAGCATTTAAATTTCATAAATTTGGTCTTACTGACATTGAAAGTTAAGTTAAGTGTGTCATCACACCATTTTTAAACCGTGAATAAAAACTAAAATAGGATTGGACCTAGTAGTGATCCTTGTGGTACCCTCTGCTACAACCTATGCTGCGGAGCGTGCGCGTAAAATCCACTGGTCTCACAAATCTTACATAGAGTGATTCTACTGGTCCGGAGATATGTATATACTGTGGGCCATTGTACATATCGCTACTGATCAATCCTTAGTTTAAATCATGAATTGCACTAACATTATCTCTGCTTCATTTTAGATAAGAACCAAAAACCGACAGCCAATGCCGGTGCTGATTTCGAAATTGAGCTCCCAAAGAACGTCGTTATGCTGAACGGCTCAAACTCAAAAGACGATTGGGCCATCGTAAAATGGAAATGGACCAGAAACGAAAAATCATTGGCTTTGGGCAGCATCGCAGAGAAAACGGACGAATCACCCGTTTTAATATTGACAGATTTGGCAATCGGAAAATATATCTTCAACTTGACAGTGTACGATGAGCAAGGCCTGAGTGACACGGATACTGTAACATTTGTTGTCAAAAATGATCCTAGAATATTCTATTTGGTCGAAATTACAATAAATGTTGATGCGAAGGTGTTGACAGAAGCCCAATATAATAATGTCAAAGGCAAACTTGCCTTGTTGATGAGCGATGGATCTAAGTTACAGGTAAGTAAAAGAGACTCAATATAAAATATAAAAATAAATTGTGGCTTTGCAGGTTTTGAAAGTTGGTGCAAGGCAGCGATGTTTAAAAAAATACAAAAATCTTCACAATGTTACTAAATTTTGTTTATTGTAGTCAAACCATTTTCTTTTTGGAAAGGTCAACATTTTTTGGAATCTATAACTTTGTTTTTCGATGATTTTATAACTTGCTGATCACTTAAGGTATAATCAAGAAATGTTTGGAGTTTGACAAGTTTGAAATTTATCATATTCGACTTATCACTAATGATGCTTTACCTAAAATATATTTGCATAACAAAGTGTTAAGTACGGAGGTAATCTTCTTGACTCAATCTTTTTTAGGTTCGAAGTGTGAAGCCTCAACCAGCAACCTCTAAAGCCGTGGTTACCTTTTATGTAGAGGGAGTTGATGGTAAATTGATCCCAGCAAATGATGTGGTGCATCACCTTAGGAATAAATTAAGAGTTGATGCAAGTCTTTTAGGGTAAGCATAAATTATATCCTTTTTGAATGTATCTAATATTTTTTACACAATTACAGCTTTTCTGTCGCGAATTTAAGGACGGCAGTGTGTCAAAATGACTGCTCAGGTCATGGGGTATGTGATGAGGTCACGAGACGTTGTAGGTGTGAAGCATTTTGGATGCAAGACTTGTTTAAGGTACGAGTTTATTAAAATTATGTTTCTTGTGAATAAATGTTTATTGTTTTTGATTGTAGGTGTACCTAGAAACTGATCAGGATTCAGATTGCAGCTGGAGCATATTGTATGTTGTCTTGGGAATGATTTGCAGTGTGTTGATATTCCTGGGTACCTTATGGGGAATGGTACACCTGTGTTATACTTGGTGTAACAAAAAACAGTCATCTTCTAAACCAACCAACTATAAACTTATTGAAGACACCGAGGATTTACCACCATGTAAGTGATTCATAGTGGCCCACCATATTTTTTGAAAAGTTAGAATCGACCTACTATCAGTAAATAGATGGTGTTACAGAAGATTGTTTTCTAAAGCACTTACATTGGTGGCGTTCATGCTGGCAAGTCTCACAGTACGCCATCTTTGCAGAAAAGTAGTATCAGTATCTTGAAGACAGATTGCTTTTATTTGAAGATTTCTTGCAGTTTTCCGTTCAAACGCACCGTTTTCGTAAGAGCCATATTTCTCGATGATTCGAATACCGCTTTTTGAATATTTAAATATGAATTCTTTTTTAATATTCCAACCAAAAAAAGAATACATACTTTAAACTTGATTTTGATTTATGTACTCAAGTTCCAAAAATAAAAATACATGACTATATTCAACAAAACTTAAAATAACATTTTGATACACTGTCAGTGAAGTTAGATAAATTAACTGTAAACATTCTTTGATTTTTTTAGATTTTTATATAAAATCAATAGAATTAAACTTGATAAGAAAATATATGAATCTCACACAATGTATCTACAAAATAAAAAAATAAACTTATCTATTTATTACAGACAAATTATAACGTGTTAAACTTTATTATACACTATAATGGCAATACTGCACAAGTGAATACGTAATCTAGTCTCGTTCCATAAGCGACCTGTCACAAGCACCATTGCCAACTCAAACAAAATAACTATGCGCAGCTATTTTGCTTGTACCATTCTCAATTACCGTGAACGTGTTTTAACACTCATAAGTCACGTAAGGCGTAATGCAGGATTCATAAGAATATTCAAACAGGATTTAAATTCCGGGATTTGAGTATAAAAATGGTTATCGAAAACCGAGTACTGACCAAAAAAGCATTCGGTCGACTATAGATAGGGAAAAATTGTTAATGAAATTGCATCACTATGGATTTGAAGGACCAATATTAAACATTATACAAAATTATTTAGTAAATAGAAGTAAAAAACATCAGTTGCAAATATGTCACAGGGGAGGAAATTAGGGCCGTTATTATTTATTGTTTATGTAAATGATATATACACTGATTATATATATATATATATATATATACTTGAATTTCTTTGGATAGAAGGCAAAGTATTGCATAAGTACATTCTTATAACTTAAACTCGAGCTTTCGAAGGTCTAAGCCCTCATCGTCTGGAGCTGGAAACAATTTTTGAAGAATAGCAACAATAAACAATTAGGAGGAAAAAATATATAATTACTTACTAAGTCGGCGAGATTGTTGTTGAAATTGTTCTTATACGAAGTGAAGGGAACACATAGTCGACGAATAAAAAACTGGACTGATGAGGTTCGATTAGGACGCAATTATTTTATTAATATATGGCAAATCATAGCTGTTTTTTTTTAAATCTTGAAAAATTATTTTTCATTAAAAATTATGGAACATTTTCAAAATATTAAAAAGTAGTACTGCGATTTGGGGAAAAAACGGCAGAGTCCCTTCTAACCTCCTACATCTGTTTCAGGTGGAAACAAACAGATTGAACAAATTTTCTGGTTATATATGTGGATACTGTTTCACGAGCATTATTTCAAAAGTATGAAAAAAGATAAATTACTTCTATAGACTTTCCCATAATCTTAATATGTATTCAAAAAAAATTTTGTATAACACTATAATTCTTCCCCATTTTTCATATTGTGCAACCATCTTGTTTACAGAAAATGAAAACATATGTTGGAAATTACAACTTCTACAAAATAAAGCCATGAGAATCATTTTGAATAAAAACAAATATGCTAGGATTAAATCTATGTTAGAAGAACTACAGTGGTTGAATGTAAAAAAATTAATATGTTATTTAGTTCGCATTTCATATTCAAATTAAAAAATCGTTTATTACCACCACATTTAGAAAACTTCACAAAATTAAATAGTCATTATCACAACTACGAAGCTAGAGTATAGATTTTCATCTGCAAAATTGTAATAGTAGCATAACTAGTAAATCTATATTTACAAAAGGGAGGATTTGAACTTAATAAGTTGCATAATGATATTAAACAGTGTTCGAATTTAAAAGGGAAGTGACATTGAAAAATCTCTTTATTTATACTCAAAATGCATAATGTAATTTTAATAGAGAAGAGTGTAAAATCACAGAAAATGGATTGAAAAAAATGTGTAAGCGAATAATTATACAAAATTGACATTGTAGCATTAATGCTAAATGAATCTTCAACAAACCAATAAACACAAATGCATTCGAAGATTTAAAATACAGAGCATTCGAATTTTACCCAAGTCTGCATACAACTAAAGATAATATATTTGTTATTTATTAGTTTCAGCACGGAAAAGTAACCTGTCAGACAGCGACACCGATTCAGATGTGGTGTTCGAATCACGCTCGAAACCCTCGAGGAACGGCGGTCACTACAAACAGACCCGAAACGGTTTCAACAAGATGGGCCGTCGCGTGAAGACCTAGTTCAAAAGGAGGCAGCGACGTACGTCTCGTGCCTAAGTACCACCAGTCCTTTGTGATTTTACTTGAGTATTCTTATTTCGTTACCGTTGCGATTTTTTGAGTTCCTTTGGTAATTTAGGTTCCCGTGTTCAGGTGACAAGTTATAGGTACACTTTCCAAAGAGCTCTAGCGCGACTCGGTGGGTTCCGAATTGAATGCTTTTCGCACACCAATAGGAACTTCTTCACCCATGGATATTCATCGTCAGTTGACAGAGGCGTATGACGACAAGCGTTTAACACGTCTGAACGTGATAGAGGGATTTTGGTGCTTAGAAACAGAAGGATCACCATCCGTGAAGTTGTTGCTCAGATTCCTGGAAGTTCACGGAGGGCGATTTATCTGTTTTAAAGCACCTTGCGTAGGACCGTCTCGATAACCGCCTTCTTTCTTCGTAGTGGACTTCTTTCCGACCAGCAATAAGTTCCCTGCATCACTTTCAGACGTGCAGGTGGAGCTTCTATGGTGTACAAAAAGTGAATTACGGAACAAATCCCGCACTTGGCGGGATTAACAGCGGGAACCCCAATATTAAACGGATATTGAGCGAATAATAAGCTGCTTCGCGAAGCGCGACCAAGGGAAATTTAGAGTGGCGGAATAACTGCGCGCAGCGGTGTTGCAGGATTTCGCCTCGCACCTTCCCGTGTGGCTGAATCGCTTTGAGAGCAATATTTCTGTATCAACCCTCGTAGTTGGAAGGCTGGCTATATGACGACCCTCCTGGCTAAGAGCATTAACGATTTTTTTCCTGAAAATAGCCAACTATATACTGCGGCATCCAAAAATGGATCTGAAAGATACTATTGCCATCTATGAGACAGTAGTATCACAGAAAAAGGAATTTTGAAATCTACTTTGAAAAAAGTTAGAATGTTTATTATTGCTACTGTTTCACACATGGCGCTGAGATCGTTAATCACTTTATGGCCTCTCTAACGCCTATTTTCAGTTGAAATACATTAATCATTGTCTGAAAATAAAATAGGCATTAGAGAGTCCAATAATAATAATCTTTATTGTCCAAAATTTTCCCATTTACAGGACAATAACACATAAGCATAGCATAAAACCAAATTGGATGAATAGGAATTGTTGCGATTAAATATGAAATAGGACATCCGGTAAATGGCCACCATTAAACCTCTGGCACAGGGTCAGGCTATTCTTAAAATTCTGTATAACGTTTTCGCACAACTGTGGCTCTATTTCGTCGATAACGCGCCTTATCTCTTCTTTAAGGCGTTCAACTGTTTGTTGCTTGTTCGCATACACCTTTTCCTTCACATATCCCCAGAGGAAGAAGTCCATTGGCGTTAGATCGCATGATCTTGGTGGCCAATTTTTATCGCCAAGTCGAGAGATGACACGGTCTGAAAACTTGGACCGCAGTAACACCATTGTTTCGCGTGCTATGTGACAGGTCGCACCGTCTTGTTGGAAGAACATATCCTCCAAATCAATTCGATTCAACTGGGGTCACAAAAACTCGGTCAACATTTCGCGATACCGCGCACCATTAACAGCTACCGCAGTTCCTGCTGCTTCGAAGAAATACGGTCCAATCACTCCACCACTCCACAACGTGCACCAAACGGTAACTCGCGGCGGATGCATTGGTTATTACACGAGGTTTTCAGAACCCCAAATTCCGCAGTTCTGCTTATTGACGTACCTGTTCAGTTGAAAATGTGCCCCAACAGAGAAAATGATTTTCTTCGAGAAATCTGCATCAATTTGGTGGTGCTCCAGCGCCCAATCAACTAATTCACGGCGCTGCGCGTGGTCCGTTGGCTTGAGTTCTTGCGTCAGTTCAACCTTGTACGAATGTAAGCACAGATCTTTGATCAAAATTCGTTGCAGACTAGGTCTAGTAATGTTCAATTCTTGGCCACGATGCCGAATGGAAGTGTCTGGATTCTCGGCCACACTTTCCCGCAGTGCGACTATATTTTCGAGGGACCGACCAGGACGGCGACGAACAGTGGTCTCCACATTCAGCAACGTGAATTTTGTCTCAAATTGTGTAATTCAACGGCGAACTCATTTGGCGAACTGTTTCCGCGTCATTTATTATTATTACGCGAAGCATCAATACGTTTAACTTCTAGAACAAATATAAAGCAGACATTTACAATAAACATGTAATAAAAGTTAAATGCCAGACATATTAAGAAAAGGTTGGCCCATTTACGGGATTTCTCTGTCCAAGTACAAAGGACCAAATTCATTAGTTTTGAAATACTGTCAAAATTTATATCACAATCAGCAGAATTTAATTTTTCACACATAGTCAATACTGGCGACTTTAGAAGCAAATTAGTTCTCGCTTTCTCATAATGTTTTGGTATTTCTAGTTCCCCAACAAGTCACAAGAAAATTAATACTCGATAAAATTACGCTGGCATCTAAGTTATTATGAAAAAGTTTATATAAACTGAAAGAATTAAATTTGCGTCTTAAATCCAGACTTTATAATTTAAATCTACAATTAAGGCTCATATCGTCAGTCGTCCCTACAATTGTAGGGCGCGTTTATGGCCTCCTTGATTGTCATACTCCTTTCTCTCCTTCAAAAATTACTAGCTTACACTTGTCCCGTATCAGCGGCAGCGCTCTCCTATTGTGAAGATATGTTTTCTTTTTAAATTGTAGGAAATTTCAGGCTGATAAAACATGATATAACTCAAAAGCAAGCACAATTTGATGCAAATAGATGTTTGTGACATAACCTCAAAATAGAGTTCTGACACGAAGAAGTAGAAAACTATGACAATCAAGGCGCCCTACAATTGTAGGGACGACTGACGATACGGGCCTTAGGTGCTCATAAAGTGCATTCCTAGGAGGATAAGTACCGTCAGTCTTGTAAGCGAGAGGTTCCAAAAAGCGCCGTTGTGCTTCCTAAATTGCCATTTTATTTTTTGAGTAATGGAGATACCAAATAATTGACGAATATTCCAATTTTGAGCAGACAAAGGTCAAATACATTGTTGCAAGAGCCTTAACATTAGTGAAAGACCGAAGGTTTGTCACCATGAATCCATACGCCTTTAATGCGGCATTAACCATTATTGAGATATGCTCAACAAAAGACAATTGAGTTAAAAACAGCTCCCAGATCTTTATTTTTAGATTTTTTTCTGCTATATATACATTTTACATTCAATGCAAGTTTGTTCACTTGACACCAAGTCTGAATATTATGCAACTCCAACTGTAATGTATGACAGTCCCCTATACTTGTAATAGTTGGGAAACATTTCAAATCGTCAGCATAAAGTTTATTACAATTGAGAGAATCACGCACACGTGATTTATAAATAATGTTAAAAGCAGTGGCAAGATTTGGTGTGTATGCCAACAAGGGATTAAAGATCCTAGCACCATCTATAAAGTAGTAGCAGAACCATACACTCCAACTCTTTTCAAAATAGATTTGTAAATTCATTTTTTGTGTTCTGCTGTATCATACATGGCACTTGAACCCTTTAGATCCATTTTTTGACATCGGAATGCAGTGTATGGTTGCCTATCTTCATGTAGAATATGTGAGGATTAGTGCCTCTTCAGGTAAGATATTTCATGTATCAAGACATGCTAAAAGACATAAAAGGGTTACAAATGTGGTTGGTTCTAATGGGTGTGTATTTCTTTGCATACACTTACTATTGCAATTTCTTGTTAGAAGTAATCTAGGGAAAAAGGGTGGGTAAGGATATATTGTCACAGTCCTAACAATTTCTCAAGAAAGTGCATTATTCCCGTTTAGTCTAGTCAATATAATGAGGAAAATAGTCGTACCATTTGCTATCCTGAACTCAGAATGATATAGTGGGAACCTTGTGATAATTTCTTTTTATTTTATATGGATTACTAAACTTACCTGTTTTATTGGTGATCGAATATGATTATTTTAAAATTGTATTTTAAATCAATATAAATGAATTTATTTTAGCTAAATGATCCATTATTATATTAAAAGGTTTTGGCAGACACCAATTAGCGATTTTTTACATTTAAATTTATGAATTGGCAGGTAAATGTCAAATAGTCAAACGTTTCTGTATGCGGTATTTGTAATTGCCAAAACTGTCGCATGTGTCATACAAATTTTGTTCGGCATTAGACTTAATGAATGTAGTTTTCTAAGTGGAATATTATGTACTTATTTTTGAAAGCTTTGGCTTTGAAAAAGCAATGTGAGTTCTCAACATGTGCAGGGTGTTGATTTTTAAGCTATACGAAAACGTCAGTTCATGAATGAAATATGTTCTTTCTGTTGGAATAACGGCGGAGAATCTATACTATATAAATATTTCAGAGTATACTTGAATCGGTGAGTGTAATAACGATAAAGTCCAAAAATACGAATTTGAGATAATCACAAAAAAGTGTTTTGTTTGAAAACTATATAATATACAAGAAATATATACATTGCAAGTTTGTAGACAATTAAGTTCTCTGAACGAATGTAAAGTGAATTATCAATTATTTTTTGTAATAAATAATCTACATGTCAAAACGTCACTAGGATTTATACGGTTTTTCCGCCCAACTTTAAACATGCCTCAAATCATGAATTTAATTAGTAAATAAAACTACAAATTAGAATGCTTTTTATTATTTAATGTACATTTAACCTAAATACACTTAGATACGATGAAAAGAACATATTTATGATATACTATAATACAATAAAAATAGTTTTATTAGTCCGCCTCAGTTGCCTCACATTCAGCGTTGGTGGTTTCCCATGAAGTAATATGGTAATAGATTCCAATATTTCTGACGACATATATTGCAGGACTTTTTTTAGATTATCAATTTTCTTTATATTTATTGGTAATGTCTTTGAATATGCAGGGTTAGTTGGTAAAGTTGGCATGGCTTTAGGTTTGATTAATTTAAAACATTGCGACACAAATCCTCCGATATAGTCGCTAGTGATGAGGTATCCAGGTGTAGAACTATCATAAGTAAACTGCCTGTAATTTGATAGTGTAAATTTGGATTTTATTTCATCTGAAGATTGACAAGTTTTTTTGTAATATTTGGGCCACCAAGTTTTGTAATCAGTTATATCTTTATAACATATTGTTGATACAGTAAACGGCTTTACTTTGCGGCAAGAGAGCATCATGTTTTCATAATCTTCTGGAAGATATATACGATCATGTTTTCTTATCACTCTCTTAAGACATCCGAAGTCCCTGTCGCACGGTAAAAAAGAGTGACCACGCAATGGGAAGTAGTGATAAATTTCGCGAAATCTTTTTGAAGCTGCAAGTGCTAATAAATATCTTATTACGGTATTATTCCGGTTTTGGCCCGGGCAACCGTCCGAAAATATGTGCAGCTCTTGAATCTCCGCTGGCATTTTCTGCACATAATCATTGATAAACGTGCATACCTCATTGGGTCCCTTCGCGGCTTGTCCCTCATGGTATGTATAAAAATGTCCAGTATCATTTTTTAAATCGTGTATTTCAAACCCATATAGCCGTAGTTGCCTGTAATAAAACATTTCCTGGACAGGTATAACAGGCAGCGGCATATTTTGAATATAGTCAAAAACTATTCCACCAACATCTTCTCGTTCATGGCACAGATCAGTGACTTCCTTTAGCTTTGAGTAAAATTTTTTAGCTCGACGCTTATGAACCATTAATTCGGCAGCAGCAACTCTCTTAGCGTTGTCGTTTAACTTTGAATCCTTAAGTTTTGTTGTTAATTCCTCGCATTGTCCACATACATCTACTTGAGGCCTCCCGAATTTTAATGCAAAATTCTCTTTAAAGAATTTTAAGTAAAATTCATATTTAACTATCTTTGTTAATTCCGGGTGTAATTTTACAAAGAGATTATACATAGTCTTAACGTTAAGATTTGAATCAAGATAGTGAATTTCTTTAGAGCTGAAGTGAGAAGTCCTTCGTGGAAACGATTCAATGTGATGATGGATTTTGGAAGTAACCTGAGGTTGTAATGTATGAGGTCGATTATTATGCGTACCACGTAAATCTCTAGGTGAACTCTGAGACACGAACAATCTATTTAGTCGTTGTAGTCTAGAGTTCGAGATTGAATGTAGATTAAGAAAGGCTGTTTTGCAAACACGTTGTTTCTCTAAAGGTTTTCGTATGTAATAAGAAAAACTCGCTGTCCTGAGTTTTTCTCTGGCCTCTTTATTTGGTCGCTTCCTAACGACTGGTTTACATTCCATTAACCCTTGGAAATAGACATCTTGTTCGTTTTTTGAACCTTTCTCGTATAATGCTCTCAAAACAGCTTCTTTTTCTTCCGTCCTAAATTTAGTCATGCATTTCTTTTTACATCTAAAAAAAACAATATAATATTGTTACAAACGATTGTGTTATTTTATAGTAATAAAGCTTACGTGCAATCTGCTTTAACCTCCCTTTTGTTGACTATTTTCCCAGTTTTAGTTGTGTATTGGCTTCCAAGAAGACGAGCTTTCTTCCTTTCATTTCTCTTCCATGTTTCAGGACATCTTTTTTTTCTTTTACGATCGATCATTTCCGTATCCGAACTTTCACTGCTAGACATTTTAATCACGTAAAATATAAGAGGAAACGCGAAAATGTTAACATAACCTGCAAACAGGTTACGATCGAGCTGAATGCTTACTGACAAACCGTCCAAAATCAGCTGACTGCGCGACATGCGCCATGCGCATGGTTGAGTGGAAAATCAGTATAAAAGTGGGAGTTATATCGTTATTCCACTCAATGCCAAATCTGTCCGCTTCGTGGGAGCGTGCACGTAGTGAATATTGTACGCTTTTTCCGCTCAGTAGAAGGATCCTGTGTTGAAGAACATTTTGGCTATCTTGGTTTAAAATGCCTTTTTTGGGAGTTATATCGTTTTTCCACTCACCGTTTCACTTGTAGTCTAAAGTAACACCTCTGAGGTAAAATCACTTGTCATATTTGTTGTTAAAAAACATGTACATATTAATGGAGTAAGAAAGATTTCTCTACATTCTATTAGTCACTACCACAATGTTATCAATGGCAAATTATGTTTCCCATTAAATATTTTCTCCTGAAAAAGTTGAAACAAGATATTCCATTGACATCGGAAAACTCTTATACATATATATACTGGAACACATAATCCTGCAGTAAGGCGTTTTGGTTGCCTTATTTTCGTTAAAATTTCCTTTCTATTGGCAAAATTGTACCATAGTATTTGATGTCACAGATCAAAATAATCACATGTACGAATTGAGTTGAAAATTTTGACCCCTCAACGAATCATTAGTAGTTAAATATGATCTTTACATTCTTAAAGAAGTATAGCCTTGAGTAGGTCATAGGTTTGATGCACAGAATAGCGGCGACACTGAAGACGACCAGAATGCCGGAGAGCTAACTTATGATGAATTTAGAATCACCTTGCCAAAACCCACATTTCACGTTAAAAGATGTCTTAGTACTTACAATGTGTATAAATATTTGTTGATGTTTGGTCACAATAATGATAGATTTCACTTATGCAAAGCTTTTAAATTGTTATGTGCAATTATATTTGATGTTTATAGTAACAAAAGCACGAAAAATTCAATCTTTTTTCCAACAAAACATGAGATTTGTAAAACTCTACAAGTCCAGAATGCAATACTATAACCTATTAAAACATTTACTCGTGTCAAAACAAACACGATCACACGATTGCCGCATTTGTTTGCTTGTTGCTGCCCTACCTAGGCCCGTTTAGGAATGCACGTATTTGAACGTATCGCCCTGGTGTGTTTTGTAAAATGCATCAACTAAGAAGTCGGTGGACAGTCCACTTTCATCTCCAAATGAGGTTAGTTTTTTACTCTCCTGCCTTTCTTAATTCGAACATTTTGGTAACCAGTCTGCAAATAAACTTATATAAACGTCTGGGATCTAATAGGGATCTTTAAAACATACCAAATTTTCTTATAGTATTTATATTGTCAACAGTATAAAATATTGTATTCATTCTAAATCATCAGTTAAACTGATGTTAATAATCTGTTGTATACTATCCATTAGTATGTGTGCATGTAATGTACTTATTGAAATAATTTGTGATTTTACTTAGTGAATTTATGCACAAACCATAAGGTTTTATTTTATTGTATTTGATATGTATATTTATACAATAAAATTGTACAATAGACTTTCTTTGGTTGAATTTGATGAAACAAACTGAACTTGATGAAACTGAACCGAGTACCCTTGAACTCAACCTCGAGCACTAATGACCCCCTTGATACTTATTTGATGAATGTTGACAGTAGTACCTGGAACTTATCTGCAGTTTTCATGCTGATAATCCTCCAACAATACTATATTGTAAAAACATGCAGTTTATTATGTTTTATACTTGAACCACCATGAAGGCCTAAACACCTGTGGGTACCATGGGGGTGTGCGGGATAAGAGAAAAAGGGTTGAACATCACATGGACTCTAGTAAGGGAACACGCATAGTCTAATCATGTTAGACGAAAATACCCCTGGTTTGCGAAATAATTGTCTGATTTTATTGCTGCAAGTTGTTCAAGGGGGTATTCAAAACATGAACGCATAAAATGAATACACCAGTTTTGGTGGGAAAACTTTTTATTCAACAACAAAGAATGAGAAAATGTGTTTTTTGGGATTCAATAGAAAGGGTTGGCAGGAACGAAAAAACTCTTGGTATAAGATATTTAGGTATTTATGAGACCTACAAAATGGACCACACGTAGAAAGATCCGGCTGATGGCAAAAAAGTTAAGGCCGGAAACCGAGGCGAACTGCAGGTTTTGGCACTTGTTGGTAATGCGACGATGATTGCTCGCAGATATTTGAAATTCTTCAAATTCGTGGGATTCATACTTCTAAATAACCACAACAAAATTGAAGTAGATTGATCAAGCAGTTTTTGAGAATTTCCAATTTATCCCAAAACATCTGTCTTCCTGCCATCACTACTAGTTTATTGAGCAATATACACCGTTAGTTCAAAGGGTATTTTTATAGCAAAATACTTTGCCAATATGAATCGTAAACCATTCCGGAAGATAAGTGTTATTTTTATGCAAAAAAGGATGGGTTACATTTTTTCTTCTAAACAAAATCAAACATCTCGTACTTGTGAGTGATTCGCCACAAAAGATGGTAGACACATCCGCTTTGTTTTAAAATGTCTATAGTAACGCATGTTTTTGTAATGTCGTAGCGCATTTATTCAATTACCCAAAAATACGAAAACGTTAACTTTGCTTTTCGCATAAAAATAACATTTATCTTTCGGAATGGTTTGTGATTCATACCTGCAAGGTAACCAGGGGAATTTTGCTATTAAATGGTCTTTGAACGAACCCAGTATATAGCTTAATAAACTAGTAGTGATGGCCGGAAAACAGGTGTTTGGGTATAAATAATTCTCAAAAACTACTTGACCAATATACTCCAATTTTGTTGTTATTTAGAAGCATGAATCCAAGGGTTTGAAGAATTTCAAGTAGTTGCGTGAAATTATCGTCGCATTACCAAGTGCCAAAACCTGCATTTTACTCCGTTTTTCGGGCATCGGCTTTTTGCTATTAGTCGGATTTTTTTACGTGTGGTCTCATTTTGTAGGTCTCATAAATACTTAAAAATCTTATTTGGAAAGTTTTTTCGTTCTTGACAACACTTTCGAATGAATCCCGAAGAACACGTTTTACTCTTTATTTGTTGTTGAATAAAAAGTTTTCCCACAAAAATTGGTGTACCCATCTTATGCATCCATGTTTAAAATACCCCTTGAACAAGTTGCACCAATAGAACCAGATTTAAACAATTATTTTGGGAAAATTTCTTAATATGATTAGACTAACATTATGGCCCCAGCTTATAGAATTTGCCAGGTGCTACGTCCATGTTTGATAGCTGGAGACAAAGTACCACCTACCTATATCAATGTATAAATATTAAATTGGTTGCATTTAGCAGCCGAACATGGAGGATTAAAACAAGACATTCTGGGAGCCTATGTTAACAATGAGATATCAAATTGCATAATGTCCTTCAAGGTAACCCCCAAATCACAGTGCCCCAGGGCAATATTTGTTTTCTGAAACTCAGAAAAAACTATATCTTGTTAAAAAATGCAATTTATTAGAATATATACAATGTATAAATATTAAATTAGCCTCAAAAGTTTACACTATTAAAAAATATACATTTATACTTAAAATACCACCAACAATGTAAAGACTCCATATACCAACATGCATGGATATGCTATCAACAGCTGCTGCTCCTTATCACCTGAAACAGCTACAAACAGTCTTGAAGCAGATACACTTGCCCATATGATAACAGCAACTGCTAAACCTAAACCTACAGGACCGCTCAGTTTTACAAAGATTCCCAGAAATGAGAGCCCTAAGATTGGTATTAGACAATAACCTAATATGCTAGCTACTGTGCTTAGTGAAAATACACCTCGACCCTCAGTCATAAGTGAGAGTAAGGAATACATTACTACACAACAAATCATTGTGATTCCATATATGTATCCGAAATGAGCATTTTTGCCTGCCAAGAATAAGCTGAAAGCTAGTAGGATGCAGAAAAAGACTGGTCCAGCTAAGTCAGATTCTTTCGTGAGATATTCGGCGTCATCCGCCAGGCTGTGGCCCCTTAAAGGATTCAGTACTGCTAAGATCTTCTCCAGAATTCTGTCTGGATAAATTTCCATCTCTTCAAGAAAAGGTGGTTCGTCGAATTCATCTACTTCTTTTTGAAAGTTTTCATACGGTTCTGGGATAAGCATCTGAGGAGGATAGCTGGCAAAGTTTTGGTTCGCATAATCGGTATTAGTGTTGAATTCTGCAACAGGGAATATGTTTGTGTTTATCCGATGTCCGATTCTAACCTAAGCGCTGTTTACCTAACTGTTGATTTTGAAACTGATTGTAGTCCTGCTCGTAATAAGTCTGTCCAGGCATCTGGGGCTGTTGCGCCCAGTAAAAATCATTTTGATTGGAATTTATGTAGTCGCCCATTGCTTTATTTTACCAAATTTTTATTTTTTCTCAATTCAACCATCACTTGACGTGTGTTTGGACTGTTTGGTGACGTTATGACAACTTCATGATATTTGTCATAATACACGGAAGAAAAAGATTAGAAATTATAGAATAGAGAACTGGTTTAATGGAAAGAAAAAGGGGGCGTAATATATTATCAGGTGACAAGTCTTTCTCTGAAGTAATTGGATACTGTAATTCTTTTGAAAACCATTATTGATGTCAATCTGAGTCTGTCATTGTCATTTCATTGTTTTGTGTGAATCACTACAAAAATTTTTCTTCCAATTCAAATTTCAAAACTATAACAAAAATGTCAGATCTAAAAGTAATAACTGGAGATTTTGTAAACTTACAAATATCCACATCGAAAGACGACATATCCTTCAACGAAAAACGATTTCCCAAAGATCTAACCATTTCCGACTTGAAGGTATTTTTCTTATGGTGTTTTAGCAAAAAGTACTATTTGCTTTATTTTTAGGTGAAACTAGAGCTTATAACGGGAGGCAATTGTAACACGATGAAGTTAGAAGCCTACACAGAAGAGAACAAATTCGTATGCCACTTGGACAACGATAAAGCACTCCTTGGTTCATACCCTCTTGAAAATGGAATGCGCTTACATGTCATAGACCAATTCCAAATCAGAAACGAGTTGGATTTCGCTGATGTTCCTAAATATGAACTTTCTCAAGAAGAGTATGACAGCAAAAGTGATTCAGTCAGGGCATTCTTACAGAAAAACAAATTAGGTAGGGGCACATATAACATCTGTTTTTATGAGTCATACAATGACAAAGTAGTAATCGCAGATTATCAGTACATGCAAGTAGTAGTTTTTATAGAAGCCCATTGTTTGGCAGAATCAAAATACATATATGTTTTAATTTCTGTTTATTATACAATTAATTGTGCTTGAAAAAGGCCACTGGGTTGGCCAAAACATCATACAATGAACAGAAACTAAAATGTGTGGTTGGATAACTTTCATCAGTTAAATTAGTATTTTTTTGTGTGAAGGTTCATTTAATTGATCGAAAAATATAACCTGAAAAGGAGCAAGCACTTGCAAGAGTTAAAAAAATAAAGAATGCTTAAGGTTTGTTTGAATCTCTCATCGACTAGGTGGTGCTTGCAACTAAAGCCAACTGTACAATGTTGTTTCATGCTTTTTAGAAAACATCAGCATGGTGTATGTCATCATTTGAACAGAGATCATGGAAACCACATATATGTTTCAACTTCTGTTTATTTTTTTATATCTGAACCACCATGAAGGCCTAAACACCCAAGGGTACCATGGAGCTATAGGGGGATGGCACATGGACTCCAGCGAGGGAACACATGTGCATGCAAAATGCTCACATTCTGGCCCCTCCCTAGAGATCCACCAGGTAGTACCTCCGCGTGCGACTGTCAGGGACCGTCTACCACCTATGAACACTCATAACATCCTTAGCCAAGAGAAAAATTGCCTTGAGACGGGAATCGAATCCGCACAGCGTATGGCGACTGATTAGTAGACCCATAACATCTTCCACTGCGCCACTGCTGCTGCCTGTGCGTTGCTGTTTATTGTACGACGTTTTGGCCACCATGGTGGCTTTTTTCAAGTACAATGGCAATTAATGGCAGTATATTTTGTTTATCTGTCACCAGGTGACAGTTCATTTATTTTTTATTTTGTTAGTACCTATACGATGATAGATTGAACGGTCCTGTAGCATGCCGCGAAGCTATCATTACAATTTTAAGATGGCGCCCTGTGAAACCAGAAAAGCCCGGGATTGTCTGCAGGGGTTTTATGTAAAAAACCTAGACTACTTCAAAAAAAAAACCTGATGAAATGTCATCTTGCAGACTAGGTAGTTTTTAGTGTGCAAAAAGTTAATTCCACGTTTGCTCGATATGATCGCTGTTAGATGAGTTTTCAGCGACATATATAGCTACACAACAAGTTCACAAGTGTACAACAGCTTGCGATAAGTTCACATCTTGTAGAAAAACTTACGTCAAACGACAAAATGTCACATTTCAACATACGTAATACTCGTGCGGGGTAGGCATTGCTGTGACCACAGGACATCCAGCCCTCAAAGCGACAAGCGAGCGCGAGTTTATCTGTCGTTTTTTAATGTACCAGTCACGTCACCCTCGTCCATCGTCCCGAAAACGCTAAACGCCTTCCGAGACGGCGAAAAACCCACCCAGAATTTTTGTGAAAACATACAGATTATGCAACCTTCGGCTACTAATACTGCATCTGCATTGTTAATGGGTCTGAAATGCTAGAAATTGCAGTTGAACATTTTAAGGTAACCATGTTATTTATCTTGTGAAGAAGTAATGTCCGACTGAAGCTATTATTTCAGCCGAAACCGAATTTTCGGTCCAATTCTGGTTTCGGCCGAAACCGAATCTTCCAACTGGGGTGTGTGATATGGGAGGTTGGGAGGTAAGATATTATACCCTATTTCACGAGTATCCATCAGGGCAGAATGACAGCTGATTATCTGGTAATATCACAAAATTCCCCATATCAGCACAGGACACAATTCTGAATTTTCTTTTATTTTTTTACTTGCTATCAACTCTTTTGTTTAGAAAAGTTCATCTGCATACAAAAAACAAAACACCACAAACAAGTTTAACTAGATTTATACCCAATCCCTTATTGCCAACGTTGCAGACTAACACAAAAATGTCACTTGCTCATCAGCTGTTCACCTCAGTAGACATCAAAGTGTGATGAATACTCGTGAAATAGGGTATAGTGTATCTCCAAGAAAAAACAAACTCAAGCTTTATCAATTAATAAACTCTATGTTTATGCAATAATCAGTGTTATCAAATATTATTAAGACTTAGGTAACGAAAACTAAAATACTAACATTTGTCTCTTAAAACATAAAATAAATATGTCTTTTTGTTTCTAACATTTTGTAAAAAAAGACAATAAAACAAAAATAACACCAATACTATTTAACCTTAGCTTAGACGGAAACCTAATTTGAAGATTTCTATTGCAAAAGTACTTAACACCGTTTAAAATTTTATGAACTGTGCTTAACTAAAGTGTTCTACTTTTGGAGGTTAAATATCGTCTAATACATTTTTTGTCTTTATTGATTATGGTGATATTTTAAACGATAATCACATCCCTGAACTACTAAATAGTCGCTTCTACAAAAATTATTCAAAGACCAAAAACAAAAACTATTTCCAAGAGATCAGTAACTATGGCATTTTTAAGAAATTTAGTTTGTACAGTTTTGAATTAAACCTGAACTGGAGTTACTCAATAATTTTTGAGTTATCTACCATCTCAATTACGTAAAACAGTCCCTAGATTTCTGTAGGGTTGCAAAACTCAAATTCAATGTTGGAGCAAAGGCCATTAGATTGTAATCTAATAAATATAATTGAGCAGTCTGATATTATATGACATAAATAACAATTGAACACCTTGGGACCAGAAGGGGACAAGCCACCAAACACAGTTTTGGAGAAAACATGATTTTTAACTTATTTTCAAATCGTGAAATCCAAGTTTAAAATGTTTGTAGCAATTAAGGTCAAAAATCGTTTGGAAAAATGTAATTAAAAACATGATAAAAGTAACACAAATGTTTATTTAACGGTTATTGACTTGAATATTTTTTGTAAAAACCTGAGGCATATCCCCTTGTGTACAAAAAACTATGTATTCTTAACAAATTAACATAATATGGAGTAATGAAATAAATTAGTTTTAATTATCTTTAATATCCAAAAAAGCACCCAAGTGTTCAACGTTTTCCAATGGTTCATTATCAGTATCTGGTAGAATCTGTTGGCATGCACCAATCTCTCCATAAAATTTTAGGAAAGCTGGCGGAATAAATTGTAGGAGCTGCGAAATATTTTCATTTTTTTTTTTATTTAGTGGAATAGGTTCACTATATTTTGATTTCAAGTCTCTGGAAAGTAAAACTGACTTCCTCAAAGCTTTCTTCCCAATATTAACTGATTTAAATTCTTAATTTATAAGATGTTTGTTATACATTATAGTTATTAGGTCATTCAGACGTAAATTTGAGGCTTGATATTTTGGAAAAGTTTACTTTTTCTTTGTCGTCTGTATGGCTTTTTTAGTAATTTCGCCTTATATCTCTTTAATACAGTCACCTCAAAGCAGTTTTTTCTTTTACATTTTCTTACTGCGTTGTACCAATCGTCTGGAGTATACACTTGTTTTAATCGGTGACGCTTAACTTTTCAATAGCTGCGAAATCACGATCATATGCCAATCTCGTATGTCGTACTATTAAGTATTTGTGCTCGATAGAAGTAAATATGCCTTGTATAGTAAGTCGTTGCCATAAACAAATTAGTGACCAATTTTTGTTCTGGCCACTGCAGTTATCTGTATACACTATAAGCTTGTCAGCAGTAGGTCTATTAGTGTTAAAATGCTTATATAAAATGCTCGCTATTTCATCGCTACCTCGCTTAGCGACGTTTCTTGGCTACATGTACATGTAGGCCTTGCCACTAACGTAGTCATGCCTTTCTCAAGTAGAACGCTGCCTCCACTGTTAAATTTGGCACTGGCATATCCTGTTGTAAATCAAAGCTGATAACCATTGACTTTCTTGTAGCCCTGGCCTCTTCTGTATCTTGTTTCATTTTATTCTGCATGGATTCGGTACGTCTTTGATGTAACTCTAAATCAATTTTTAATTCTTTTGCAACTTCTGTTTCCGCTTCATTATTAATTTTTGTATTGAATGAATCGCATACTTTACAGTGACTTGAAGCCTATATTAAACTCTGTGCAGAATATTCGCCTATATTTATCTTGAGTTACCTTTTGTTTTTACATAACTATAACCTAGATTTCTTTTAGTCTTGCGCTTAATTTTTTTATGTCATTGAATATTATTGTGTGTGCATCTAGAAGAAGGCACCTTCTTTTCTGGAGTTAGCAAGGCACCTCGAGAAGTCTGTGGTGTATTAGCATCTTCATTTTCCTAGAATGAAATAGGTATTGTACTAACAGGAGATAAGCCACAAAAAGACCTACAGAAGAAACCAAATATTTTAGGTTCAAAAAATATAACACAAGGAGACAAGCCACACATTTTACAAACTTACCGTACTCAAGTCTGTCTTCCGAGTCTCTGATACTTCCGGATACTATGTAGTCTTTATCATCTTTACTTTCATTTAAAAATGGATCTTGGTCACTGTCTTCAGAATCAAACCGAGAAAAGTCTATTTTCCGTTTACATGCATGAAAATGTTCCACCGCCATGCTGATTACTACTGTGGCTTGTCACCCTCTGATGCAATATGCAATATAAAGTAATGATGTAAAAATGAGACTTCCTACTAGTGGCGTCGTCTATAAAACAAATAGCTGAACTTATCTTTTGGCATATTGTATGGCTCTTACAGTGTGTTGTTTTAGCCTTAACTCATTTTTGACGAAATTGTGGCTTATCCCCTTCTGGTCCCAAGGTCCTCAATTTTTCAAAATTTTTTTTCTAGCAAATTTGATCTTTGGTCTAAATAATTTTGCCCGAATTTTTTGTTTGCCGAAACCGAAATTTTGATTTTGGATCGAAACTGGCCGAAACCGAAAGTAATGTAAAGGCGCGTACTGACTTGAGCAAATTTGCGCGCACCACCCAAAAATGTTGTGTGCGTAAGCGCGTTCCCGCACGAATGCTTTCCGTCGATTGTCGGTACATCAGTGTGGACGGTGTTTTTGTAGGAACGGTTGTTCGCGCACAGTCTTTTATAAAATATGGAGTGGGAAAATGAAAAGGCGCTCCAATTAATAGATGAATATGAAAAATATCCGATTTTATGGAATGCCAAACATCCAGAGCACTATTCAAGAAACAAAAAAGCAGATGCGTGGGAACGTATTGCGTATAACTTCAAAGTGGAAGAGCATGAAGCGAAACAGAAAATGAATTGTCTTCTAGGGTCATTTCGTAGAGAAAAGGCAAAACGAACAAAAAGTATTGGGACTGGCAAGGTCAGTAAATATCCTGATTCTTTTGAATGTATTTATAAAAATGCATTTTGAAGGTCGGCAAGATGTGTATGTATCGAAATGGTATGCATTTAAAAGAATGCATTACTTTACTTGACAAAGATAACCAAGAGAAACAATTGATACAGAGACAGAATGCGTAAGTATTTTATATATATATATATATAGGATTTTTGTACAGGGTGAGTCACTACTGTGTCCTCGGTTTATAATTCGTAAGAAATAAGCCGGAGAACAAGTTCAAAGTGCATTAAAAACGGCAATCAACAATGCTATAAAATATATGGGGTTGCATTTCAAAGAAGATTATGAAATAGGTAACATTTGTATTAAGACCCGCCATGATGACACACTAATGACTCATCCTTTACATAACTAGAATTTATGCATAATGGTCTTGCCAACATATACGACCATTGCTAGTAAAGTATGCAGCAAACTCGTTTCGAATGTCTTGTGCTTCTTTAGGTGATTTTCGGGGCAAACTTCTAATAGGGATTAGCGATGACATGTTTTCATTTGGTGTTTCTCTCCAATTGCCTGGTACAAATTGGCCATCTATATCAGTATCGAAGGTTCCTGTGGGATTATACAACGTCCGAGAGTGTCTATTTCTTCTTAAAAAGTTGTGAAGCAAAACAATAGTCATTACGACAAGTTCTGCCTTTTCGGGCTCTAAAAGCATAGGCTTTCGTAATATTCGAAATACGGCAGAAGACATTCCAAAAATATTTTCTACAATTCTTCGGGCTCGGCTAAGACGATAATTGAATATTCTTCCAGTGATCCTTTCCGATGGGTTCCTGAGAATGGCTTCATAATATGCTTACTCAACGGAAATGCTTCATTTCCGAGAAATACATACTCCACCTCCTGATTCCTTCCTGGTAGACTTCTTGCTGTAGGAATCTTCAAGTCATTGCTCTGTAATCTTTTATATAGTGTAGTGTGTTAAACACGCCTCCATCAGAAATTCGACCCTGACAGCCTGCATCAGCAAATATAAAATTGTAATTTGCGTCAACTAAAGCGAATAATACAATACTACAGTGTGATTTATAGTTATAGTATTCGCTGCCGCTGTTTATTGGCGTTTGTAGCGCTACATGCTTTCCATCCATGGCGCCCAAGCAATTTGGAAAGTTCCACAACTCTTGATATTGTTCTGAAACTAATAACCATTCTTCAGGAGTTGACGGCATCTGAAAAATTCATATAGTTTTAGATTTAACATTCAAATGAATAACTTTTTATCATTTTTTCAGGTTATTGATGACGTACAGAATTCTGGGGAAAAAGATCTCGGACCGTTTTATAGTTCTCCCCAAAATTCTAATTTAGATGCAAGTGAAGGAAACAAAAGACGTCAAATTGACTTGCAATCCGAAAATGAACAGGATGTGAATGAAATGCCTCCAAAACCGAAAAAGGCCAAAGCAAAAAGTAAAAATGAAGATCCAAGATTGGAGGAAGCTTATCAAATTTTGAAAAAAGTGGCCGCACCTCAACCAGTCGTCACAGAAGATGAATTTGCAGTATATGGACAACATATAGCAAATAAACTGAGAGGTTACATTAGAAGGACTCGAGTCGAAGTTGAACATGCTTTCAGTAGAATTCTATATGATGCTGATATCGGCAAATACGAGTGGGTTGCTCCACCAGTGCAGTTTGTTCCTCATACTATGCCACAACAACTTACAACACCTCTTCCAACAATGTATCCTAATAATTCTACACCACATTCTACCCCATCACGTTCTCCCTGTCTAACTCCTTACACAACTTATTCTTCCTCACAATCCCACTGCTCAACCCCTAACCCCACCTTAACGGAAATGGTAAATGTAGAGTTGGCTTATTCAGACTCACTTTGACGTGACGCATTCAACATTGTACGACATAATTACATTTTGGTTTATATATACGCATTTCAAGCTGTAGCATTCTAAGTTTAATAAATGAAATATTTAAGTATGTGTAACAAATTATCTAATTACCTTTACATAATCCTTCAGAACTTCAATAAGGGCCCGGCATGTTTCAGGAACAATGGAAGATATAAGCTGTTTTGAAACTTTGAAAAGATACTGCATACTTGTATATGAATCTCCCGTCGCTAAAAAGCGTAGAGTTATGGCAAGTCGCTCCTTAACGGGAACGGCCATTCTCAGTCTCGTATTCAGTTTCCTTATTTTGGGTCCGATCATATTAATTAGTAGCTCAGAATCCTGTGAAGACATACGGACAAAATTTTGAAACTGCCCGCTGATTTCTTGGAATTTCAAATCCGCTAACAATGTTGATCCACTATACATCTCTCTGCTTTTATACAACTGCGTAACCCACCACCGCTTATCCCGTTTGTTCTTCCGTTTACAAGAATGCATCACTATGTAGGCTGCACTTGCTATTATAATTTGTTTGTTGTTGGACATTTTGACAACGCTATAAAAACGGAGCTGATCGGAAACTAAATAAGCGGCTACTCTAGACGGAACAGAAATTTTCGCACACAATTTCCCGCGCACGTTTTCACAGTCAAAATAATTCGCCCACATACGTGTGCGCGCAAATTTGCTCAAGTCAGTACGCGCCTTTAGACACAAAAATTTGACCTTGAGATTGCAAAGTAAAAGGTTGCTTATTTGAGATCCAATCAAATACCATATGAAAAAACCTCGAAGCAAAAAACGTATGGCCAATCAATCAGTATGGAAAATGTACAGGGTTTTTCTAATTCGACCCTCACCATTGGGATCTCGGAAACTGTATGAGATACGAAGTCGTTTAATTGGGGGCAGAGTTGCGTAACTAACCGCTTAAAAAGTTTCGAAATTTACAGTACTACCGTAGAGAGATTGAAAAAACAGAATTTTCCCAAAATCGATTTAATTTTTTCCAGACTTTATTTGTAGTGGGATTTCAAAATACATTGTACATTAACATTGTCAATTTTTCTTCTCTGCAAAATAATTAGAATTTCAATTTGACGTTTCGTCTCTTGTCCTCCAACCTCAACTTTATTTTGTCTTACGGAAGCCATATTGGATTTTCGCATATATGAATAGAGTTTTTAATTATTATTCCAAAAATGTATAATATGTCAGTACATTGGCATTGCCAAACCTTGGTTACTTCAGAAGAATGGATGTGCCTAGGCAGGTCTTGGAATTTGGAATTATCAGATTTCGTTTGTTTTGTGTAACAGACCAGACCTCAAATTGAGCATAGCAACAAAGGTTGGAACACTGAGAAGAGAAATAAATCAAGCAGTAAATAATGTATAGAGGAGAGTCAGGCTTTGCCTACAGAATAACGGACAACATTTTGAGCATCTGATATGATTTACCTCTGCTCATTTATGATCATTTTTATTACATTCAAGCCCTGAGTATCTAATGGTTTACCGAATGTTGATTCGTATTTTTTCAACATCTTCTTCAAGGCCATCGTCCTTTCTCATTTTTATTTTTGGAACTTGTGACTTTTGCAAAATAATGGGAGCAATGGCAATTTCATCTGCGATGAACTGCAGGTCGTTGCCATTATTTTCTATAGTTTCCTCATCACTTGGAGATGACATGCTTATTAATTTGATAAAAAACTGTATCCAGTAAAAATACGGAACGGTCTGTGTAAGCTCTGGAGTCAGTGATGCTGAGTGAACGAACTCGCACGTCAACTACAAGCTGGAACAAGTCAGGACTTGTTGCTCAAGATACAAATACCAGTCAACCTTTCATTTCTTCTTGGAGGATATCCTCGCGAGTATAAGGTATTTAATCATTATGAATATGAAAACGAGGATATGCTTATACTTCTACCTTTTTTCCGAAGCACGACCTTATACTTTTACCTTATGCTTCTGAGGATATGCTTCTCTTTATGAATACGGTTCAATGGTGCCCGGCAAATCAAACCAATGGCGAAACTACCCATAGGTGGCATGTCACGTTTGCTTTATTTTTAGTTTTGACTTTGTCAGATATATCACTGTGCGAGTTTCAAATGAATGCTTTATTTTATAGGGAAATACAATGAGGATAATCAAAAGAAAAAGGAACTTTTAGAAGCGGAAGAACAAAAGCTGGCAGAAAACATGGCAGTAGGTTCACGTTGCAAAGTGTCAGTACAAAACGCACCAGACAGATTGGGTGCAGTAATGTATACAGGACCTGTTGAAGGGCTAACTGGTTATTGGATTGGTGTGAAATATGATGAGCCTCTTGGAAAAAACAATGGCAGGTAATAAGAAGTTGATTAGACTTCCAAATACATTTAACTAAAAATAATCATCAACATTTCATTTGATTTAATGTATGCGTCTTTTCTCCAGAGGTGTTATAACCAAATTTTTTGTGAGAATAACACTGATTTTTTGTTTCAGTTTCAAAGGCAAGCAGTATTTTGAATGCCCTGACAAATATGGAGCTTTTGTCAAACCACACAATGTCATATGTGGTGATTTTCCAGAGTTGGATTATGACCTAAATGAAGAGATATGAGACTACCATATCATCTACCAGCTTATTGTGATGATTTACATTGTGATTAATACCTTTTTAAATACTTTTGTTTACAATGCTTATTTTATTAAGTTTGATTAAAAATTTGCAGTTAAGAAGACGTCTAAAAATACCATGCAAACTTTTTAGCTCAGAAAACATGAACATTCCTTTTTGGCAAACTTTTTATTATTCTATTGGCTTTAATCATTTTGTATCACTCTGTAATTAAATACCTAAAATCCTGACCTAGTTCCGCCAAAAATAGAATAACATTCTATAAACTATCTGGAACTCTTCAGAAGTCACAAATGCATCTGCTTGTTAAAATGTCTGTATACATAATATATTAAACATGTTGGCATGTATTTTCAACATCTGGCGCAGACAAATAAATGCACAGTCTCACATGAGTTGTAGTTTTATTTCACACACTAGTACTTTCTGTATGTACATCATGTTATTTTTGCTGGTTTTGGTTGATATCAATTGTGTAGAGGCATTCTACATTACATCTAATATTGGTAAGAGTATGGTACAGTAAAGAGAAATTTTTCATATGTTTGAAGTTGTATTTCTTTTTGTTCAAATATCTAGAACTTAAATTGTCTTTAACAAGTTTTTTTTTACATTTGATTTAGGGGTTGCATTACCCCAATGACCTGAACTTTACTGTAGGTGAAGGAGTTTGGTAGCAATTTCTTTTAGGTTTTGAAAACAAAACTGCAGTTGAAGAAGTGCAAAATGCAGTCTGTACCATTTCTACACAGGAGTTTGAAGCATCTGCTAATGCTACGATTTCTAGACAACTAAAAGGTGTCTGTAGTTCAGGTAAGCATTCTGATATTTACTTACTCTTTAATTGCACTACTTGTCAAAGATGAACTAATTTTCTACGATGGATCAAACATCCAAATAACACAACATTTTCTATATAATTGAGCACTGCAAGAGTGAACTAATTATCTACATTCTACAATGTATCAAAAATCGGAATAATGCAGCGCACAGCGCCATCTATTACAAAAATCATCCACTTTATCAGGTTATTTTTGAAGGTTCCTGTACCTCTTATAGCATTTAAATGGGTAGGTAGTTTATTATACAATTTTGCGCACATATAGGAAGAGTTTTTTTTCAGTTACTGTCAGCCTATGCTGAGGTAGCAAAAGACTGAGAGCTCCTTTACCGTATGTGTGATCATTTTGCGTAGGCAAATTGTTTCTATTTTTCACTTTGATCATAACACATTGAAATATGTGTATATATTGACATTAAACCCATAGGCTTATATGCTTCTACGTGTTTCATTGAATTGCGTTTTTGAATAACAAATAATTTTTGGAATTCTCAGCTGTCTCCAAACAGTATTATTCCATAATGTAAGATCGATTCAAAATGTGCACAATATAAGATTTTTAAATATACTGAATTTATATACCTAGATTTATTCCATAGCTGATGCTACTCAGTTTCAAAGTAGCTTTAAATGTATTCTGAACACTTGAGTTTGCTGACACTTGGATATTACTATCAGAAATAGTGATATTTTTGTGGTATACATCTGTGATTGCTTTGTTCTAAATATAATGAAATCAGTTTTTTCCTTGTTTATTGGATGGAGGATAGTTGCTTTGTTTTCATTCGCTGTCCCAGAGACCAACCCCAGGCCATGCTGATGAGTTGCCAAAAGCACAATACAGCTATGGTTGGCTGACTTGTAGGACGGATAAATGCAGCATATTTACTTTGATCAAGAGTGTTGTGATGAGTAGTAGTTTCTTTCAAGATGAAGTTTTTTGAGTACGCGAGTCAATATCTAAGATGGTGAAATTACCTTCGCAAGAATTGGGCAAACACCTCGAACAAGAGTAGTAGTCGTAGTCGATGTATTCAAGTGGATTGAAAGGTTCAATCTAGCAAAATTGACTTCGCAAGTATGTATATTAAACAAACACGTTGAAGTGAAGTAGTCGATGTCGACGGGTATTTGAAAGAATATTGTCTGGTAAAATTATCATTGCTTGAAATTAAGTCCATAAGTTTATAAATAAAGCAATCAACTCGAACAGTAGTTGATGCCACCATCCAGATTTAGACGGGACAATTTTTTTTTCAAGAAAATGGTATAATATTGCTGTTGTCTGGTGTAAAAATTGCATTGCAAGACTTGTATCTGTTAGTCTAATCATATTAGATGAAGATAGAGCCCTGGTTTGTGAAATAATTATAAAGTCTGGTCTTATTGCTGCAAGTTATTCAGAGGGGTATTCAAAACATGGACGCATAAAATGGGTACCCCAAGTTTTGTGGGAAAACAACAAAGAATGAGAAAACGTGTTTTTTGGGATTCAATCGAAAGTGTTGGCAGGAACAAAAAACGCTTCATATAAGATTTTTAGGTATTTATGAGATCACACGTCAAAAGATCCAACTGGTAGCAAAAAAGTTATGGCCGAAAACCGAGCCAAACTGCAGGTTGCGGCACTTGTTGATAATGTGACGATGATTTCTCGCAGATATTTAAAATTCTTCAAATTCGTAGGATTCGTACTTCTAAATAACCACAACAAAATTGGAGTAGATTGGTCAAGTAGTTTTTGAGAATTTCCAATTGTTTATCCCAAAACACCTGTTTTCCGGCTATCACTACTATTTTATAGCAAAATATACTAGTTTACCTTGCCTTGTTTTAAATACCCCCTTGAACAACTCGCACCAATAAAACAAGACTTTACCATTATTTCGGGGAAATTTGATAATATGATTAGACTATGTATCCCACCCACCCGTGCTCTTCGGTTGTCACGAGGGCAGTTGCTCTCAGAAGCTTAAGTGCTCAAGATTGCAGCTGTCGCCCCCACCCCCCGCTCTTAACACCCCTCCCCCTCCAGAGACGAACATCTTCGTGAACATGAATGCTGTGACAAGCAGTGCGGTCCCTCTAGGCAGATTCCTAAATACTCCCTTGTGTCACTTGGTAGATTGAAGGATATTTCTACGAATTTATAAGTTTTATGACGCCACCTTGATCTAGCCATTTACACTTGTTCAACCACATTTCCCTGAAAAACCACGTTGGTTTTTCATGGTGCAGTGCTAATTCTTGTTCTCACTATTCTAGCTGAACTAAAATCTATGCTTACTGAATTAGAAAAGAAAATGACGCAAGGCTTTGATGAAATAAAGCAAATATTACGCCTCAATGCCCCTGAAATGCCGATTTTTAGAGAACCTGTTGCCAATGAAGTCAGACAAGATGAGCTGAAACGAATCCCGGCCGAGTCTGAACATTCTGAAAGCATTGTTTCATTGGAAGACGAAATTTACTGGAAGAATGACACTGTAGATCCGACTATGAATGTTTATTATTATTTCTGGAAGGTGGAAAATATAAGGAGTCTGATACAGAAATTTGACATGTATCACTCTAGTCCCGAGTTCTCTATCATGGGTAAGCTTTGAATCAAACCTGTATTTGAATTTACCGTTTTCATTTCACAAATGAAGCAAATTTTTAAATTATTCTATATACAAAAGATTAACACAATCCAAAGATAAACATGTTCAATCGCAATTGTTTTATTTGGATTCCCAATGTATGTTTTATTCTATTTTTAGGCCACATCTTGTACCTGCAACTGTTCCCTAACTACCCAGAAACTGGATTTTTATCCCTTCAATTGGGAAGACGAAACAACAGCTTTCTCAAAAAACACGAAATATATATACTCGCCCAATTGAATCGCACTAAATCCTTAAAATCATCGTTGCTCTATAGTCTAAAGGGTACGAGTATGTTTACTATGGCAGAAAATACACTAGAAAATGGATATATTTCAGATGATGCAATTATTGTGAAAGTAAAAATATATTTAAATTCTTATTTCCTTGTGTTTCTACTGCCTGTTCACGAGTGTTAAAAATTGAAATCCGTATTTCTTTAATATATTTTATTAATTATTCTCACAATAAAGCTGATAACAGTCACATCACTCCAATTAATTTGTAGTGAAAAACAAATATATTTTACACTAGCTTTTACTCTATTTACACAATAATTCTAAACCTCAACAGCTAGTTTTACTTCTTAAACTCCGCTATTACACTACTTAGCCATTCCATTTAAAATAGGGTAAAAAATGTTGATGTCAGTAATTAGATAAATATAATAAGACGATCTAAAATGTATATTTTGGAATTACAATAAATCGATAAAATATAAGGACTGTTAAAATTACCAGTAGTATATGCATAAAAAGGTCATTACAAAAAAGAAATTACTCGCAATATAATTTTTCAGATGCCCAAGAGGCAGAAAAATATAAACATAACAGACCACCCATGCAATTTTGAAATAACGCTGGAATATTTTTTAAACAATGTACTGTAAGTAGCTAGTCACAGGGTTCAAATGTCCAACACTATTAGCGTTCAATTCTTATATCTGAAAAATATACAAATATGGCAATAATAACAAGAAAAGTACGAGTAATGGAAGAGCCCAAAAAGGTAGCAATATTGATTCTGAAAAATAATTAGGGTACCACAATACGTTGTTTTGTCATGAGGTGTTCTTAAAGTTCTGTGTTCTGCTGTAAAGTCAGAAAAAAAACTTTATAAATACAGAAAATTTCTCACGTTACGCCATAGCTGAGACAGGTAGTGAGCTATGCTTTGGCTTCGTCTTGTTGATGAAAACTTTGATGCATCCGTTGAAATCAGCCGATACTAAAACATACCCTCCTGCACCTTTTGTGTGTTGCTCCACTACAGGATCCTCAACCTAAAAAAAAAAAGGTGTCAACTAGGTTGACTCTGCACTTCTCACGCAGTTCTTAAACGATTATGTTCAGCACAAGTTAGACCCTCTGAGAAAACACTTAGCTACCAACTCATATAACGGATCAAGTCAACCAAACAGGTCCATACAATTAGGCAATAGACATTTCCCCTGCCCTACCGATAGTTCCGTCCATCTGCCAACGTTGTCCCTCCTCCATACCTCACCGCTTGTTGCCTCCACTCATCAGCCTTGGCAGCACGGTATTGATGCCAAGACACTCATTGCTGACATTGGGATGCCAGTGAACTCAGAGAGCCGAGACGCATCTCGAAGATATTTCTTCATCAGTTTTAGGAGCAAAAGTCCGATTAAATCTTTGACGTGAGATATGCCTAATAAGTACATAGAATTATTGAGGTTGGAAGCATATAAATATGCTAACATGAAAAAATATATATAGATATACCCTCCCCTACCCTCTATAACCCCCAACACCCCCAACTACCAATTTTTACCTTCTACAAAATTTTTTCTAAAGAATTATCAGGACCCTTTGAAATTTCAAAAACGAGGTATGTGCGACTTTAATCTTTTTCGTCAGACCCACAGACCAAACCTTGAGTTTTTTCTATCTTGCTTAGTTTTCGAGAAAAAAATCCACATAATTGCATATACCATTGCAAAAACAATTTCTTTTTAAATTTCAACACCCTGCATCTTGTGAACAAATAATAAGCAGACCTATGTTTATATGAACTTTTTGTCTTGAAATTACTCAAAGAAACGTCTGATAAATTTATGGTACATACTTAATTAACACCCTGTATAATATCCAAAAAATACTTCATTTTCGTTTTTTTTTTTGCGATTACAATACTTCCTTGCCATTGGCATAGCAAGTAAAATATGAGATTCATTCAGTTTGACCAAGTAGTTCGACATTTTAAATTAAAAAATCTAACACATTGACAAATTCTAAATTTCAATCAAATCTCATTTACACGTCGTTAAAACAACATCGCACGATTTTATGGGCTAGTGGGCCACAAATGCCTGAGCGTGTATGCTTCAAGAATTTCCATCATCACAGCTGTGTGTAAAGCGAATTGTCATGGATTTTGGTTGTAGTCAGTTAGTTGTTTTTTCAAGAATAAAACACCTTTAATGTCTTTTCAAGATCAAATGAATATTTTCGAATGAATACCCCCGCTTTTCACATCAGCATAGAAAATAGGGGCAGATTTTACCTACGAGCAACACCTTGGGCATGACTGAGCACTGCCTTCAAGGCCATCTCAATGTCAAATAAATATATTGAAAACGATTTGTGGGGATTACCCAAAACCTTGACAATGACTTTCAAGGTAAGCTCAAAACTTCCAAAGGAAACCTCTCATTTTTACACTGGAAAGTTACATTTAAGCTTGACGCAACCTTGATTTTGGGATTAAGGCCATATTCAGACGTAAAATTTCCTTCATTTGCTATTTCCAGTATAAAAATGAGAGGTTTCCTTTAGACCTGATCTTGAAGGTCATGGTCAAAGTCATCTTTGGGTGATCCTTTCAAACCTCACATTAGACTACTCTGTCGAACCTTTTCGCTAGAGCAAATTGTTTTCAATGTCTTGAGCTTGAAATGGCATTGAAGGAAATGTTCAAGGTGATAGCTAGGGTGATTTACGGACTTAAAATTTGCTCGTCTTTTCAATTCCGATTTAAAAAAAATTCGCATGTACCTCTAAATGACCTTGAAGGTCGTAGTCAGGGTCAATGTCAAGATCACCATCATTTTATCCCTCGAACCCCACTATCTTTGTTTGAAACTTTCTTTTCCAGAGTGTGCAAAGATAGTGCAAATTGTTATCAATGTCTTGATTTAACCTTGAAATGATATTGAAGGAAATGTTCAAGGTGAGAGCTACTACTTAAAATTTGCTCGTCTTTTGAATTCCGATTTAAAAAATATTCGCATGTACCTCTAAATGACCTTGAAGGTCGTAGTCAGGGCGAATGTCAAGATCACCATCATTTTACGCCTCGAACCCCTCTACCTGTTCGAAACTTTTTTTCAGAATGTGCAGTTTTCGGAATATTTAGGTGGAGAAATTAAAATGTGTATAGTTGTTGGCAGCGCCACGATAGGTATGGTTATTTTCGCGCTGGCTAATCAATAAAGATTTTTTAGCGAGATCCTGTAGTGAATGGAGCGGGAACAGATAAAATTTCCTCTCGAAGTTTTGACTGTTTCAAGTTACACCGAGAGTGGTTAGATGGCGCATGTTGCGCAAAATTTTTGCTTTAATCTCCGTGATAAATTTAGTTGCCTTCGTCTGCCTTCTTTGAATCTGAAATAAAAAGACCGATCGTTTTTTGTATATATCAATAAAATCAACCGTTTGATATGACAAGTGCGGTTCCTATAACTACGATAAACTCATAGTCTTCTCCCTTGTCATTTAAAATCAGGTGGACTTGTTTCGCCATTTATGATTGAATAAATCAACTCACTCAATTTCCATTTGAGATGTCTGTTTTTTAAATGACATAACACCTGTCACCCGCTAGTACCTCACCGACGTTAGGCGGTTAAACGTACCATGTGATTTTTTGACATTTAGATGACGTCACATCCATCTTCCCCTATTCCCGTTCTTCGCGAAACTTTGAGTATCAAGTATCAGTTCAGGGTACTACATACACTGTGCTACACCGTGGACTCGCGAAAAAATACTTAATGCTAGTACTCACCTTGCTCTCCCCTTCACCACTCTCATCTTTCTTACAGCTCTCCTCCAACATCCGTATCACAGCTTCCGGATTTGGGGCAAAGATGGCGCACGTGACAGTTGCGTTGTGCGCCTTGATCGCCTCCCAGAAATCGTTTCGGTCCCTTCGCACCGACGAAAACTTTGAATAGTCGTGGTTTGTTTTCCAGATGTAAATGTCTCTGTTCTCGGAGCCGCTTACTATGTACTTGCCGTCGTGACTGAAACTTGCTTTGATTTGGCTGCTGGTATTCACGTAACCCTTCAAACAAAAAGACTATATATTGCCAGATATTTACGATTTACATTCAGGAATAGTGTCAAGTAGACTCGAGCAATGCTTATTGTCAAAGTATCTGCTGTCAAGGTTTCGCCAGTACTCTCCCATGTTGAGCACAGATTAATTATTGCATTACAGATAACGTATGTCCTAAAAGTTTTGGCACAAAATATTTATGGGCTGTTTTTTTAGAAATTTATTTAAACACTAACTAGTTATCATAAATTACAACTATACTATCGAATTATGTGGAGTTGCTCATTCCGCTCTACCAGATGCAACTTTCTTCGAATGTCTCTCATGAGGTCCTGGGCGGAATTCAGATCAATTTCTCTCAGTTTTTCGTAAATTTGCTGTCTTGATTGGTCTTTATCTTGGGCTTCTCAGCCTCCATCATAAACCTTCCAGATGAGGATTTTATCTACAAATTTCGCTTTATGTTTGTATCTAACATTGTCAAGGCATTCCTCTACGTTGTCCGTATAAAGTCCGTTTCCCTTTATTTCAGAATTACTCAAAGTGAAATACCTTTCATCATCTAAAACAATGATTTTTCCATTGCAAACTGTACCCGCCTCAGCATCTTGGTACACGAAGGAGTTGTGCTTGAGAGTATTTAAGGCACTTGAGTCTCTTTCGATATTTAAGACCATTCCTCATCAATTTCAACGATATCGTACTCTTCGAAGATCTGCATTGACGAGCTAGCCTCCTTGTTGATATTCCAACCTGATTTTTTGCTCTTCTCACCAATCTCTCGGACGTCTGTGCAGTAAATGCACTTTTTGGGAAATTCACATGGTATTACTTTGTGTTTGTTAAAATTAAAGCCAACGAATTTTGTGCAAAAACTTTTAGGACATACGTTAAAACCACCTGTGACAGCGCCATCTCAAGAAAGCGATCCAAACTAAAACACCAAAGCGGTACTTTCTTTACAGGTAACGATACTATTCAAACATTCACCATCAGTAGGATGTATTACCACCTATTCATACTTTTATTGCTTCCAATTACTTCTGAATTATGAACACATGTTTGTCGTTATTCTGAAATATCTAAAACAAGAGAAAAGCGGCAAAAACAATGCTATCAATTCTTTTGTTGTCAAAAAATGCATTTTTGTGCATATTTACTTCAATCGTAACTTGTTAACAAATTTTAGTACAGCTCTGAATTTATATTTGAATATTCCACTTTTATGGAAGAATGGAGCGTCTGATTACTTTTATTCTTACCATTTTCTCATTTTGCAGCAAATTGAGTTTTTAAGAATAGCAATGATTTTTTGAAAAGAGAATGTGATATGAAAACAAGTAATCACTTGCTTCATTCTTCCATAAAAGTGGAATATTTACATACATTTTAGAGCTGTACTATTATTTGCTACCAAGTTACGATTGATGAAAAAATATATAAAAGACAACTTTAGTCCAAGAGTGACATACGGATGACGTTCCTTTGTTTACAATTTGTATGACGTCACATCATAGCCGATAGTGTTTTCACCGTTTTCTATTAAAAATGAAAATTATACTGTTTTTTTAAATTAAATACATATATATCCAACTTCCTCTTTTGAAAATTGAAAATGAGATTTCGTTTCCCTTTAATTCAGGTCGCATGGATCGCTTTCTTCAGATGGCGCTCAAAGCAGGGTACAGAGTCATGTATACTACTCGTACTTACACCACCCTGGTGTTAAACAAAAGTTATTTAAATGTCATGAAATACAGGGGGGAAAGTTCACATTTCAAATTTGAATTACACGGCTACCGTATACGCGAAGAAGTGGAGAGAGGTCTTGATCGACGCGTTCGGCGTGCGAGTTAAATAGTCGCAATGGAACGTTGGACCGGAGCGCAACGTGCTTTTGCTATCTAGGCTTAAGTTAATAGTGGTGATTCATACGCAGCTGCCCTTCGGAAATTTTGTACACGATACAACATTCGCTGACCAAGAGATGCCCCAAGTAAGAACCTATTGAAAAAGTGGATTAAGGGGTTCCGTGAAACAGGCTCTACTCTTAGTCAACCCATTACAGGCCCCATACCTACTGTATCAACCGAAGAAAATGTGCGTCGAGTAAGTGATTCGGTCATTGCCAAATCCTCGGACTTCTGTTCGGAAGCATTCCTCTGCTTTGGGAATCCCTAGGTCAACACTGCGCGGAATAATGAAGAAAAAAATGGGTTTTAATCCTCATAAAATCCAATCCGTCCATGCTGTAAAGGAAAGTGATTAAGTATAACGGAAATCTTGTGCTGAACGGATGTTGAATCTTTTTCCAATGCAGCGCAGACTCGAGAACGTTGTTTTCAGTGACGAGACCCATTTTGACTTAGATGGTTATGTGAACAAGCAAAATTGCAGATATTGGGCACCAACGAACCCAAAAGAGAAACATCAACATCAGCTATATAGTCCAAAGGTGACTGTTTGGTGCGCCATATCCTCTAGCGGTATTAATGGGCCGTATTTCTTTGAAGATGAAAACGGTCATGCATTGACAGTCAATTCCGAGCGATACAAGGACATGATTGATACTTTTTTCCTCCTATTGTAAAAAAAAGAACGTCGATTTAACAGAAACAAATAGTTTCAACATGATGGGGCCTCTGCTCATACTTCCTGAGAATCGATGGACACGGTGAAACCCGACCTCATGCCATGCGATTATTTTTTGTGGGGTTATCAAAAGCGTATTCCAATAATCCACAAACACTGGAGAAGCTTTCAGACAACATTCGACGAGAAATAAACAACATCACTCCAGAACTCTGCAAAAGAGTGTTTCAGAATTTGCGCGCGCGATTAGAAGAGCGTGTCCGAAGGGATGGCAAAAATTTGGACGGAATGATATTTAAGAAATAAAAAACGCCGAATTTATGAATATGTTGATAGTAACAGATATTTTCTTTTCATTAAGTTTGAATTTTTTTCTTAAATCAAAAAGTGAACTTTCCCACTGGACACTGTAATGTAACAATTCTTTTAGTAGTCCTAGTAATTTATTTATTTATTTAGATTCAATACACTGCCTGAACGGAACACTCCATTGAACAGGCAGGAAGTACAGCATGCTCAGCCGACAGTTAGAAAATACCTTCGAAGGCTGTCTTTACTGTAGTGAAAGATATCAAGTACACGTGCACTTTCACAAATGCCACACATAACATAGAGTGGTGAAAACAACAATAAGTTTGTTCTAGGAACAGGTAAATAGAATAAACTGTTGCTACCATGACGAGTACGCAAATTAGGTATGTGTAAATAAATTTTCTCTAAGAGTGAAGGACAATCAATGCTGCCATCGAGCAATTTACACAAAAAGGTAGCAGCGAATAAATGTCTGCGCTTCGTTAAATTTGGCAGATTGAATCTGCTTAATAATATGTCATTACGAAAGCCCCTTTCAGGATAAACTCTATCTTCTTTATACCACAAATACTTCACGAAACGTCGCTGAACTCTCTCAAAATTAAGGGAATGTACATCGTAAGCCGGGTACCAAATAATAGAACAATATTCGAGAATAGATCTAACAAAAGCATAATATAGTAAGATTAAAGTTTTAGGATTATGAAATTGTCTGCTGTTTCTGATAACAAAACCAAGATTTTTGTACGCTTTTGCTACAATAGTATTTATCTGCTCGATAAATGTCATTCTGGGGTCAAACAAAACACCTAAATCTTTGAACGAATAAACTCTCAGGAGCGAGCTGTTTCCAATCTCAAAGACAGATTCTATCGGTTCCAACTTGCGTGTTAGCGTCATAGTGCAACATTTATCAACATTCAAATGCATATTATTAACTTCACACCACTGATGTACAAGGTTCAGATCTGCTTGCAATGCTAAACTATCATCTAAGGTATTAACACATCTAAAAATCTTGAGGTCGTCAGCATACAGCAAATACTCACACCGCAAGTCACTTACAATGTCGTTAATGAATATAAGAAATAACAAAGGGCCAAGGACTGAACCCTGGGGTACGCCTGACGTAGCCAACACCGGATATGATTTGTATCCACGATAATCTACACGTAAATGTCTGTTATTAATGTATGACTGGAAAAAATCAAGAAATCTAGACGTTAAACCAATTTTTGACAACTTCTGTATCAAAATACCGTGATCTAAACGGTCGAAAGCTTTTGAAAAATCGGTATAGACTACATCAACCTGCCCTCCTTTGTCCAAAACCTCAGCAGCGTATTGCTTGAAACATGCTAAATTACTACATGTTGATCTACCTTTATAAAAACCATGTTGACCAGTACAGATGGTACGACTTACATGAGAAAACACGACCTCAAAAAGTACAAACTCAAAAACTTTCGCCAAATTGCTCAAGATAACAATCGCTCTATAGTTCTCAATATGTGACCTATCGCCTTTCTTAAAAACTGGAGTAATTTTCGACATTTTCCATTTGTCAGGAAAGGTTGCAGTTTTTAAAGACAAATTAAAAAGGCATGCTAAGGGCTGAGCAAGTACCGAAGCACAATCCTTAAGAAAGAAAGATGGTATGGAATCTGGACCTGTGGAGCATTTAGGTTTCAACTTATTCAGAGCATTTCGTACATGCTTCTCATGAACTGTTATAATAGATAGGCAAGAACTATCGTTCACTGAGGCAGAGTCAGATAAATATTCTGAGGAGGAAATATAAGTAGATTGGAAATATGCTGCAAAGGCGTTCACTATTTGCTCAGGATTTTTCAACTCAGTATTTTCAGAAAACATGTTGCTAGGAATATTGGCGAAATTTTTGCGATGATTTACGAAGGACCAAAAGTTATTAGGGTTGTGAGCCAAAGCGCGCTCGGTTCTTTCAACAAAATTTGAATAAGCCATGTCAATATCGATTTTTATTGTTCTTCGTAAACTGCTAAATAATTCATAATCTGACAAATTACTTGTTCGCTTGTATCGTTTCCAGAGACGATGCTTTTTTCCGATTTTTGAGATAATAGAGCGAGAAAACCATGGAGGATATTTGTTATCTTTCGGCAATGTGTAAGGAACATGTCTATCAAATGCAACATACAATCGTTTATAAAAAAGATCGCAGGCAATATTAATATCCGTAATATGTGACGGGAGAGTTAAATCTAAATTCATAATGCTATTATAAAGAGCCGGGATGTTTGCTTTTTTAAAATTATACTGCGGAATACTGTTTGTATGGAAATTTCTCATGCGACTGGGAAAAGACACACGTACTTCTAGAGGAGGATGATAGGCATCGATAGGCAGTAAAATATCGGATGCAGCACTCACCTGCGCAAAATTATTACAATACACTAAGTCCAGGATGCGATCATATGCATTACGTATATGATTGTATTGAACTAAATTGAAGAAGTGGCTCATATTTTTGACAACCGAAATGTAATTGTTATAGTAAGTACTATCAATGAGGTAATTTATATATGTAGGGATATTGAAATCCCCCAGAAAAAGAATAGTATCATTAAGCTTGAAACAATCTAATGTAAGGATGTCTTCAAAAAAAGTTTCATAAGTCTCCACAGTAAGATTTGGAGGAATATAAACAAGGAGGAGGTAAACCGTACAGCGAATGAGTTCAATTCTAATCCCAACAACATCAATTTCCGAGACTGAACATTGAAAAACAATTGCAACTCCTTTATATTTTTTATGTATCGCTAATAAAACTCCACCTCCCTTAGTCTGGCCAGTTTGTACATATTTCCTATCTGATCTGAAAACACTAAATTCGCTACTCATAAACTCGCTATTATGGATGCTATCATCAATCCAAGTCTCAGTCAAAGCAATTAGATCATAAGGACAAGTATAGGACGCATTGAATAAAGTGTGCAATTTGGTTTTTAATCCTCTAACATTCTGATAATAAATACAGAAGTCTGTTCGATCATATTGAGCAATATCTTCATTATGCTCGATTCCAGAATCTAAATTTACACAGGATAGTTGCTATATGTCACCTGTTATAGATTTTTTGTATTCATTTAATTTATTTTTGTATACTGTACATTGATTTGTATCCCAGGCAGCGTGATCTGTTTTTGAATGACGGGCGTTTACACAATTAATACATTTCAGATTGACAGATCGACAATCAGACACTTTATGATCCAAAGAGCATTTTACACAGGTTTGACTACTACTTCTACAATTTTTTGCATAATGATTCAGCCCACAGCATTTGAAGCACAATTTTAAATTGATTGCGTCATAAACCGCACAACTATCATAATTGACAAGGACCTTACCTTGATTGAGAACATTAGCATAAGTAGTACAATCTACATCTAAAATAGCTTGATAAACAGTAGCTGATTTTTTTGTTGGCCAAACTTTTAAAACACTACACTCACTTTCAGCATGAAACGCATTATTTTGAGATTTCAGCATTGTACACAACTCCTCTTTTTCGATACACTGAGACATTCCAACAATTTTTAAGCGCGGGTTGAACTTCCTCACCTCCTTCACCTCATAATCGGCAGAAAGGTGCCGCGACGCCAAATCCTTCAGTTTATTGGCATCATCCGAACCATCACATTTGATCAGTATTCCACCGTTTTTTATATTTTTCACCTGAGAAAATCTTATATTGTTATCTACAGGGTCAACAGACTGACTAATTCTAAGCCTCGTAGCAGAATGAGACTGATCATTGTTTTTTGGCGTAACAATCACGTTCACAGTCTTTTTCAAGGTATTTGCATATGAGGCACTTGGACCCGGGACCCTTTGTGAGACAGTCTGTTCCAAAGTTTCATCAACCTTATTTATCAGATGACCTTTAGCCTCGGAGAAAATATTATAAACATCAGCAATAAGTGTATCTACTTTATCATCAATTTTGATAAATACTCGATCAAAATCTTTTTTCTGCTGAGAGCATGTAGGACAGTACCAGAATAAACCAGGTGTTTTTATTACTTTCAATACATCTGATGGAATTCCCACACAAGAAATGTGAAAAGACTGTTCACAAAAACCATCGCACGGTATACCTGGCTTCGAGCGATTTACCAATGAATGGCAACTAGCACAGTTTGTAGCCATGACAGCTTGATTAAGTGCAGCTCACTGCATCAAAGTATAGTTCACAGCAACTGCACATTACGACCACCACACACGTATAAATTGGTGCAGAAACGACCAGTTTTAACCACAGAAAAATACGAAAAAGTCAGAGCGAAAACAAACACGTCTGAATACGGTACTATGTTATGGTATGTAGTAATATTTGATACTGTACCTAGAGTGACTTACCTTATATTTACAAGAAACATTCAAATCTCGAAGGTCGTAAAGCCTAATTCGACTATCATTGGAAGTTACCAGAATCTTATCTTCACCTGAAAAGAAGTTAATCAATTAGTTATTTAGTGCAAACATAGTGAATTAGTTGATAAGCAGGTAACACTTGGTGTTACCGAATGGTTTCAAGAAAATTTAAGGGCTGATAAAATGAAGAAAAGTTCATAAACATACCGTGTAGAGGCAAGCATAAAATTTTTATGACAACGTTTGCATTACTGTAAATGAACACCCAATTATACCTGGCATTGGTTCAATTCCACTGATCTTCCTCCCAACCGAGTTTCTGCCCCTGGAAGACCTGACGTGGATCTGTGTATGGTACTTCAGTTGGTCGGTGATGTAGAAGATACACCTGCCATCGTAAGTACCCACAACGGCGAATTTTCCATTTTGACAGAAGTTGGCGGCTGTTATCAGCTTCGGGTTGCCTTCCACCTCATTCCAAACAGCAACCTGTACGAAAGAAAAATCAGATTGAATGGCAAAAGCATTTCTTGTATTCCGCTGTACAACGGTACCCATCGCACAAATATGGAGGAAAATACAAGAGACAACCTTGCACAGATAAGTGAGGTTATTTCAAGTGTCAATCTAAGGCTACCACTATCGTCCGAGGTGGCAGGTGACAGCTGGTAGGTGGTACGCAACTGGCGATTTATTGTATTAATAATAATAATTTTCTATTAAATAAGCTTTCAATGTTGTTTTGAAGCCATATGTATTGGTGCAGTCTTTTATATTTCCGGCAAAGCATTAAACATTTTTACAACATTATAGTATGGGCTTTGCTCATATAATCTGGTCTTATGATAGGGCACACTTAGACTTTTACAGTTTCTAGTGATCATGTTATCGTGATAATAACTGTTTTTCCTGTATTTATCGAGGTTTTGCTTTGTATCAATACATATACTCAGTATGTATATACATGGAACTTTCAATATTTTCAACTGTTTGAAGTACTCTCTGCAAGATGTCATCTGGGGTAATTTTAATGCTGCTCTTAAAATTCGTTTCTGGCATATAAAAACCTCGGCATATTTCGAAGAGTGAAACCAAAATACTATGCTGTATTGTATTATAGATTGTACATAACCAAAGTAAATCGTTTTCAAGACTTCAGTACTAATTTGATCTCTAATATTGTGTATTAAATATCAGGCATTTTCGATAGCACTGCTGTTATTTGTTCTGTCCACTTCAATGAATGGTCTATTTCCACACCTAGAAACTGTGCAATGTTCGTTTGAACTATGATTTTTCCGTTTAATTTCACATAGTGATTTAGTAGAGTCGTTATTAAACTATCAATATTCGTTTTATCGATGTTCAAATCTAGTAAGTTGTCATTGCACATTATTTACAAGCTTAGTTGATTTTTGAGACAACTGTTCCATGTTTTTGTCAGCCACTATACCCGATATATCATCAGCGTACATAAATAATGAAGTTGAGTTAATAGATTCGGATAGATCATTTATGTATTCTAAAAATAAAATTGGTCCAAGGATTGACCCCTGTGGAACCCCCATACTAATCGGTTCTTTCGAATAACAAAAATCACCATTTTCGGCTGTAATACTGTTTACTTGAGAACGATTATTTGAATATGATCTCATTAGGTCATTGGCGATTCCTCTGATTCCATAGTGCTCCAGTTTTAAGAGAAGTATCTCATGATTTATTGAATCAAAGGCTTTGAATAGGTCAAAGTACACCCCGGTTACTTTTTCACTAGTATCTAGTCAAGTAAGTAAGCTATTTAGGGAACCCCTAATGGCGTCTTTTGTTGATATTTTTGGCAAGAAGCCATATTCGTTTATGACGAAGATATTATCAATAAAAAAGGAGTCTATTGTAGAGTATTATTTAAAATATTTTGGATATCATAGATAGTACTGCAACCATGACATATTGTCTTTCAATCCTTTTTTGAATACTTCGCTTCAAGAATATCATGCGAGAAACAATTGAATGGAAAAGATATTAGCTAACAAACCTTTTTGTCTGGAATGTTCCATAACCTCAACTTGCCGTCAAGTGACCCACTGAGGAAGTATCTGTCATCTCTAGGATGGAAAACAATTGCAGTCACAAAGTCGATATGTTGGAAGCAGCAGAGGCATTCTTTCCTCGAAATATGCCATAACCTGAAAATTTGGCATCATCAAAAAAAGGACTTCCATTATATTTTTTAACACGTTACCAAACCGACCGAAAATTTTTAGAAACTGCTAAGTTTATACTGAGCTGAATGAAGCACAGTTCGTTTCAGGCAGCAGTGGTGGACGTTATAGGCCTTCTAATCAGTCACCGTGCGCTGCGCGGGTTCGAATCCCGTACCAAGCGACATTTTTCTCTTGGATTACTTTTTTCCCCGGGAAAAAAATGAGTACTTTTTTCCGATTATTGTATAAACACATAAGCAAAGGTAACATAAAGTTACATTTCATTTATATCAAAAGCACAATTATTAAATGTGCATTGCATGAATGATACATTCCTTAAACTATTAGCAACAGTCGAATTTTCTTGTGTTGAAATTATATGTTTTTCTGCCATCACAACTCCCGTTGATGTACTTTATCGCAAATCCGGTGTTATTTCAGCACTATCACACGTTCTAAACACTTTATTAGCTATTTCTGTCCTGTGTGCTACCGATTCATCAACATACCCTTCAGCGACCGTTCATGACTTCCGACCGCCGTGTTTCTTTAGTGTCATCAAGTCTTCCCCAGAGTCAACTAAAAGTGTAGCAGACGATCTTCGAAATGAATATGTATATGAGTTAGCATTTTCAAGTTCAAGAACCTGATTGATACATTTTCCATTGTGATATGTATAAAACAGGCGGCGATCCTTTGCTGCTGCTGGACGAAAGGCTATGTACATTCGTTAAAATTTAATATATTTTTCAGTAACTACAAATCTCCTGTTTACATCATTCTTTGTTTCCTTAAGTTCCACAATTAATAACGTTCCCGAATCTTCAATATCATCTAATGTTACTTGGTTGATTCGACAAGCTCCTGCAATCCCAAATACAACAACCACCTTAGCCATTAAATAAACTTCATCGGGAGCATTATTTAAAAAATCACTAATTTGTGTACTCGTAAAAATCGCAGCTTTCTTGGGCTTGTAACCTTTCCCATTTTGTTTCAGAAATGTAATTAGTTTGAAATATTTTGAAATGTATACATTATTATTGGATCGTAACATACTTTTAATCATTGAATAATTCGACCACACGTTGATGGCTTTTGTTGTGCCAATTCCGAAAAATAGGTCAATAACACCTTCTCCGACAAAGAACTGCATGTTTTTTTCATCTTCCATTTCATGAATCTTGAATACACGGTTTCGTAAATTTTCCGCGATTTAGCTGGCAATAATTTTTGTGACGCTACTTTGGCTACTAATCCCGGTGGAGTCAAAGAAAACTCGGAATCAGACATTTTTTACTTTATAGTATTAAAAATAACGGTATGACTATACTTTAGCGCATATCGTAAATACTTCATTTCTTAGTTTAAAATGAAAGATTCGGATGTAAATTTTACGAAAATATCATTTTTTCTTTAAGAAACCCTCTGCTTGCTATTTTATAGAACTTCAAAGTTGCATTTTTGGTGGTACTACCCTAGAATAGCATTCTGTTTTATACGCTGTTTTTTTTTGCTTTTTGCACAAAAGGATGCTCTAAATTACAATAATATAACATACTCTGTATAGTACCAAGGAAAATAGATGTGAACCTGTGAAAAATAGTTGTTGTTTTGCAAAAAAAGGTTCAGAACCAGCCGTGTTCTCATTAGCTAAAATAACAGTTCAAAATACATACGTAAATGATGGTATTTACTTGGTAAACTGTGTAGAGGTGTTGTGTTGTGATTTTTCAATGCCTTCTTGAAATTCCTTAAACAATTTTTTGGCGTATTTTGAATTAGATCAAAGTTTTTGCGTTTATAAGAGATATTTGAACGTACAAACAATTCTGAATGTCCAGTGTTGTACATTTTTGGGAGGAATACGTAATGAAAAAATATGTTATTTGCAAAATAAAAGTCTTAATTTATTGTAAATGGCTTGTTTTATGAGAAATTGTCCCAATATTCACCGAAAACTAGATGAAATTTTGATCAGTATGTGTCTAAACTGTGGAAAATGCACCAGCGGCCCGCGTCACATCAAAAATACAAAAGGCACCAGCGGTCGTTGCATATAAAAATCGAAATACCCAGCTTCGATTCGTCCATTTGGACCACCTCGCCAAGTCCACCCAACATATCATCGTCCAACATTATAGTTAAATAAACATCAACGATTATTTCATCAAATAAAAAAAATGCAATGTTCTTTGTTATGTTTTCATTATTTAGTTATTGGCAACAGCTACTTTTTCAGTTATTTCTCATATTTAATTAGGTATATTTTGTGACATCGGCTCCACTTTGAATAATTCTTCAGGTACATACAAACAGTAAATAGATTATGACTATAAAATAGGAAAAACAATAACCGAAGTACTTTTGTGAAGGACATAAGGCATTCTTCAAAAAAGTGTCTTTAGCTAACGCTATCTTAGGGCACGAGGTGGATTTATTACAGTAAAACCTGCCGGCCACATCTCCAAATCGCATTTTCATGACAATCCAGTGCCGATTGCACATTTTTGCGCTAGTATATGAGTAAGAATTTCACAAACCAAATTAAGGTATATTACTATCCATGACTTGGCAACATCGCAAATAGATGGAGAGAGTATGACAGTGATGGTAGTGTAGTGATGGGAATACTTATCTGAAATAAAAGAAATGACTACTTAACCATGAACTATTTTTCCATTAAAATAATGCAAAATACATTATTGTGATGAACAGTGCCACAGTAATTTACAGTGTATGTTATATTCATATAATTTTGAGCGATCTTTCAAACAAGAAAAAAACAGGTTATAAAGCAGTATTCTATACCACAGTATTACCACCCAAAATGCAACTTTGAAATAGCAAGCAGAGGGTTCCTTAAAGAAAAAATGATATTTTCGTGCAAGTTACAAAGAAATGAAATGTTTGCGATATACGCTAAAGTGTAGTTCAGCCAAAACAACCAATAAGTTTACAATTTTAAAATCAAATCACAAAATTAAATTGACAGCTGTTTGATTTACTTTTAAAGTTTCCTTAGCGGCGCAGGTCTAATTGTCGCTATAAGTACAACATAGCCTACTAATTTCAAAATTCAAATTTCACATCGGTAATTTTGTAACTTAAATATTGTAATAATATAATTTTTCAATATTAAATCGTCGTTTTCTCGTCACAGAAAAAAATGTGTATTATACACGGGAAAAATACTAGATTTTAGCTTGAACCGAGTACTTTTTTTCGCTTGTATCATAAATAACTATTAAATAGCTACAAGTGAAAGTAATTCATAAATACAAGAGTAGCTAAAAGTAGAAGCCAGGCATGAAGTGTGACAATAGAACTGACTAATAAAGAAAATGTGTACTTACTAAATAAAAAAACATTCTGTATATTTGGGAAGGAATTGTCATAAATTCTACATTTTTTTTTTAATTTCTTTCAATGTTACAAATGTTGGCGATTTGAGAGTGTTTTTTTTTGTATTTTCAATTGTCTGTCTATAAACTTGTAAAAGTTTCTTGACATTATGGTTTTAGAGGACTGGGGGAGATGTATGGACAATCGGAAACATACAGTAACAGTGTTTTTGGACTTCAAAAGGGCGTTTGAGACTATTGATAGAGATAAATTACTTACAAAATTGCATCACTACAGATTTAAAGGATCTTTATTCAAAATTCTACAAAACTATTTAATTGACAGAAGTCAAAAAACCAAAATTGGATCTACATTATCAAGATCAATAAATATTTCTGTTGGTATACCACAAGGCAGTAAACTAGGTCCTCTACTATTTATTTTATACATGAATGATATTTGTAATATTTTAGATTATTGTAAACTTCAGATATTTGCAGATGATACATTAATATACATATCACATGAAAATATAGACACTGCTTTAAAAATGCTAAATTCTGACTTGGCAAAAACCGTAAATTGGTTAAAAGTAAATAAACTAAAATTGAATACTTCTAATAGGGAAATACCTAAATGAAAATACTATCACAGTTAGGATATATGGAGAAATAATTGAAATTATTGAATCAATTAAATATTTAGGTATATATATATTGATAGTAAACTAAAGTTTGAGGATCACTATGACTACATTATTTCAAAAATTGCCAAAAAAACAAATTACTTTTATAGGGCTTTTCATAGTCTTAGTACCTATTCCAAGAAAATAGTTTATAATACAATTATTCTACCGCATTTACTATATTGTTAAACTATCCTGTTCAGTGCCAATGAAGCTGTATTCTCAAAATTACAAGTATTGCAAAATAAAGCTATGAGAATAGTATTGAATAAAAATAAGTACACCAAAACAGAATCCATGTTACAAGAATATAAAAAATTTATATCATATTTGGTTCTTATTTTATAAAAAATCATCTTTTGTCAGAACATTTAGAACACTACATAGAATTGAATAATCATTACCATAATTATTATACAAGAGGAAATATAGATTTTCATTTATAAAATTGCAATAGTAATATAACTAGAAATTCAATATTTCAGAAAGGATTACTTGAATTTAATAAATTAAATAATGATATAAAGTCTACTTGTAATTTAAAGATATTTAAAAGAAAATTGAAGGAATATTTTATGGACAATGGAAATTCTTAGAGATGCAAATTTTGTTTTTTTTTCTGAATGTATGCAATTTATGTAATCGTTTAGTATTTTAGAAGAATGTAATTATAGCAATCATGCTAAATAAATATTAAACAAACACAATTAATAAAGTTGTTATATACTGCAGCCAGTAGAAGTATTATGGGACTTTATATTTTAGATTCAAGTGTATTAGTGTATTAATGTAGCTTATAGACGAATAAACTCATTCTATTCTATTGTAACATTTAATGAAAATAGTTCTGATATGCTACTTAATATTAACAGACTTAATATTAATACAAGGGGGCACTTAAATATACATCAGAATGTGTTGAAATATGGCAAATAGTGTATGGAATTTGTGTATATTAATATTAAGTTATAGTAAACTTCCGATTATCCGGATCTCGATTAATCGGAATGCCGCTTTATCCGGAACAAATTCGGTTTTTAATTGCACCGTTTTATCTTGAACAATGCCTACGTGACCTCCCGATTATTCGGAATGACGAACGACGAAATGAATTCGGGTTCGGGTATCATCGGATTGAAATCGCCACTCGCAGACTTCGTGTGAAGATCACAGTGTAATGTTTGTCCGTATAGTTATTAGATGGTTATTGGCAAGTTGTTCTGCGTTTAGCACTAACATATTTGTTCTTCATAGGCTGTGTGCATATTTATGTTGAATGTAGTTACTGAGTCGTTATCATATGTATTAAAATGAGTGTTGCAAAACGGAAGAAAGTGGTTATATCATTAGAAGACAAACTGAATGCGATAAAAATGTTGGACAGTAGCGTATCATTAAAAACAGTTGCACAAAAATACGATGTCGGTGTGAGCACGGTCGGTGACTGGAAAAAAAATCGCAACAAAATTAGGAAATGGTGCAGTGTTTTAGCAGCACCAACTAAAGAACGTAAAACGATGAAAATAGCAAAGCACGAAAAAATAGACCAGAGTTTATATTTATGGTTTAATCAACAGCGGAAACGTGGGGTTCCCGTATCCGGACCTATTTTGCAAGAAAAGGCACTTTCACTAAGCGAGGATCTACCAGTGACTGAATCGCCTCTTGATTTTACAGCTAGCGATGGTTGGCTTACTAGGTGGAAGAAGCGGCACGGAGTACGCGAATTGCGAATCAGCAAATATAGCAGCAGTACAAGATTTTATAAAACAAATCAACGCCGTTATATAATCAGAAAAGTACACGTTGGATCAATTGTATAACTGTGATGAAACAGGCCTTAATTTTAAAATGATGCCATCTAAAACTCTGGCATCAAGAACTGAAGCAGGAGCACCGGGGTACAAGAAATCGAAGGAACGAATTACACTTCTCGCTTGCTCCAATTCTTCTGGTAGACACAGACTACCCATTATGTGTATTGGTAGGTCTGCCAAACCAAGGGCTTTTAAGCACATATCTTCTAGCACCTTACCGGTGTATTATCGACATCAAAAAAGTGCGTGGATGGATTCTAACTTATTTCAAAATTGGTTTTTTGAAGAATTCGTACCTAAAGTAGAGACATTTTTGAAGAAATCTGGGTACCCAAGAAAAGCTCTTTTGTTAATAGATAACGCACCATCTCATCCGAAAGAAAGTGATCTGGTAAGTGGTGAAATAAAGGCTATGTTCCTTCCTCCAAATGTGACTTCCCTAATCCAACCTATGGATCAAGGTGTGCTAGAAACCCTTAAGAGACATTATCGAAAACTTTTATTGCAATCCATATTGGAAAAAATACATGAAACTGATTGCAGCTTGCTGGATTGCTTAAAGCATTGACCTTAAAGATGTTGTATACTGGGTATCAGATGCGTGGAACAAAGTTAAAATGGAGACATTGGAAAAATCATGGTCAAACCTGTTGAGACCACAAGAAAAATAGAGCACGATGGCTGAAGAAGATAGTGCTGAAGTTGAAGAACTTTTTCAAATGACCAAACAGCTTAGTGATTGCGAAGGGCAATTTTACCGACTGGCTGGGAGGCGATGAGCAGATGGAGCTTACAGATAATGAGATAATATCTCTTGTAACTCGTAACAATGAAGAGGAACTAAATGAGGAAGAAAATGTGGATGAATCTCCCAGTATTTCTCACACTGAAAGCAAAGATGCTCTGGAGATAGCTATAAGGTTTGTATCATAAAAAATCTGTTTCATAAATATGTACAGACATAGTATGTACATACTAACTAATTATTTCTTAGGTATGTAGAGCAGCAGAAAGAAGCAACTCCAAGCGATGTGGCTCTTTTAAGAAGATGGCGTGATTTTGCAGCAAATGCAAGAAGGTCAAAACTAGTTCAAACGAATTTAGATTCATTTGCGCAAAGTTTTACATAATTGAATAAATATGTAGTATGTATACAATGTATTTATGTATGTATATCAAAAAATAAATAAATGCAGATGTATTAACTGAGTTAAAATAAATTATGAAGATCACATTGCGTGACGGCATCCGACTCTTGATTATCCGGAAATTTCGGTTATCCGGAAATGGCCCGGTCCACATTATTCCGGATAATCGGAAGTTTACTGTATTTTCAGTCGTCTTCAAGTCAAAGTCGTAGACTGATGACGTCCCATAAATCTAGCTAAATAGCGAAAAAGTAGCTGCTTTTAACTCTGCTTTGTATATATATGATATGGTGTCCTACCTGACGGTTTTGTCCATAGAAGACGAGAGAATGAAGTAATTCTTGGACCAGGATACGTCTAAAAGGTCCGAGGTGTGTCCCGTGTAAGTGCAGAAAGGTTTCGGCATGAAAGTGAGCTTGGCCAGCTCTTCAGAAGGGATGCCTTCCAGAATGTTCGAGGCTTCGGAAGAAATGTGGGAGACTAGCGATTCTTGGGAAGGTGTCGGCGATACTTTCTCCGCGTTGTATTTTGTTCTCATGTCCTGGAGATAAATTAATAGTAAACTCCTAGAATCTGTATCTAAAATCTTGGATTCATATAGAGCACAAAAAATAAAATAATTTCACAAAACATGTTGCTTGGGAGATATTGGAATTGGTTCTTCTCAAATAACTTCTGCAAGATACTGATTTTAAGACAGCAAAGTTCATAGATCGACTAATCTGGTTCGTTATGGAAGAGCCTATTTTCTAGGATATAATTAACCAGTTGATGTGAAGGTCTGTGAAATTTTAGACAAACCATGGAGTAGCATATTCCTCCAAAGTGTAAAAGGCCAAGAACACCATAAGATCAGACTCACTCATCATCCCTTTGAAGGAAGAATGGGTGAATGGAGAAATAACATTACCGCCACAGGGTCTTGTGTGCTTCACTGGCGGATCCTTTTCCGATGGAACGGGATCCAGTCGAATTGTCACGCAAAGACGTACAGGAATGCTTTGCGATTGAAACCTACACAACGATCTTCCAGGAAGAGATATTTGTCATCTCAATGGTGGCATACTCGGAGGAGATTCAGCAGTGCACCGAGCGGAGCATATTCATATGCTCCGACAGCCAAGCAACCCTGAAGGCAGAGGAGTCCCCGAGGGCAAGGATCTAAAGTGACGCCGCTTTGGGTTCTCGTACACTGCAGACGTCGGACGTGCTGGCTACTGGTCAGGGGTAGAGATCCTCTCGGGCTTTTGGTGGGCCACTGCAGACTCTCTTTTAAGCGAGAGAAGAGACCTAACCTGGACCATGTGCTGGGAGGAGGACGAGACAGTGTTCCACTTTCTGGGCTATTGCCCCGTATATGGCAGTCTAAGGGCTGGTATGGAGTTTGATGGTGAAATTTCCTACTCACCAAAATGGACGGACATCCTGACCTTTACTAGGAGACCAGGAAGGTTCGACAGTTGAGCCAACTAACATCTGCAGTAGAATGTTGGTACACTCGAGGTCGGCAGAGTTGGCCTGCATTCGCCTTACTACCACTACTACAACTATAACATATTCCAATAGAATACGAAGTGCCCGTATAAAAACCGATGTATAGTGCTGCCGCCTCTTGGTTTGTTGCCACAAGTTATAAGATTTCTTTTGATGCCGTTGAGAAGTATACGGCGTGTTAAGAATAATTACCAGGGGTGTTGAGGAGTATCTTTCCCTGCAAGGTTGATGTCATGTTTACGAATAAATGATGCCCTTTAAAGGAAAATGGAGTCTGTTTTAATTACTTCTAAGGAATACCCTGCGATCCCACTTGGCAGCATAGCTGTGACGATGGAAATTGTATCTAAACGTCCAAATACAGCATAGCGGGTTGGCCATCTTCGTGGAGAAAATGTTAATCAATGGAGAAACGTTTTAGTGCACGAATATATATATATATATATATATATATATATATATATATATATATATATATTTTTTTTAGACGTGGTCATTGTCGTCTAGACCAGTTAGGTGAAAAATTAAAGCTTCCGCCGATAAAGTGGCTTCACGATGCAATGCTTTCATGTTCTAAAAAATTTTTAATCTGTTTTTAACTTGTTCTTGTCACATATTTGTGTGTATTTTAAAAAAAAGTGTAAAGAGTCCTCTTTACTTAAATTTTGTCGAAGTACCCAACAAAAGGCGGAAGCTTTAATTTTTCACCTATATATATATATACAGGGTGACTTCGAAGTTGAGTCATTTATTTTAACAGTGAGTAGATCTGATCAAAAGAAATGTTTTTTTCCTTTACCATTTTTCTGGTAAAATTAAAGTAACAAAGTTATAGCCCTTTGGAAGTTTGAGTTACGCCCTGTCTCAATAATAATATTATGTGCTCGTGTTTGGCGACAACGGATATAATCCGCCTTATCGGTTCATCGCATCGGAAACAAAAAAGCGAAAGAATTTGGAACGATGTTTTTACAATTATTTTATTCATTTGTATACAGTCAGTGTCAGTCGGTAACGCGTGAGTGAATAGTGGTGTCTGTTGCGTGGCTCAAACGAAATAAAAAATGGCACATGTTTATGCGGATCGGTTTCCCAATCGAGTGCAACCAACCCCTCGTGCTTTTGTTAATGTAGTACAACGGGCTCGTGAATCAGGTGACGGCATGCCGGTGCTCCAAGACCTCACGATCAAATACAGGTCCGCACTGAAATACTTGTCGGGAGGATACTTTATAAAACAAGGTAAATTTTTTTTTTTAATTTTTTTTTTATTTTTACACACATATTTTGGTTTATCTTCCTTCTACAATCATTATCTGAAAATTAATGACTCAACTACAAAGTCACCCTGTATATATATGTATACATATATATATATATATATATATAACTTGATAATATGAAAACTTACTTGAAAGAAGGGGTAGGCATCCCGTACCACCCATATCCTGAGTATCTTGTCCTGTCCTGCTGTAGCAAGCAGCCTGCCACAACAAGAAAATTTCATGCACCAAATGGGGCCTTCGTGTTGGTCGTCTTTCAACTCTTGAACGTGTTCGATCTTTTCGAACTCAAATGGGCCTTTGTGGGAATTAGATGCCTATGAAAAAAAATATTTCAGAGCTGACTAAAATGCAACCTGAATGACTTGGTTCATAGTTTATCTCAAATTGAAAAGTAATCTGTAGCATCCTGTATTTATGCTTGGCTAATACAATGTTGTGTTAGCATAGTTGTATAGAAGATTGATAGTAGATATGAACAGTCTTATCATTAACAGGTATTTTGGTGAAACTTCCTTGCAGAAAGATTTACACCATTTAAAAATTTTTCCATATCAACAGTCTTTTACTTTCATATAATTATGCCAACTCAATGGCTTCTCTAGAACACCTAAATCTTTCAATGTTTACCGTTTCACAGCGCATTATCTTCATGCGTGCCTTTTGCTAGTTGGGCTTTCAATTTTTAGCCTCAATCTTACATAAGAACAGAGACATGTTGCTCCTTCAATTTGTTACTACAATACTTCCCTCGCTTAAAGCGTTGGAAGAAATTAAAACGCCAACTTTTCTATTTGAATCTATATTGACACACAATCATTGAGTGATAAAATATTTGGGTTTCGACCGCCACCAAGCTTGAGTCTTTACCTTCAACTTGCAGTTTTGTTCTCCTGGATTTACGTTATCAACAATATCAATAATGTCTTCCTTATGCCTTGCATGGGACACCTCTTGAGCTATAGACTTCGCTTTGTGCATCGTTTTCTTTACAGTTGAGCCCAAAAATCTTTTCAGCTTGGCTGTTTTCTGCCTTATCCTTCCTGAGAAGAAGCAAAAAATAGTTCACTGTATTGAACAAACTTTTCCATTTAATCAATTTATTCAGGGTTATGAATTTTCCAGAAAGCATCAGTAATGAAAAAGATTTAAAAATCATCTTAGTCATATTGACAGAGACTTAGAAGAGTCGAAGACCTCGTATTCGTAAAAGAAATGTTGCAAATCTTTTTTTTATGCTCATGATTTTTAGGTGGCCCTTAACTTGAACCAAAATGTTGCCTGACGACAATCCGGTGCAATTTTTTTTAACAAATGAAAATTTTTTTTCTCTGGACAAAGTTTTACTTTTTAGAGCGAACACTTTGAATACAGCACAATTTAGAAAATCTCAAATTTGACGCTGCAAAACATGCAACCCTCTGTAGCCAGAATCCTCAAGTGGTTGGGCACCACTTTTCAAAACTACTTCATCAGTACTTTCTCCATGAATATAATAATAACAAAAATCGTCTTTAAACCCCAATAGATTTACACCAAATAAAGTTTAACATATATGACCGAAATTGAAATTACTTCCGAAGAGAAATGCACAAAACTGAATTTTGACAAAACCGATTAAGTTTTTTCCTGACTTCATTTGTAGTGGAATTTCAAAATTAATTGCCACTTTTTCTCCCCTATAAGATGGCATAATTAGAATTTCAACATGACGTTGTACATCAGCATCAACTTTATTTTTTATTAAGAACGCCATATTGGATTTTTTCACAGGTGAGTCGAGTTTTTTTTTAATTATGATTCCAAAAATGTATAACCATTGACATTGCTAATCCTTCGTTATTTAAAGAGGTTCCTAGGTAGGCCTTGAAATTATCAGATAGTCATATGTTTCATATACCAGATTTTCTCAAAATCATTTTTATTTTTACCTGAACTTATTTGAGAAGGGATTTCAAAGTAAATTGAATGTTGTTATTGCCACTTTTTGCGTAGTCTAATTTTCAATTTGACTGCTAGAAGCGACAAATTATATCAAAATACAGAAATCATTAATTTGATCATTCAGGATGTATATAGGTCTCTCCGCTGCTTCGGCACCACTTCTTAAATGTAAGCCATAGGTGAGCACTCACTCTATGCCAACTTTCATTCGAGAAAAAGAAAATGTATCACTTTTCGCTATTTTTTTATCATTCTGAACAATAAAACTGGTAGTTGAGTATCTCAACGATATGATGTCGGAACAAGACCCCGAAGTTTATTTTACAGCATTGTTATTTATTTGTAACAACGGCTATGGGCCATGCGCGCGTTCCTATAAACTACGAAATATTCCGTAGACCAGTGTCCAGAGAAGTCTGGCGGGTTCATCTAGCAGGCTCGAGGCGTGACATCACGTAAGAATGCTAAGAGGAGTAAATGAGCAAATTTTATTCAAGTTGAATACATACCTCCCTCATTTTCGTCAACGATCGGAATATCCGACTTCTTAGTATTATCCAAGCTCTCTTCATCCGATTCTTTTTCTTTCTCCATACTAGAACTGCTGACATACTCCGATGTAAGCCTCATAATATGCAACGACAGTGGATTGATGCATTGTGGAAGCTTGTCTTCAGCGACACTCAAAGGTACACGCTCTCCAGTGTCCAGGTTCAAAACAGTCACCTGAAAGAAAATGGAGTCAAGTACTCCAAACTTACCATGTAGTATTAGTTTAGAAAGTATACACGTTCGGATAAAATTGAAACTTAAAATCAAAAAACAATTATTTTCCAGTGGTTTGCAACCTTGCTAGGAGGTCGGTAGGGATCGGTCGTTTTCGCTCCGCGGGCAAATTCGTAGCATATTATGACTATTAACAAAGCCGGGTTTATCTTAAAATTTAAACCTAGTAGAAATTATTTTTTTGTGAAAACGGCTTTATTACATAAATAAAGGAGCAAAATTATACCAAAACATTTACGAACATGTGTTTAATTGTTAGGGTGGAGGGAAAATTCTGCGGATTTGACGTAAAATATTAACCATACTTAAAAAAACCTTCATTTAATCAAGGTTAAGTATATTGACCATCTAATTTTATAACCTCTCTCTTGTCACTCGACATTAACAAGGCTTCTGGCCTTCCACAGAAGGTTTGCAGATTGGTGGCTGACCTCCTCTCTGGTCGCAAGATATCCGTCGTAATTGACGAATTCTCCTCTTTATCCTACAATGTCGAAACGGGTGTTTCCCCAGGATCCGCTTGGCTCCGACACTGCTCTTGTCAAATATCAACAACCTCCTTTCCTATTCGATCAATCTGATCCACAGCTTTGCTGTTGACATCACTCTACATGCAGGAATTCAGAGTGACAAGCCGAAAGAAGACTAGCAGCAACTTCCTCTCTGGCGAGGACCTGAAGGTTATCACTGCTTCTGGGGACGCAACAACCTGGTACAGTTTAATACATGCCAAACACAGTACTGCACCTTGACCATCAAGAAGCGCCCTTTGCTTATCCGGTTTCGATGGATGGCCCAGTTCTTACAAAGAGCTGTTCATTTCGGCTGGTCGAAGTTCAGGCCACAGATCTCGCACAAACAAATATCTGTTTAGGGCTAAGAAGTACTTTTCTCCACGTGAACTCCTCATTCTGTACAAGACCCATGGTACCCCCGTGCGATGTGCGTGCCAGACAGATCCGCTTGCCTTCGGCCTCCCATCCTGATTGTGTCGAAATTCGCTAACCAAGAACTGGCCGATTCGACCGTTCCTTTCTCCCTAGGGTATTGATATTGTGGAAAAATTTATATGAGGAGGCTTTTCCCAGTTCTACTAATCTTAGGCAGTTCAAAAATCGAATCAACAAAATTTCTTTTAGCTCACCATAGCAGTCACAGTGCCCTGGTATTTAGGCTTCTGCCTGCTCGGCTTTTTCGGTATAAAGAACGTATGAGCTCCAACAAGTATGTACGTGATGAACTCGCGGACAAACTGTTTTGTTTTGTATCAAACAGGTGCACCAAAACAAAACAGTGTTAGTTTTAAGTCTTATTTATTCTAATATTAGAAAAAATAAAAAATATGTAGTGGTCAAACGGATTTTTTAGCTTGGAAAATAAAACATGGTTAAAATCACTAAATTCAATAAACATGGTAAGTTTGAAGGGTTCACCCTGATACTTTGCAATTTATTTTTTAGCAATGTATTGTAGATGCAAATAAGATAGATACTTGAATTCAACATAAATATAATAAAATGGCCAAATTAAAATTTCTAGGTCTCACGGGGCGAACAAAGGTCGATCTTTACCGACCTCTTTTCATTAATCAAGGAAGTTGTCACTATAATGATGTTTAGTCATTTGCGTCAAATTAATTTTATTAACTGTTTCCAAACGTCCACCACGTTGAAAAAGTTATTGCTAAAACTTGCTTAAGTTAGTATTGCTAAAATCTCGAAAAGCGTCACGTTCCTACAAGTTTCTAAAACTTAATTTACAAGGATCAAGCGTTCTCAGATCTAATAAGTCTCTTACTTTAATCTGCTATCACTTGCGTAGGAAGTGTAGGATCGCGATTCATATGACTGTTCATAATACCTGTTCTAAAATTTCCAAATCTGACAATTGCTTTCCTGAATCTGTGTGTGTCCTGACATGAATATTTTTAAGGAAACTCTCGTCACCAGCTGATCTCCGTCGCTCTTTCGACGAATGCTTGCTATCGTTTTGATGAGTCCCCCTGTTAATAAAAAATATACCAGTAAAAAAATAGTAGAATATTCAAAAACCATATCACACCAGTTATCGACCACATTATGTATATACAACGCATATGTGAGGTCTTAAAAACTGATTTATTCGTAGCATAGAGTGTGAATTAAAAAAATATGTACTAAAGATTCTCGAGACAAGGTAAGTAAAAAATGCATTTGATTTCTCTACCTGTGGGGTCCAAGGCTATAATGACCCACGCTGCTTCTGCTATTAGACCCTCTAGGGCTGTGGGCCCCATCTGAACCGTTCTTTGTCTCCAGCTTTTCTTCCTCAGATGCCTCACTACTTTTGTCTCGTCCCCCTTTTGCCTTCAAGCTGGAAAAACAAAATGAACACTTAACACTAAATGTTTCATTACTCATATAATATGTTCACGGTTCACGACAATTGAATCATATTAGATGAAAATACCCCTGGTTTCCGAAATAGTTGTAAAGTCTGTTTTTATAGCTGCAACTTGTTCAAGGGGGTATTCAAAACATGGACGTATAAAATGGGTACACCTATTTTTGTGGAAAAACTTTTCACTCGACAATAAAGAATGAGAAAACGTGTTGTTTTTTATTCAATCGCAAGTGTTGGCAGGAACGGAAAAACTCTTTATATAAGATGTTTAGGTATTTATGAGACCACATGTAAAAATATCTGACCAATGGTCGAAAACCGAGGCAACCAGCAATTTTTGATGAGATAATGAGCCGTATTCATAAAAGAGAATCATATCCTCGGAAGCATAAGGTAAAAGTATAAGGTCTTGCTTCGGAGAAAAAGGTAAAAGTATAAGCATATACTTGTTTTCATATTCATAATGATTACCTTATACTCGCGAGGATATCCACCAAGAAGAAGTAAAAGGTTGACTGGTATTTGTATCTTGAGCGACATGTCCTGACTTGTTCCAGCTTGCAGTTGACGTGGGAGTGACAGTTTTACTCCAGAGCTTACACAGACCGTTCCGTATTTTTAATGCATACAGTTTTTTATCAAATTAATAAGCATGTCAACCTCAAGTGACGAAGAAACTATAGAAAATAATGGCAACGACCTGCAGTTCATCGCAGATGAAATTGCCATTGCTCCCATTATTTTGCAAAAGTCACAAGTTTCAAAAATAAAAATGAGAAAGGACGATGCCTTGAAGAAGATGTTGAAAAAAATACGAATCAGCATTCGGTAAACCATTAGATACTAAAGGCTTATTAAAAAACATCAACAACGAGAAATCAAGATTGAAGTAAAAAAAGATCTAAAAAAACTGGTTACAAAGCAATTTAATTGTTAGATTGGGAAAGAAAGTTGCTGAAAGCTATGGAAGGTGACTGTAATTCTACAATTGGGAAAATTAGAGGTGCCATTCAGGTTGGTAGTGTTCAAGAAGAAGGAAGTGAACTTTATACCGAGCGCAGTGAGTAAACAGTTAGTATTACAGCGCCAGCAATTCAGAAGACATTGCCACCAAAAAGAAAATTAGCAACAGAGAAATACGAAACTGAGGAAATCAAGGGGTTAGCTACAAAAGAACTACAACGTCTAGTGCTATTACACCAGTTGCAAACAAGTACAGGGTGCGGCAGAGAGGACGGACGTTTTTGGGATGGGTAGTACTCTCCGCCTCCGTCTACGAGAGAGGTGGGGAGGGTGCCGTTTGACTCGTGAGATCCTAGCATTATTTTACCAGTTGTCGTTATGGAGCCCTTGGACGGTGGAGTACCGCGTTTTCGCGTATGATTGTTTCGTCCGAAATAATGAGTCAGTCATCGATGTACAGCATGAGTTTCGTCGCCACTTCAACATTCATCGGAATAGAGCTGTTCCCTCTCGAAACACCATCCTTCTATGGGTTGAATCACTTCGCAGGCGTGGTGAACTGATCAACAGAAGACCAAGAGGAGCGCCGCGAACAGTTCGAACTCCTGAAAATGTTGAACGCGTTTGACAGTTCTTTCTTCGCAGTCCGACTCGATCTGCCCGGAAACATGCTGCTGTACTTCGCCTTACTGATCGTTCGGTAAAGCGAATTTTGCATATGGATCTCCGCTTTCACCCCTACAAATTGGCCATTGTGCAACAGTTACAGCCCGGAGATTATGTACATTTTGTTTATGAGTGACGAAGCCCACGTTCACCTAAACAGCATGGTTAACCAGCAGAATTGTCGTTATTGGGCTAATGAAAATCCGCAACAGTTACACGAAAGACCGCTGCACAGCCCAAAAGTAACGGTTTGGTGCGCTGTATCGCAAACTTGCATCATTGGCCCTTACTTCTTCGAAGACGGTAATGGTCGTGATGTTACCGTGAACTCAGAGCGCTACGTCGACATGATCACCAACTTCTTTCTCCCTGAATTACGACGGCGACCTGTTCCAATCCGACGTGTGTGGTTCCAGCAGGATGGGGCGAACGCCCACACAGCCCGAGCATCCATGGACGTTATTCGCCCTCTCTTCCCTGGTCGCCTAATTTCCAGGTTTGGCGATGTTCATTGGCCTCATCGGACCCCAGATTTATCCATCTGCGAATTTTTCCTATGGGGACACCTCAAGACTCGTGTATACGAGCACAAGTCCCGAACTCTGGACGAGTTGAAGGAGGCACTTCGCGTGGAAGTCGCCCAAGTTGAGAGAACAATGTTGGAGAGAGTCTACACGAACTTCCAAGAACGCCTCCAGCACTGCATCAACGTCTTCGGCTACCACATGCCTGATGTGATTTTCCACACTTGACTGTCTCAAATTCTATTTCCTTGTGAACCTGATTCCATCAATAAATTTGTTATCGAGTAAAAATTAACTATTTTATGATTTTTTTAAAACCGTCCATCCTCTCTGCCGCACCCTGTATTTTACATCAAGAGTATTATAAAACGAAATTAGAAATGATGCAGCGTCAGAAGCCAGCTGTAACTTATGATGTTCACGAAAATAAAACTTATAACTTATAAATACACTTTAATCAGTAAAACTATTTATTATAATACTCAAATTTCTTCTTATTTATTGACCTAGTTGGCGGAGAGGAAGTTCGTCATTCTCATGATTTCCTTCATCTTCATCTGGGTCTTGTTCAACCAACTCACAATCCGGATTGCCCAAGCTCTTCGCAACATTATGGAGTACAATGCAAGCAATAACTATTTTCGGCACATTTTCCAACTTTACCCGGCAAACATAGTGTAGGATAAAAAACCGGCGTTTCAGTTGGCCGAAACAGCGTTCAATTATAACTCTTTCTTGTTTTAAAAGCTTATTATAATTTATTTCTGCACCTGGAGTGGGATTTCTGAAGGGAGTCATAAGGCATGGCTCAATACCATAACCGTCATCGCCAACATTTGCTTTATTTATTAGTTATCTAGTCTGTGAATTTCTCTATATTCTGGAATCATGTACTGATCCAGGCCTGACATCAACACTTGTGAACATCTCTCTGGCATCACAAGTGGCTTGCACATTTAAAGTAGGTTTCCCTTTTCGGTTGATATACTCATCTCCATAGCTATTCGGTTTCAGGATTCCTATATGTGTACAATCAGTTACACCAATTGCTGTCGGAAATTTATACATGCTTTGCCATATCCGCTTGTCCTCCATCCGTTCATGGTTGGTAGTCGTAAACTTGATCCATTCATTCGACTGTGCAACTATGCTGTTCACAACTCTATCCACAGTCCGAGATACCGTTGCTTGACTAACACCAAGTTCTTGACCAATACCTTGTTGATATCCAGGGTGACCGAGATAGCGTGGACATATCTTCATTTTATGAATACATGAAAGTGCTCCTCCTCGAGTTTCCTCATTCTCAACTAAAAATCTGTCCGCAAGCCATTGTACATTTGCTTCGTCGAACCGATATAATTTTTTGAAGTCACGACGAAGTGAAGGTAAAGGAGGTTTGTACGTTTCAACATCCCTAACATCCGCAATTTCCGCCATCATCGTTTGACCACCTTTCGTTAGAAAGTTGAGTCTGCTACTGACCACACTCAGAATTTTTCAAGGATATGCTTCCTATGCCTAGTATAAGGTGAAGATTATGAATATCCTTTTACTTATGTCATTGCTTTGAAGGATATGCTTATAGCATTTACTTCAAATTATTATAAATACCATCTGGAGGATTTCCTTCAAAATTTGCAAGTACAAGGATATCCTTTGTTTTATGAATACGGCTCATTATCATTAACTCTTGTAACTTGCATCCGCTCAGGCTAATAATTATTAAACCAGTCTAAAGAACTTCCTCATTTACCTAACAAAATATACCTAATACTTGTTTCAAATGGTCTGTTCACATCCCAAAATACTGCTATCACAACTTGTCTATGTAAGAACGGGATCTTAGATAAAATGTGTTTCTTAGGTTTCCCGTCAAGATTGACGAGAGACCCCAAAAGTTCCACTTCCCAACACCAAAACAATGCTTCACGAAGCCAATTTCCTAGAAAAGCAACATACCTCTCAGTATCCTGCGGTTTGACAACAAACTGCCCCCTGAGAGCCTCCTCAATATCCAGCGACCGCCCCGATTTAAGCGTCGAACTTCTACTGGTGCCCCTATCTTCCTCCTGATCCCTCCTCGGTGACTTCACGCTCAACCGGTGCTTCAATTGTTTTTTCTCGTCTTCTGTCAACCTAGAGGTCCTGCCTTCTTCCGCGTCCTTGGACTGTGGTTTAGGCGGGGGCGGGCACATCGGCAGTCGGTCTAGGGAATGTTCAAACTCGCGCGTCAAAGACTCGATCGTGCTGGCTGGACTGGCCAGGTCGTTGGCCGACGGCCTGAATGCGCTGTTGCTCGAAGCGGATTTCTACAAGCGGGATAGAAGCGTGGTTGGTGCGATAGGTGGCGCTCTACACCAGGCGCAGTGTTGATAGGTCTAACGATTTTTCAGCAGATTTACTACTTTGGACTACCGGTCAAGTTCGACTCTTAGAACAAAAAAACAACTAAGAATATATAGTTATTTTGACGGCTTTTGGCGGTTATGTAACAACTGACTAACTTTACCATCTGCGGATGTTAACTAAGGTGAATTATGCTCTGTGCAATCCGATCTTTTACGCGGCTGGAACTCGCTCTCGCACATACACATCGATGTGATAACATAGGGCCATTATTTTTCAGTCAGTTTCAGAAAATCCTCTAATGAATTTAACACAGTCGTCACTGTATTTATTTCTTCAGGCATCAAATAGTCCAGTTAAATAGCCGAAACTGCCGCAAAAATCACAAAGTTATGTCCGGTGGCGTAATGGTGTAATAAAGGCTTGCGAATATTGTCGTAAGAGTTTGGTTTTCCGGAAACCAGCCGTTTTTTGTAAAACAGTGAGAAACCCAAAAAACCTCTTTTTCGCTGAAACGGGTGAGGATATCTGGGATTTTTTACACGTAATTTTTTCTATTTTTGGGCGATCAAAATAGACTTTTCAACTTTTTTTGCTAAATTGCTTAGTTTTCGCGCTACAGCTTGCTTGCTGCTTTAGGCGAGGGGTTTGCGGGTTGCGGGGTCAAGGACGTACACATATCACCAGCGGCCGCACCGTTAACGCGGATGATCCTCTTTTAATATTTGGACGTCCTCAGTGTCTCACTCTCAGTGACAATCCAGTCGATTTCGAACAATAAGCTCGTTTGTAGTTGTTGCGTTCACCGATGTATGCGTATTAATGAATTTTTGAAATTTATGCGTTTAAGTAGAGTACAAGATGTAGTAATGTCTCTTCAGCCGCTTACCGATTGACTGGATAAGTGAGGTATAGTATTTTTATTTAGAATTGGAACAACGACGAAAAACCTAGAGGTGCAGAAAAGGTGTGAACGTGTATATAAATGAGTGGCAATGATAAGAATACATTACAGGATGTAGAAGCCCAATGAGTCATCAATGTATCGGTGTACGTTAGGTTGACATGCAGACACGGCAGTATGCTCTGCTGTACAACTTATCTGCACAGGACTTCACACCTTTTTTGTGCAGCTCAGGGATTTTTTGTGTTTCCAATTATTGATAATGGAAGGACTATAAGTATGTGCGTGTACATTTCATAGTTGGGTTAATTGAACAGGAACATAATAGTTAAAAAATTGTCATCCTATCAAAATAGAAAATACACTGATGCATCTTCCAGTAAATGGTTTGTCCATAATTTCTTGTCTCCAATGAAATATGCGGAAAAAATATTTAACTTCAATTCTACAATATACACGCACTTACATCACTTATCCAGTCAATCGACAAGCAACTGAAGAGAAATTACTCCACTTACTTAAACGAATAAATTTCGAAAATTAGTTCATTCGGAAAAGTCGGTGAACGCCAAGCTGACAAGGGTTCAAAATTCAACTTGACTATTACTGAATAACCCCCACCATGTAGTAAGAGATCGTCTGTCTGGGTCGTCAACGCATGGACGGCAGGGCTGCCAGGCGTGGCGATTTTTACCCAAAGTAGCGATTTGAAAACTTCAAATGGTGACTAAAATTGACAGCTTGGCGATTGGCTACTTTAGTGGCGCCCAGTATCCAGCAAATTGGCGATATCTGGCGATTTTTAGCATTCCTGACGCCACTTAATTTGTAATCTATTTTTGCCGATATAATAATAATAATACATCGTCTTTATTTAGGGAGCGAAGTTTAGCATAATGCTACTTTGCCACTTAACCCCCCCCCCCCAAAAAAAAAAAACTGAAAAACAATACAAAAAATATAAATACATTTGATACGTTACAAGTTTAAAAATGTAGGTGCATAGAAAATATGATGTATATAACATATGTAAGTGACGGCTATTCAATATTTCATTAGTTGAAAGTATCAAATTGTAACAGTTATGCATTATTGTGAAAGACACTGAGGGTTTAAAAAATATCAAATAAGCCGTCAACAAGCAAAGTAAGTAGAAAATACCTATCTACGTTAAGATGGATAACAAATGTCAGGACCTAATCATCTACTACCAAAATACAAGAGGACTACGATCTAAAACAACGGAGTTCTTTAATAATGTTCGTGCATGTGATTATGACATAATATGCCTGACAGAGACGTGGCTCAAAGATGGTGTATGCAGCAGCGAATTATTTGGAGCGGATTACACAGTATTTAGAAGAGATCGTGAGAGTTCATGTTCACAAAAAAGTGATGGTGGTGGTGTGTTAATCGCGGTAAAAAATGTCTTCAACTCAAAACGCTGTTGTGAACTCGAATCTGATGCTGAAGATCTTTGGGTATCAATTGAACATATCAACGGTACCAAATTATTTATAAGCTGTATATATTTACCACCTAAGGATAGCATTTCATATGCCTCAGTTGTAAGCAAATTATACCAGAATGAAGGTTTTTTTCGACAAAATACGGTGTTGTTGGTTGGTGACTTTAATCTTCCAAGTGTCAATTGGCAACCAGTACTTAATGAACATTTTATGGAGCCACTTAATGTTGAAGAGAAAACGAGTGCCTTACTTGACATATTGTCGTATCTACAGTTAATGCAATTTAATAAAATTTACAATTCAAATAACCGTTTATTAGACTTGATACTTAGTAACGAATGTTCAATATATAATATTTCGAATTCGGTTGACATATTGGTTCCTGAGGATAATCCCCATCCTGCAATTACATTTTGTTTTAAGCATGTTTTACTTAAGCCATTAATGCACCAGAGCCGATGCCTTTACAACTTTAATAAAGCCGACTATACTTCCATAAATAATACTCTTTTAGACATAGAATGGGAAAAATTATTTAGTACCAAATCTGTAGATGAAGCTGTAGCCATATTCTATAACTCAATGAAACTATTCACAAATTTACACCAACATATAAAATTCCAGGAAAATACCCAATATACTTTAAAATTGAAACAATACAAACAGTTAAGAGAAAAAATAAGTATCATAGACTATACAAACGTTTTAATGATCCATACTCATATCAGATATTCTGTGACCTTAGAGCCAAATCAAAAATCTTAATTAAGGAAAACCTGGATGAATACATAACAATGATGGAAAACAATATATTGAACGACAGCCGATACTTTTGGAAATACGTTTCAAGTAAGAAAAAATGTCATGTCTCTATACCTAGTTCTATAAATCATTCAAACTATGAAGTTAAAACCGGAAGTGGGGTGTGTAGTGCCTTTGCTGATTTCTTTGCAAGTGTATATGTTAAATCTAAACATTTTTATTTAAACAAGAATGCTAGTCCTATTGATGTTACCTTAATATCCATTGAAAAAATATATCAACAAATAGTGTCCTCAGAAATTAAAAAATCAGTAGGCCCTGACGGCATACCTTCTGTATTTATAAAAAACTGTTCCGCTAGCTTATGTTTACCACTTCACCTAATTTTCAAACTATCATTAACTCAAAGAGTCTTTCCAACGAGATGGAAAGAAGGTGAAATATTGAATATTCATAAAGGAGGCGATAGACATCTTGTGGAAAATTATCGACCTATCACTAAACTTTGTATTTTCTCAAAAATTTTTGAAAAGCTGATTTATGATTCTATCTTAAACATTACAAAAAATATCATTACGGAACACCAGCATGGATTTTTCCCTAAAAGATCTGTAGAGACGAATTTGATGAGTTTTATAGAATATGCCTCTCACGCAATAGATGAGAAACTGCAGGTGGATGTTATTTATACCGACTTCAGTAAGGCTTTCGACAAGATTGATCATTCTATCTTGATGGAGAGACTTGCTGAGGTGGGTGTAGATGGTCCATTATGGCAGTGGCTAGCATCGTATATAAGTAATCGTAAACAAGTGGTATCGTTCGGAGACATTCTTAGTAACTTCAGGCGTACCACAAGGTAGTCACTTAGGACCATTGTTATTTAACATATACATGAACACCCTTACTTCTGTTTTTCATTTCAGTAAATATTTGTTATATGCTGATGATCTAAAGATATTTACTATTGTTAGAAATGTAAATGACGGTGTAAAACTTCAAAGCGATTTGGAATCTCTGCAAAAGTATTGCACTGAAAACAGTATCTTCCTGAATTTAACAAAATGTCATTACATGAGGCTTACTAGAAACATAGCGAACACTATAGATTTCAGATATAAGATAGGGACGGCAGAACTGGAAAAGCTTCATGTAGTAAAAGACCTAGGGGTATACATTGATGAGAAACTCTCATTCATCACCCACGTAGAGCACATCGTAAATGATGCAAATAGAACACTAGGGTTCATAAACAGGACATGCAGAGAATTTACGAACCCAAAAACGCTTCTTTCATTGTACTACGCTTATATACACAACAAACTGATGTTTGCATCAGTAATATGGAATCCGTCTTACAATGTACATATAGTCAGGATAGAAAGAATTCAACACAAATTTTTGAAGATGTTAGCACATAAAACTCACCAACCTGTTACAGATCATCATTATACGCAAATTATGAAACAGTTCAATATGATTTCCTTAAAAGATAGAACGATTTCTGACATTTGCTGTGTCCATAAATTGTTGAATGGCCTCACTGACTGTCCGGATCTTTTGGCAAACTTGAACTTTAACACTCCTGATAGAACGTTTAGAACCTATCATCTGTTTAGAATACCGTTCCGTAGAACCAATCTTGGTCTTAATTCCCCTTTGTTCAGGGCTCAAAAAATCATAATAATTTCTGTAATATAGATTTATTTAACATTAGCTTGACCTCCCTGAAAAAGGCTTTAAAGTATGAGTATTACAGCTCTATGGCAGACTAAAATAGAAATGTTTTATTTTTTTACATAACTCAAGTTATCACCTCCAATATCAT